GTACAGTAAAATGCAAACAAAGCTGCACTTCAAGAGGGGTCTTGAAAGAATGAAAGAAGTGGCTATGAACATAATTATATCGTGAAAGTCTTCGTTCGCGAGATATTATATAGGGCGTTGAAGTTGAAAACGACTAGTATTTTCCTATGTACTAACAACCCTGTATGCATGACTTATTGTGATGGTAAAAACTTGTCTGTAATGTCACTGGCATAAAATGAACAACAAATGGACAGTTCGACGAAACTTCGAAAATTTTCATCGCCATCACCCATGTTTTTTTTGCAAAAACACACATCAACACACTATAACTTTGTCACGTAATTACGGATCTACTAAATGATGACAGGGTGATCTAATGTCGTAGATTCCATCGCTCTTAGGTACCTACTCAGATACTCATCACCCCGTAATATCAAAAATTTTTGTTGCACTGAGGAAAATTGTGCTAGATATTTCTTGCTACCATTACTAGAAATCATATTACCGTTATACATTTTCGAATAGAAGCAGCACCTTCAAAACCTATGATAGCAATAACGACTTTGCTGAAAGTGAATTTCCTGCCACAGGAAGGTATACTGCTGTAGCTATCATGCAGCCACTCTCGGACAGCATGATTTTTTTTTATAATTGTCTAGCTGCACTACTACTAGTGAGTTATATGCTTGTGGCTGCGAGGTTCATCGCATAGAACTGCACTCACTTCCAATAATACAACTGTCAGTCTGCCACGGAAATAATATTTGACGAACCAACTTGGGGTTATTTAGCGCCTACTCATCGTTATTCGATATTTTGCTGATTTGTCCCCCACTATGTGAACATTTGTCAGACATCTTGCTTGATCAATCATTCACAGTTGGGCTCTTGATGCAAACCCATGTACAGGACGACAATCTCGACGACACGACAGTTACGAATACTTCCCCTCTTGAATTCAATTCATTATTCAAAATCTGAATCTGAATTCAGATATAAAATGGAAACATTTTCAAACAAATGAAAAAATCTTCTGTGTCCCTTCATTCAGTGCTTTCGTAGAGTGCTTCAGTTATTATACCAGGATTGATGCAATGATGAAGGTGAGTTTTTTCGAGGGATTTTGTCTGAAATTCACATATTTTACATTCAATAACATTTTCCTCTCTTTGGTATCATGAAACTTCAGAATGGTCAAATATGTTTCAGAGCTTCTCTATAGAATCTGGTCTAAAAACTTATTGTGAGCAAAAATGTCCAGGTGATGAAATTATTTGAATGATTTTACTGGTAACATTTTGTTTTCCTGTACGCATCTGTAATAACTTGCCTCGTTTTCGAAATACAATGGTTTCAGAATAAGGTTTCAGAAAAATTCTTTCTTCATCAATTACTCAAAAAACCCTTTGGTTTTTCCTGAGGGTGCATGAATCAATTGATCTATTGAATTTCAAAGATCATTGGTCCGAAATTTTCTTAAGGAATCAATAAATTGCTATTCATACCAAATATCAGGGTGGAAATTATGGGAAGTGAAAGTGGATATCAGTCAAAATTTCACCTTTCTTGATGACAACAATCCTGGAAAATAACTGAATAACTATACAGTAAGAAGGTCATTCAACTATCTATATGATCACCCATCAAGAGTAGCAAGGTTCCCTACCTACGATTATAACATTGCCCTATACTCCCATTATTAGATGCACTCACTAGCGGTAGCAAAGTGAGATACCTACTACAGAAACATCGTCTAATAGCATTATACAGATGCACTCGCTAGTGACAGCAAGGTTCTATATCTAATAATCGCAGGTGGGTTATAATCAGCAAAGTCGACTTTATAATCACAGGTGACAACTCGCTTGTCCCCTATGCTATTAGAGTTTCTTGCTGGGGTAATTCGATTTCTGACTATGGTTAATAGAAATTTTCCTCAGTGTGGTTCTCTAGCAATTCAACGAAACTTATTTTTGTCGTGTATCTCGACCTACGACCTACGTTTATAAAAATGTCTCTATTATTTTTTTGATACGCCCTATCAGGCCCTTGAAGTGCATCCCACATATTATCTAACACCCTGTAATATGTATATGCTGGATGTTGATGATTCTTTATGTATAATGGATACCCATATAAAATCGTCCTACTTATATCGAAGTACCATATCTGAAAATACATTGCATAGTCAATGCATAGAACAATCAAAGAAAGGTGTCATCTATTTTACATACAATGAATATATGTATAAGATGCATCAAGTATGTTTCATGTAGGCATAGTAGGTACTGAATTTCAATAAAAAAACGAATGAAATTGTTCACCAATGGGACGTTGATAATATCGAAGAAATCATAGGTAAATCATTCTTAAGTGAATCATTTGTCGATCGTGAAATATTTAAAAAAATATTTCCAGAATGAAAAAATGAAAAAGAAAAATACTGAAATCCTTCGTCCTTCAGTGAATGCACACTTAATTACAGAAACACTCGTAGTGATAGTGATAAATTCCAGAGTTAACTCTTTTAGTAATTTCACATTAATTTTTGAAATAGCTATACTTAATAAATTAAAGTATCTATTTTACGACAGAGTCATGAACTTTTTATTAGCAATTTCTGTGTATAACCGGTTAGTTACTTTTAATTTGTTTGGCAATTCACAATAGCTTTTGGTGTGAAAAGTGTGAAATCTTCAACTTAAAAGGTTCTTCAAATCATTATAGGGGGGCACCACGGTTCAAAGAGCAAGAGGTTAATTTCTCGGAAACAATATGTTCAAATATTAGAGTTCTCATGGAATTGAAAAAAACTAACAAACGGCAACAAAAATAGTCGATGTGATCTTATACTGAATGCAGAATGAGTATCACCTCTAAAATGGTTTGGGAATATGCCGTGAAAAATTGAACGAGCACTGAGGAAAATTCCTATTAACCATAGTCAGAAATCGAATTACCCCAGCCAGAAAATATAATAGCATAGGGGACAAGCGAGTTATCACCTGTGATTATAAAGTCGACTTTGCTGCCACTAGCGAGTGCATCTGTATATTGCTATTAGACGATGTTTCTCTAGTAGGTATCTGACTTTGCTACCGCTAGTGAGTGCATTTAATAATGGGATTACTCTTGATGGGTGATCATATAGATAGTTGCATGACCTTCTCGCTGTAGTTATTCAGTTATTTTCCAGGATTGTTATCATCAAGAAAGGTGAAATTTTGACTGATATCCAATTTCACTTCTCATAATTTCCACCCTGATGTTTGGTATGAATAGCAATTTATTGATTCCTAAAGACAATTTCGCACCAATGATCTCTGAAATTCAATAGATCAATTGTTTAATGCACCCTTAGGAAAAACAGAAGGTTTTTGAGTAATTAATGAAACTTTCTGAAAGCATTGTATTTCGAAAACTAGGCAAGTTATTACAGATGCGTACGGGAAAACAAAATGTTACCAGTAAAATCATTCAAATAATTTCATGACCTGAACATTTTTGCTCACAATAAGTTTTCAGACCACATTCTATAGAGAAGCCCTGGAACATATTTGATAATTTTGAAGTTTCATGGTACCTAAAAGAAGAAAATGTTGAATGTAAAATATTCGAATTCCAGTCGAAATACCCCGAAAAAACTCACCTTTATTATTCCATCAATCCTGGTAATAACTGAAGCACTCAGATCTACGAAAGCACTGAAAGGGACACAGAAGATTTTTTTATTTGTTCAAAAATGTTTCCATTTTATATTTGAATTCAGATTCACATTTCAAATAATGAATTGAACTCAAGATGCCTGACAAATGCTTATATAGAGGGGGACTAAATAGCAAAATATCGAATAACGATAAGTAGGCGCTAAATAAATAAATGCATCCTCACTAAGATACAGGGTGTCGGAAGTACGAAGAAAGTTAAGAATTCTCTAAATCATTGAGTACATGAAGAACTGTCAATAGAAACTCATCATGAATGTACCTGTCAAACACATTTCGAACTGATAAATGCTACGGTGTTCCAATGGGGAATTCCAATTAGGAACTGATGATGATTGCTATAAGGGACTCATTATGAATGTTTCTGCAATACACATTTCAAACTCATAAATGCCACGTTAATTCAATAAGGAATTGCAATTAGGGACTGATTTCAAATGTATCTGCAAAACAGATTTCATACTCATAGAGTTCGAAAGAAATTGCTATCAGAAACTCATCATGAATGTATATGCAGAACACATTCCATTCTCATGAATGCCACAGTGTTTCAATGAGGAATTGCAATCAGAATCTGATTATAAATGTATCTGTAAAACATAGTTCAAACTCAAAGACTTCGTTGGGAATTGCTATTAGGAGCCTGTCATGAATGTTCATGCAGAACACATTTCAAAATAATGAATTACGATGTTTTAATAAGAAATTTCCATTTAGAACCGATTATGAATGTATCTGTGAATTACAGTTCAAACTCATCGACTCCATTGAGGATTGCCATTAGGAACTGATTATAAATGTAACTGCAGAATACATTTCGAGCTTATAAATTACTGTTTCACTATCCAACTTAACTCTGATATATTCTCATATGTAAATAATTAGGAATTACTATTAGGAACTGATTATGGATATATCTGCGAAACACAGTTTATACTTATAAGAGAAAGGGAGAGAATCGCCATTAGAAACTGATTATATATGTATCTGCACAATACATAGGATTATACGGAATTACTGTTTCACTATCCAACTTCATTCTCATATATATTTTTTTATAAGTTTCTATGAGACATTTTTGGCAGGGAACCCCTGTAGCAAAATTTTTTTTAGCAAATACATACTTACATCGTGAGCGTTTGGGTTAAGAACCTCAAATCGAGTAACAAACTGTTTCAGGATCGGACTTGTATTCTATACAAAATATTTGATTTTCAAATATTCCTACAATTCACAATTCATCTTGTAGAGTCTAGAAATATAATTACCACAATATTTCCTCATTTGTTCCAGATGTCATGCAGCAGTGGACATTCGGGCACCAAACAGTATAGAAGATCTGCTAGTTCTATTTTGTCTTCTGATTCGGACATTCGATTTACAAGAAAAAAATTGACGTCTCAGTACAAATGCGGTTGCTGTATTATAGCCACTTTCCTTCTGTTCCTACTTTTAGCAGGAGCTGCAGTCTATTTAGGATGTAAGTATAAGTGTCATCATGGTACCTACAGTGTGTTTCAATTTGATATCGTATCTTTAAATTTTCACGATTTTTTTGTGTCGAAACTATTCATTATCGGTCAAAACGACTCACATGTCCCAATCTAAACTATTTATTCACCATATACAGTGTGTCCCACTTACCATGCTCACCATGGGTATCTTTTTAACGGTGAGAGATACGAGGTCGGTTAAATGACACCAAATGTGGAGTTTCTCATGGCCAACTATAATGTGAAAAAATATTTTGATAAAATCTATTCGTTTCTGTTTTATACGCAAAAAACAGATTTTGATCATTTTCATGTCTCCTCCGTAACTTCTTTATTTATGAAAATATTCAAATAGGAATTTCACATTCTCATGGCAGTTTTTCAAAGTGATTTCGAAAAAAGTATGGAATTTATACCAACTCTTCTAGAATTTGAGATATCAGCACCAACTTTAGTTTTTCAAATGGAGGTCATAGCTCACTATGACTTAGTTACAAATAACTTTTTTTTCTCTTACAGATGATATGTCGCAGTAATAGTTTTGTGTTGATAACAACGGAGTTATCGCCATTTATACAAAAACAAAAAATTATTTGGAAGCCGCCATCTTGAATTTATAAATTTTAACAAAAAAATCTTGATCTCCGACCTCAAAAACCCCCACTCACCAATTTTGAATAAAATCGGACCAAATCTTGTCCGCCATCTTGAAGCAGCCATTTTTTTCAATTTCAACAAAAATTCCATAATGTATTGTCACCGAAATTATGAGCACCTGCCAAATTTCAAGTGAATCGGAGTTGTGGAATTTTTGTTGCAATTGAAAAAAATGGCTGCTCCAAGATGGCGGACAAGATTTGGTCCGATTCCATTCAAAATCGGTGAGTGGGGGTTTCTGAGGTCGGAGATCATGATATTTTTGTTGAAATTCATGAATTCAAGATGACGGCTTCCATAAATTTTTTGGTTTTGTATAAATGACGATAGCTCCGTTGTTATCAACACGAAACTATTACTGCGACATATCATCTGTAAGAGAAAAAAAAGTTATTTGTAACTAAGTCATAGTGAGCTATGACCTACATTTGAAAAACTAAAGTTGGTGCTAATATCTCAAATTCTAGAAGAGTTGGTATAAATTCCATATTTTTTTCGAAATCACTTTGAAAAACTGCCATGAGAATGTGAAATTCCTATTTGAATATTTTCATAAATGAAGAAGTTACGGAGGAGACATGAAAATTATCAAAATCTGTTTTTTGCGTTTAAAACAAGAACGAATAGATTTTATCAAAATATTTTCTCGTTTTATAGTTGGCCTTGACAAACTCCACATTTGGTGTCATTTAACCGACCTCGTATCTCTCACCGTTAAAAAGATACCCATGGTGAGCATGGTAAGTGGGACACACTGTATACTGATATTTAATCGGAACAGATACATGGTTATTCAAAATTCAGAACTCTTATCAACCTGTATCTATATTCTATTAAATATCAGTAGATCAAAAGTTCACATAGGGACTTGTAAGCCGTTTTGGCCGATAATAAATATAATAGTTTGGATACATTACCGGGATATCCCTTTTCGTGGGAACCAGAACATAAAAAAACCTATATCTCTGTAATCATTTCCGATAGACCCCCAAGTATGATGTATCGATGTAATCAGCTCTTCAGGGAAAATCTAAAAATGCAATAAAATACAGGGTATTCTATTTGAAATAACAAAGTTGTTGCTACTTTTTGATAGAAGCGACAACACTGCATTGCTGAAAATATTTTAAATGAAGAGAGCGTTTTCTGAAATATAAGCTTGCATATTTCCATGGGTTTCTCCCGACTGAATCTCGATCGTCGTGACATACCCTGTATAGGTTCAACTTTCGCGAACACTCATGAATATAGAATGTTTGATTCACAGACAATTAATCGAGACAGAATTCATGTTATGGTGATAAATATCAACAATACACTTGCTGGTACCACCTCTTAAACATGGAAGTGTGATACCTATCTCCTTGGAATAACTATAGTGCTCTCATTATATGCGATGCCCTTGCTCATAATGCTTATATATAGACACTCCTTTGCTTTCTATTCCTCAAGAAGAACTGTTTTGTCACGACTCAAACAGGGCGATAAAACAATACACCTGTTTCGATATATTCCAATACTTTAATAGACCTATATAGGCAAATCTAAATTTTTCAACAAATCATCAGGATAAAAATTATTTGAAAAATTACTTCTCGATTTTAGCAATTGGTCATATATATTCGAAGATTTAGCCATTTCTCATGGTGATGTTGGCTACAAAGGTGTCAAATGTCAAATATGAATAATAAGATCGTTGCCACTGTTGAAATAATCTATCAGATCGAAAACTACTGTATTGTTAATTACTTCAAGAGCAAGAATAATTTTTTGGACATTTTGTTCTTCAAACATACCCTGAAACTGTTGGATTCTGTCCAAAAAAGGACAATTCGTCTCGTGGGTGATGCCTCGCTCACAAACTCACTCACTTCTCTGGAACACAGTAGAAGAGTTGGCGATCTGGCTCTATATTTTATAGATATTTTCATGGACGATGCTCTTCTGAAATATCAACAATTGTTTCTCCCTTGGCAGTCCCCGCGAGATTAACCCGTCGAGTTGAGGCTTCGCACCCCTTCGTGGTCATTTTGAAGACCTGCAGAACATCTCTTTCCAAAGACTCGTTCAGCCAACGAACAGCGAGGCTTTGGAACACATTGCCAAGAGAGGTGTTCCCAGAGGCATATAACCTCCAGAAATTCAAGAAGAACACCAATTGCTACTTTATTTCCCTTGGTTCTCACGATGTTCTCTGACAAAAAAAAGTAATAATTGTAAGAGGAATTTTGCAAATAAATGAAAAAAAATTAAATTCAACGCATCGTATCTTCTAACCGAAGGTATTGCGGACTCGTGTTGATGGAAACTTTTTTCTCAGTGCCCTCTCTTGTGTGGCACTTTGCAATGTACTTTTTCTATGTCACCCTGTATATGGGTTGCTACCATCATGTATCTACCAACGTCAAATTTCATATTTATCTTCACAGGATAAAGATATCTTTCAAATTTCACTACAAAAATTTCCAGGTACATGAAAAGATTTACGGTAAAAATAAAAGACTTTTTTCTGTGACGGGAAAAAAGTTTGGCATTTCATCTCTGTTGGCAGGTTATAAAATGTCACTTTTCATAAATTACTTTTTTCCCGTGGGAAAAAAGTGAGTACTTTTTTCCCGGATATATATCACATATATATACTCTGTTAATGGCTTTTGTTGTGCTATAGTTCCGAAAAATAAGTCAATAATACCGTATCCGAGAAAGAACTGCAAGTCCTTTTATCTTCCATTCGACTTCGCGGTTTCATATATTACTAAACAACTACTGAATTCGCAATTTTTCAAAATCAAATCACAGAATTGAACTGACAGAAAGTGACATCAGATATTTGATGATTACTTCAAAAGAATGATAAAGATGTCTATAAAACGCAGGTGTCCCTACTGTTAAAAACTTGAAATTTCACGTCGTTAATTTTCAGATTTCGAAATAATGTAATATCTTCTCAATATTGATTCGTCCTTCCTTCTGTCACAGAAAAAAATAGTGTATTATACACGGGAAAAATATTAGATTTTAGCTCACGGTTTTTTGTCTCCCTCCGCTACGCGTCGGGAGACAACACAACCTGGAGCTAAAATCTACTACTTTTTTCCCTTGTATAATAAATAACTATTTTTTTATCACCGTGTTACATCTCCCCTTAAAAAAATGAGACCTTCGACATTTCTTAGTCAAAAAAATTAATAAAGAGCCAAATAAAGGAATAGAGCACTACAATTTGTATAAAACGAAATAATAACCACCCTTACTATATTTTATTATTTATTTATTAATTTTCCAGTTCCAGGGAATCACATTTTTCACATTTCCATTTTCATCTTTGTAGGGTAATGTTATCTACCTTGTGTTTGTCATCATCAGAGCTCATGATTTGATTCATGAACAAAAAATCATTGCTGTTTTACAGTTACTCCAAGCAATCTCCAAGCCCATAGCTCTACAGGGTGTATCCAAATAACACGGAATAAATTCAAGTGGTGATTCCTTGTGATGTTCTAGCAAATAAAGTTTACATAAACATGTATCCTAACTTGTTCTGTTCTTGAGATACAGGATGTTGAAGTTGGAAGTATCAATTGTTTTTATTTATAACCACCCTGTATAAACTTTCATGGTGCCAAAATTCAGTATGGTTGGAGACTGAGGAAGCCTTAAAATTTCAAAATGATTGTGATTGGGGTTATTGAGTAATCTCAATACAGTAAAATTTGGAGTCAAATCGAATTTTTATTGTTTCCTCAAAAAATAAGCTAGATACTGAAATCACACAAGGGATAAAAAAGTTGTTATTTCAATAGTTCCATCTAATGAAAATATGAAACTCAGAAAAATCCGTGACATTCACCATAAATATCGATGAATATACCCACTGTGAGGCCACTGGGAATATTATTTTGAATTTAATTGCACCAGAATAAGCTCCATATTACTATTAACAAAACCACAACGTTTTATTGAAATTGATGGATACCCTGTATCTCGAAAACGAAGCAAAGACACATGTTCATATGAACTTTATTTCCTGAAGTATCACAATAATAATAATCGTCCCTTGAATTTTTTCGGTGTTATTCAAATACACCCTGTATATATTCTTCCCTTTAAATCTCATTTTTGTACATCCAAAATTCAGTCTTTCATTTTCACGAAAGATTTCGATTTAATTGACTGCCTTTGAATCCCGATCTTCCTTGCAGATACATTGTTCCTCCCGCAGATGCCTGAAGAGCAAATCTTCAGAGCGACTTTCAGGGTCGTAGAAGGTGATGCGTTTTCATCCGAAATGGCCGACCCCACGACGAAAAAGTTCCAGAATAGATCAAGAGACTACAAGGAGAGGATCAATTTGCTATTCAGGAGGAGTTCCGTACGACATGGTTTTGTTGGCACCGAAGTACTAGCTCTGGATGGGTAAGTGATTCGTCAATCTTCGGTAGAAAATCCTCAAACTTATATAGAAATTCCAAAATCCAAACCCAAGAAGATAGCCATAAAGACTGTGGCGTGCAGTGATCACACATCAAGAATTTGCTTACTATAATAATGCGGTTCTGCAGACGGTACACCTCTAGTTTCGCATAAAGACAAGGTGTTCCTGGCGCTTTGACCAATAGAAAAGTATCTCAAATACAAACATAGCACTATACCGGATGACACAAGAGACATATGTAGCAGCCTGTAGTTTTTTTATTTGGAGAGATTAAATTTTGAAATTCATTTTTTCAACCACCTGTTTGACCGGACGTGACCCCAACTTTATTTTTGAATGTCACCCTGTACATTCCTTCAGTCTATCTTTTTCGCCTTGAAATTCTCAATTCAACCATGTATCACAAAGTGGCATTTATTTCCTAATTCGCTGTTGAATTGCTTTTTATTCAAAAAGAATAAGTTGGCTGTGACTTGAATTCGATGATATATCGACACTTGATAGGCTTTGAAATTTAAAGATCATTAGTAAACCGATATTATTCAAAATGTTTTGATATTCTGATCAATGTCTGCAGGTTGTCAATAGCTTGTTTGAGTCAAGGTGAAAACCTTCGAAAATAACTCAAGATATTGAGGAATCTAAGATAGGAATATATTTTTTCGAATTCAGCTACTCGTACAGAAACTATCTGTCTTTTATTTTCGCCATGTACCTATCACATGATCTTCCCATTTGGAATAATAAAACTAAAATTGTTTCTCTCCACAGGGCTATCAGTCTATTTTTTCATAATCATTTCACTTAGTAGGCGGTGTACCTACACAAAATGTTTTATGTGTTTGACAGATAATCGATTGCATCTTCATTTGTGTGTTGATTAAAATTGCATATTATCAATAGAGACGGAAAATGTATTCAAAAAACGAAAAAGTCGATATGTTACCAGATCTAGTAACCTAACCTAAGATATGTTACCAGATCTAGTAACCTAACCTAAGATATGTTACCAAATCTAGTAACCTAACCTAAGATATGTTACCAGATCTAGTAACCTAACCTAAGATATGTTACCAGATCTAGTAACCTAACCTAGGATATGTTACCAGATCTAGTAACCTAACCTAAGATATGTTACCAGATCTGGTAACCCAACTTAAGATATGTTACCAGAACTAGTAACCCAACCTAAGATATGTTACCAGATCTAGTAACCCAACCTAAGATATGTTACTAGATTTAGTAACCTAACCTAAGATATGTTACCAGATCTAGTAACCCAACCTAAGATATGTTACCAGATCTAGTAACCCAACCTCAGATATGTTACCAGATCTGGTAACCCAACCTGAGATATGTTACCAGATCTAGTAACCTAACCTAAGATATGTTACCAAATTTAGTAACCTAACCTAAGATATGTTACCAGATCTAGTAACCTAACCTAAGATATGTTACCAGATCTAGTAACCTAACCTAAGATATGTTACCAGATCTAGTAACCTAACCTAGGATATGTTACCAGATCTAGTAACCTAACCTAAGATATGTTACCAGATCTGGTAACCCAACCTAAGATATGTTACCAGAACTAGTAACCCAACCTAAGATATGTTACCAGATCTAGTAACCCAACCTAAGATATGTTACTAGATTTAGTAACCTAACCTAAGATATGTTACCAGATCTAGTAACCCAACCTAAGATATGTTACCAGATCTAGTAACCCAACCTCAGATATGTTACCAGATCTGGTAACCCAACCTAAGATATGTTACCAGATCTAGTAACCCAACCTAAGATATGTTACCAGATCTAGTAACCCAACCCAAGATATGTTACCAGATCTAGTAAACCAACCTGAATGTATTCAAGAAACGAAAAAGTCGATATTTTGTTAATGCAATTTCAATCAACACACAAATGAAGAAGAAAAATTATTGATGCAATCGATTAACTGTCAAACACATAAAACATTTTGTGTAGGTACACCGCCTACTAAGTGAAATAATTATGAAAATAGACTGATAGCCCTGTGGATCATCGTATAAGAGGAACAATTTTAGTTTTATTATTCCAAATGGGAAGATCATGTGATAGGTACATGGTGAGAATGAAAGACATCAGATAGTTTCTGTACGAGTAGCTGAATTCGAAAAAATATGTTCCTATCTTAGATTCCTCAATAGTCAATATCATGAGTTATTTTCGAAGGTTTTCATCTTGACTCCAACAAGCTATTGACAACCTGCAGACATTGATCAGAATATCAAAACATTTTGAATAATATCGGTTTACTAATGATATTAAAATTTCAAAGCCTACCAAGTGTCGATATAACATCGAATTCATGTCACAGCCAACTTATACTTTTTGAATAAAAAGCAATTCATCAGCGAATTAACAAATAAATGCCACTTTGTGATACATGGTTGAATTGAGAATTTCAAGGCGAAAAAGATAGACTGAAGAAATGTACAGGGTGACATTTAAAAAAAAAAAGTTGGGGTCACTTCCGGTCAAACAGGTGGTTGAAAAAAATTGTCGTCAAGTTCGTAAAGTGCGCTACCATTCATTATATACCCCCTGTGAATTTCAAAATTTTATCTCTTCAAATAAAAAAACTACAGGCTGCTACATGTCTCCTGTGTCACCCGGTATACTACCGCTCTTCTATCAATCACGGATGCTCTTTTTAAGGCCGCGGATAATGGCGAAGAGTAGTGTATGGTTTTGCTAGATTACAGTAGAGTCACTGGACGGTATTAGTTGAATTTTTTTGGTGTTATTTAGATACACCCTGTATATCTTCCTCTGAGTACCATCCTTCACATCTCTGTACAGGATCGAGAATAAGGATCTCATCGTCCACTTCAACATCCACATAGACCCCTACTACGTCGACATAACTGCCAAAGATCTGGAGACCATCCTAGCGAGCGAGATAGCGGTCCAAGAGTCTTTGTTCTTCAAGAACCTCACCATTGACTCTGAAAGCTTGGATGTGCAGCCGAGCAACGCTCTACAGCAACCCACTTCCACGGAAGCCTTTACTGTCACTCAGGCTGTCACCCAGACACCTGATCCGCCTAGAAGGTGTTTTCCATTGGAGTTAGAGTACTGCAAGAAGTCCGGGTACAACGTTACGACGTATCCGAATATCTTCAGGCATAGGGGTATCAAGGATGTGAGGGACGACGTCATTCCCTTCCGAGAGCTTGTAAGTTCCAATCTTTCTCCTCAATTCGAAATAGCTAGTATTCTATCAAAACAGTAATTCATCATAACTCCATTTCATCGAAACCGTAATCCATCATAACTATAGTTCATCCAAACCGTAATTCATCATAACCCTATTTTGTCGAATTATACGAAATTCGAGATTCCTGATTACGGTCATAGAGGGCACTAAAGTTACACGGTTCGTACTTAGTAATTTTAAACTTATCTTCTTTGATTTTAGATTTTCTAGACCAAATTCCATGTGAATTAAAAGTTACCCTTTGTTAAAACTCGATTCGAATTGATGTGTATCGTTTCAGAAAATGTTGATTTGAAAGTAATGAAGTAAGCACAGGCAGACAGATACTATGAATTTCAATAAAATCTTTGTGAGTATTTAAAATATCTTCCATCTTGAAGAATAGGTAGACAATTCTATCTTTTTCTACAAGAATGCATATTATTTCTCCAAAGATGGTTGAGGATTAGCTATTAGGTCATCCAAGTGTTGTTCAATTCTGTCTTGAACTCTTGACGTGAATTCAACTCTATAGCATGGACTTCTTCGTCAAATCAATTCCATTCTTGTTAATAATGTTATTGATGTGTTTTACTACTGGTTATAATTGTTTTTGGTTCTCAATAAATAAATGATAGTTTATATAAATATTGTATGCATAGGTTATTTATTTCAGTTGACCCTCAAATAAATAGTCAAGACAGTTTCCATGACATTTATTGATTAAATGGAAAAATCGTGGATAAATGCTTGCCACATATGCCAGGTTAGCAAAGAAAAAAGAACATAACGGCTTACCAAATGAAACACAACGCAAAACAACACTTGAAAAAATTAGTTACATTACAACTTCTAGCATAGGGTTGACCAGCAGGATTGAAGTCGGGGAGACGGAGAACATTTTTTAATTGATGATTACTAATGACTTGTATCAATAATAATAATGCCTCATCGACTCGGGTACTATTTGAAATTGATTCTAGGTTAGCAATTTTCCGCAATGGGAATAGCCGTTACCTTTCGATATTGCTTACCTAGGTATTATCGCACGGTAAGCGTTTTTTTGCAAATTTTAAAGGAACTGGCGTCTATGAACTCCGCTGACCTGATCGAAACTACAATGTACTGGATGTTTTAATTTGGAAAAGTTAATTTATGATAAAAGATCTTGAAATGAATGAGAGTTTGAGTGATGTTAATTCATAGGCATTTGTACTTCTCTAGACAATACCTCTTTCTTGTATAATTGAATATAATTCACATAAAGTTTGGACTGAAAGAGCTAACCTTAAGAATGGTATGTTTTAAACTACTCCGTACAAAACCATGTAAATAGCGCCCAATACTTAAGTCAGATATAAAAACAAATGAATGCGATATGGCATCTTCCGAAACATATTCATATATACAACTTTTATTCCATGTTCTCATACGCATGTGTCCAAAGTTTCGACGTTCTATTGCAATTTTTAGATTTTGATATTCTTTTACTTTCTGCGATTTTTTTGTGATATTGAAAAAAACTAACTTCCACAAATTCTTCATGAATTCATTTCATCGGAACCGTAGTCCATCATAACCATAGTTCAACCAAACCGTAATCCATCATAACCCTATTTTGTCGAATTTTATGCGAAATTCGAGATTTCTGATTACGGTTGTTTCTAGGTGGACTCGGAATGTTATCGCCATGCTTACGATTTCGTCTGCCAACTCTTGCAGCCGAGGTGCAGGAATGGCGTAGAAGAAGACGAAATGGTCCTGCCTTGCAGGAGCTTCTGCAGAGACTTCATGGCGGGGTGCGGAAGTAGATTGCAAGGGAAGATCAAGGAGGCACTGGACTGCAATATGTTTCCTGAATTCGGAGAAGGAGGGAGATGCACCACAAAACCAGGTAACCTATACAAAAGGTACAAAAACCACAGGAAGTAAGGAATGCTCATCTCCAAAAAATTTAATGATATTGTTACATAATCATAAGGGACATGTTTCGGTCTTATAAAAGACCATCTTCAGCCTAACTGAGAGGTATACAATACAAAAACAAATGATATTTGAGTGAAAGAATTACCTAGTTTGTGCTGATCTGAAAGAATACATGATATACAGTGTGTCCCACTTACCATGCTCACCATATGGGTATCTTTTTAACGGTGAGAGATACGAGGTCGGTTAAATGACACCAAATGTGGAGTTTGTCAAGGCCAACTATAATGTGAGAAAATATTTTGATAAAATCTATTCGTTTTTGTTTTATACGCAAAAAACAGATTTTGATCATTTTCATGCCTCCTTCGTAACTTCTTTATTTATGAAAATATTCAAATACGAATTTCACATTCTCATGGCAGTTTTTCAAAGTGATATCGAAAAAAATATAAAATTTATACCAACTCTTCTAGAATTTGAGATATCAGCACGAACTTTAGTTTTTCAAATGTAGGTCATAGCTCACTATGACTTGGTTACAAATAACTGTTTTTTCTCTTACTGATGATATGTCGCAGTAATAATTTGTGTTGATAACAACGGAGTTAGCGTCATTTATACAAAAACAAAAAATTATTTGAAAGCCGCCATCTTGAATTTATAAATTTTAACAAAAAAAATCATGATCTCCGACCTCAAATACCCCCACTTACCAATTTTGAATGGAATCGGACCAAATCTTGTCCGCCATCTTGGAGCAGCCATTTTTTTTTTAATTTCAACAAAAATTCCATAACTCCGATTAACTTGGCAGGTGTTCATAATTTCGGTGACAATACATTATGGAATTTTTTTTGAAATTAAAAAAAAATGGCTGCTCCAAGATGGCGGACAAGATTTGGTCCGATTCCATTCAAAATTGGTGAGTAGGGATTTTTGAGGTCGGAGATCATGGTTTTCTTGTTAAAATTGATAAATTCAAGATGGCGGCTTCCGAATCATTTTTTATTATTGTATAAATGACGATAACTCCGTTGTTATCAACACAAAACTAAATAAATAAATAAAAAAAAAGTTATTTGTAACTAAGTCATAGTGAGCTATGACCTACATTTGAAAAACTAAAGTTCGTGCTGATATCTCAAATTCTAGAAGAGTTGGTATAAATTTTATATTTTTTTCGATATCACTTTGAAAAACTGCCATGAGAATGTGAAATTCGTATTTGAATATTTTCATAAATAAAGAAGTTACGAAGGAGGCATGAAAATGATCAAAATCTGTTTTTTGCGTATAAAACAAAAACGAATAGATTTTATCAAAATATTTTTTCACATTATAGTTGGCCTTGACAAACTCCACATTTGGTGTCATTTAACCGACCTCGTATCTCTCACCGTTAAAAAGATACCCATGGTGAGCATGGTAAGTGGGACACACTGTAGAGAAAAACATTATCGATAATGTATTTTGGTACATTTGTTCCTGGTCATTGAACTGATCTATTCATTCGATAATTTTTTCGCTATTTTTATATACCTACTTAGTTAATATTAATTGACTAATAGTATTTGGAAAAGGATCATTTGTTTGTCATAGATCAATTTTATTATCGTTCAACAATTATCTATATTTTCATCTTCTATCTGCAATAATGAACGAAAGTTACAGTTATTCAATTCAGATATACTTATATAGCTATTAATTATGAAATAATTCTTCAATATCAATAATGTGAGAGAATGTTCAATGAGCCTGGTAAATGTAATGATTACGGTAAATGACACTGCAATTAACATTCATATCCACCTGTTGTCGTACAAAATAGAAAACAAACTGGTTCTCATAAAGTACCTGTTTTCTGCTTGATTAACTGTTATTAAAAATATCGTTCATTTTCAGAATATTATTGAGGTTATCGTTACTACATCAATACGCTGAGTAACAAGATATATTTAGATAAAGCATGGCTACAAATTAAGTAATTTCAAAGCACATTCTTCCCATTGAACATTTTGATAATGATATACAAGAAGTTATTTTCCGACGAACAACAGTCTATAATGCAGTTTGTTCAAAGCCAACAACTTTTTTCAGGAATAATTATTATTGTCACGCGTCACGTGTTTCAAAGAGTAATTTAATATATATAATTAATCACTTGATAATGATAGTTTATTCATTATGACACATTTATTATTGCGTTTTCTGAATATTCCAAACTATTCAAACAAAAATTGAGATGAATACGAAGTGAAAACATGATTCCCAAGATGGTTTATACAGTGTGTTTCAGAATATGTAGGCAAATTCCCGGATTCAGATAGAACACATAAAAAAGTTTCTATTTTCTTTCCTACCACCTCTTCTGGAAATCTTGTTTCCTAATTCATAATATTCAAAGTCTTCAATAGATATGTTTGTATCTGGTGCGCGAAATGCTACTTTAGTGATCGAGAACTGATCGAGAAATAGTCGAGTTCATCAAAGTATTTCGCGTACGCGAGTTGCAAACAAAAATGTTTCTACAAATGTCAAAAAATATTGTTCTGAAATAACTTAATATGCTTAGCTTAATATAAAGAAAAGTAGTGTTGAACTGGCTTAAAAAACCATCAATATTATTGAACGTTTAGAAATGAATGATTTCTTGGATTTTTGCTAGATTGAGGACCATATAGTTTAAACGTAACGTAGGAAAATGAAAAAAAAGTGTCACTTCACATTTAAATTTGAATAATCTTCATTATTCCCAAGAAACATATATGTTTATAGTGATCCATTTAATTTTTTGACGTTTGTAGAAAAACAAATGAAAGTACTCTTAATCGATATCGATAAAATGACATATTTTCAAGAAAAAAAATGGGTAAATGGTATTTCTTAGAAAATAAAGAACTAGAGATCATAGGGAATTTTCGTGGATTGATTGTAAGTTGATGCAAGTCAGGCTGTTTCGGCTTCCTAAGCCTCATCAGTTGCCCCAGGCCAGCCGACAATCGATATTTTCGCCCATTATGTTGGCTTATACACTTCTCCAAGAAATTAAGTCACCAACAAAAGTAGCGAAAAGTTCAGGAAACATCTTCCTCAACAGTACTTGTCCAATTTCGGACGTTCTTTGTTTGGAATGACAGGTTATTGCCTTCTGAATATACAGCAAACTGTATTCGCATAAAAACTTTTTTTCACTCCACAGGGTATTACAAATTTGTACATAATATGTAATGTTACAAAATATTGCCACACTATATTGTGAAGCTTCCTTCCGTAATATGAAAAAACAATATTGTATCAATTTTGCTGCTATATTCCTGTTGAAAATATAACAGAAAACCTACTGACAAATTGTTTGCAAGTTACAAAATAACCATTTCATTTTAGTTTCAATAGCAATATTGCATCAAATATATTTTCTCATTAAAATTGCAACATTACATGCACTAACTACGTAGAATATCAGTGCAACGTTACATATGGAACTATCAGTTAATTTTCAATTGTAATGTTGCATTAAAATTGAGACTTCATTGAGTTTGTGAATAACAAAAGCTAACTACAGACAATACAGCTACAATTTATGAGATAAAACACATATTTGATCATAAATTGTTATATTGCTGAAATATACAAAATGCTACATTGTGTATCGATCGAGAGACGCAATTTTATGAAATACCGGTACAGTCGCGGTTCCAGGTCCTGATTCAGTGCAGTGCCGTAGCACCGTCATATCGAAAACATTTTGAAATTCTCTTAATTGACTCATAAATTATGAAATAGTCGACACGATTATTTGATTAGTAGAAAGTTGCTGCTATGTATAATTTATAACATAAAATATTACATTTTTTCATTGAATATGAAATGTTACTGTACTTCATACACAATGTTACAAAAACTTTGCTGGAATGATTCATTCGCGAACATCACATACATAATATTGCTAAACCTCCGTTTCAGTTGTTGCTGCTACCTTGCAGTAAGATAACGACAATATCTGATGTAACATTCCACATTACATTGAAATAGTGCTGCAATATTGTTGAGATATCACTTGGCTTAGTGGGTGGGAGAAGTGTATTTCATGATTTTCGTTTTCAAGGATGTGTAGATGAACTGCAATCCCGCGCACTATCACCCCGTATATGCGATGGGGTAATCGACTGCCAAGACGTCTCTGACGAGAAAACCTGCAGCTACTGCCCCAAAAACCACGTCCACTGCGGGGTGGGAAGGGTGTGCATCCCCAAATCGAAGCGGTGCGATGGAAGAATTGATTGTCCGGATGGTAGCGACGAAAAAGCATGTCGTGAGTGAATCTTAGTTCAATTTTTAGTTCAACTAATACGTATATGCTTAGACCAAGAGATGGTGACAGTTAACGATCTCCCATTTTACGCTGCATGTCTTATAAGATTTTATAATTAACCCCAAAATATGAACTATGGACGGGTTCCTGACCACCGCACGTGTGCACTTCATAAGGAATAGTAATTTTCCTAACAAGTGCGGAAAATTATACTTTTCCGCACGCGAATGACGTTGACAAGCAGTCGAGTGCGGGAAAGACACTTTCCGCATGAGCTAGGAACAATATTTTTTCTACAAGCGTAGGAAATTGATTGATTTTTTCAATCAATTATTCCTACAAATTGGAACAACTAACAATAGTGATATATTCTCTATCTTCTGATATTTAGTGATATATCTATGGTGTGTACCGTTTGAAGCATTATGTAGGTTAGCTTATTGCGGAAGCCAGCATGCCCATGGTGTTTGGCCTCTAGGTTTCAGACATTCCTAGGAACTCAAAAGCCTCGCTTTTGCGTGATATCTCAGTTATCTTTGGAGATAGAACCTCGCGGTTTCCGCGATCCTGTGCCACTTTTTTATGAAACTCAAGATGGATTAATCAGATTTTGCAAGACTGTTTCCGTTTATGAGATACAGGGCGATTTTGAAAATTTATACTTTTTGGACCTACTCTATATCTACGAAGTTTCTCAACAAAAATGTCAAATCAAAATCTTATCGCATAGAGAATTTTACGTAGAAGCCAGTGGCGCACTTAATTTTATTTTTCCGGGTATCGTTTTGGAGATACGACTCAAACTTATGATTTTTTAAATGGAACACCCTGTATTTCATAAGCTCCTTAAATTCCTTATTTTTTTGCCTTCAAAAAAATATATATTGAATGTATGTAACATTTTCGAAATTGCTCAAAATCACTGAAATATTGAATTTTGATAGTTGACTATGGATTTTTCTTATAAAAATGCAATTTCAATCAACACACAAATGAAGAAGAAAAATTATTGATGCAATCGATTAACTGTCAAACACATAAAACATTTTGTGTAGGTACACCGCCTACTAAGTGAAATAATTATGAAAAAATAGACTGATAGCCCTGTGGATCATCGTATAAGAGGAACAATTTTAGTTTTATTATTCCAAATGGAAAGATCATGTGATAGGTACATGGCGAAAATAAAAGACACATCGTTTCTGTACGAGTAGCTGAATTCGAAAAAATATGTTCCTATCTGAGATTCCTCAATATCATGAGTTATTTTCGAAGGTTTTCATCTTGACTCAAACAAGCTATTGACAACCTGCACACATTGATCAGAATATCAAAACATTTGAATAATATCGGTTTACTAATGATATTTAAATTTCAAAGCCTACCATTCATGTCACAGCCATCTTATTCTTTTTGAATAAAAAGCAATTCAACAGCGAATTGGGAAATAAATGTCACTTTGTGATACATGGTTGGATAGAGAATTTCAAGGCGAAAAAGATAGACTGAAGAAATGTACAGGGTGACATTTAAAATAAAAAAGTAGTGGTCACTTCCGGTCAAACAGGTGGTTGAAAAAAATTGTCGTTAAGTTCGTAAAGTGCGCTACCATTTATTATATACCCCCTGTGAATTTCGAAATTTTATCTCTTCAAATAAAAAAACTACAGGCTGCTACATGTCTCCTGTGTCACCCGGTATAGAAGTGTAAAGGTGGTTATTCCGGAACCGAATAAAGAACCCCGTTAACTAAAAGTTTTCAAACTTCATATCTGTATTTGTTCACATTTCCTGTTCAATAAAAAACCTCACTTTCAGATTCACCCTGTATATTTAACTTATTCTGGTTTTTTTTTTGAAATATACACCAATTTTATCTCCATTCCCATACAACAGAATTGGTTTTTTTTTTCACTTGATTTACTCTTATTCACCTACATTACATATTTCGAAATAATTTCTTTTATCGCTGGTATATTTCCTGTTAATTTTGAACAAAGGAGTGTAGAGTGTATAATCTATTTCGGCGAATCGAGGCAAGATTATCGCTAGAAATAAACTATACCAACAATGCTCCGGATATCTTAATCATCTTTTCCGGCGGCATCGGTACTCGATTGTTTTTTTTTTCTATCAATGATTTGAACTCTGAGATAGGATTGTTTTTCAAGTTCGGCAAACATTTGTACGTAGTAAAGGTACCAATCATAGTAAAATATTCATTATTCCAGATTATTTGGGATTCTATAAAATAAAAATATGAATATTATTCCAATATACGTGTAGTAAGGACAAATCAGATGATTTGCCCCAAAATGTCACTGCGTTTAAAGAATTTTCCTATCAGAGAGCCTGAAAGAAAAATTCACCAGCTTGTCAGTGACAATTTGTATTGAAAAAGGTTTGGAGAAAAGAAATAAAGGTATATAGAAAAAATATCAAATTTTCACTTATCTTTGGACATTTCGGGAACGAATCTGCTCCCGTTTTCAACATAAAAATTGATTTTTTTATGGCAAATTCGTATTCGTCTTGACACTTCATAGTGACAAATGGTGACGTTGGTAATCAAATGAGTTACAAGATGTTTTCATTAATCAATCTCAAATTTACCATTTTCATTTTCAGATTTCAGTAGTGAATACCATGTTCTATCTATATCAACTGAACAGGAAGCAATGCTATTGTCTCCGTTCAGAAGAATGCAAACAGATTCCTTGATTTTTCTCTTCTGGTTGTTATCTTCTTCTCCAATGATTTTAATATTATCTTACTGAAGATGGACAACATATGGCAGAGTGGAATGATGTTATTAAATTACATAAAACATCTGTAACTCTAATTATCTTCAACAGAATTCAACAATCTTGGGCTCGTTGTAAAGGCATCTTTCTGTTTAATCAACTGATGCAATTTGAATTTGTTTCACATTCATATAACCGTTGCTGCTATAGGGCGTGATCTAGAGAATCAATGGATATCGTGATATAAAAAAAAATTAAATGTAATGGTATGCATATTATTGAACGATGAAATAGGGAAACTAAATCTCAGCAGACCAACGATGATTGATGACAGCCTTTCTTAGTTGTTCACCCTGTACAATCATTAAACAGTACCTATTATCAAATGCCCTATGCAATAATAAAAATAATAACCAAATCTGACTTGAATTGACAAAGTTATGATGGGCAAACTTCATAAAAAATTTGAGTTAATCCATTATTTTGTCCGTGACTGAATATTTTCGAAACAATATTCTTGAAGCAGAAATTCCATTTATTATTTGAAGACGTTTGACCTAGAAAATTTCTGAATATTCGCTTGCGGCACATTTTTATCTTTGTTTCCCAATGTCATTGTTTAAAATCTTTTCTCTCTTGTTTCTCAGTAAGTTTAGCTTCAAGCGTCCATAGCTTAAAAAAAGTCGAAGTTGTGACGCCACATCAATCACGCTACACCTCTGAGGGATTCGTAATTTTCAACGAAAAGGGCGAAATCGGCAAACTTTGCACTGAAAACATAAACAGAAGCCTGCCCGCCAATCAGACACTAGCAGTTCTTCAGGCAGTCGCTAATTCACTCTGCAAAACGCTCGGTTACGGGTAAGTAGTCGAATTAACCACACACTAATGATTTTCTACTAAAAATTAATTTCCGTCAGACGGGGTGAATCGGGATGTTTTTAGATTTTTTCACTGTAACTCCTGACAGTGTGGAGAAAAATAATCAGAATTTGGCTACATTGATCCACTTGGCACACCCTGAATCGTGAAAACAGCTTGTTTCTAGGTCTGCCGATAAATTTTTTACAATATATTTTTGTCAGGGACACCCACTTTAAAATCATGAAAAACTCAAAACGTCTATGAGGTTAATCGGGACAAATAAAAGATTTTTATAAACATTCTTCATTTTCATTTTTTTTTCATCCAAATAAATAGTTTAGACACAAGAAATCCTAAAGTTGAAAAATCTCGATTTTGAACACCCTATATCTCTGTAATTATTCCCACTAGACCCCAAGTGTGATATATTGATGAAATCAACTCTTCATGGAGAATCTGAAAATGCAATGGAATACAGGGTGTCCTATATGAAAAAATCAACTAAACTACTCAACACTAATTTCGTCGCACACCAAAATGTCGCTTCTGTTATAATGTGAATAACTTTTTTCAGTTTAGAACAATTTGAATTTGGTTCACACTGTTCGATAGCCCAGTCCTTCAGCTATAATCTCGTACTTCATTGAAACATAAGGGTGTTCACATAAAATCTCTACATGGTGTTTTCCGACACTGTGCGAAATTTCGGAATATTCAAAAGGCTCTCAGATGGTGAAAAAAACATTTTTCTCAACTCCGACAACAGAGGCATGAAGAAGATGTCATTACCTCGAGATATTTCGCGAATCAACTTCCTATCTCTCTTATTTACAGGGTGATCTCAAAAAATCAACTTTTTGGTTTTGCAGCCATAACTTTTTTTTACGTCAACCGATTTTGGAAATCTTAGGCTCATTTTGAAGATAAAACTTCAGATGAAGAGATCTGAATATCAGAATTGACTCAAGATGGCTATCAAAGATCTAGAGTTTTCTTGAAAGTGACCCAAATCTGGAACGCCCTTCGAATCTTGGTTGGGAGGAGAATTGAATGAAAATCAACTTGTTCTCGGAAAAACAATTCATTCTGGATGCGTCCATATTTTTCTCGCTCTCAGTAGTCACGAATTGTGCGTGAGAAAACACAATTGAAACATGTTCTTGCAAAAACATTAGATCATTTCTACTCTGTAATGCATGGCCCGCCGTAACCAACGTTACAAGAATCACAATGAGTGACTGACAAACCCGACAAGCTGAGACTCATCATAAATGGTGTACCAACAAGAGCAACGGATTTTGATTTTTTCAATAAAGTGATTTTTTTAACAGTTGTCACGTACATAACATGCGATTTAAGAATATGGAGAAGTATTCAAGCAAACAACGTTTATTTATTGTGAAAACGCATTTCAAAAATGGTGAAAGTTTCACGAAAACAGTTTGCCAATTACGTAAAGTTTTTAGTCGCAATAATGCGTCGAACGAATCGACAGTAATAAACAAAAAATTCGTGTCGGAGATAAGCCCTTTGAATGGATCGGACTGTCGTGTTTAGCAGATCCGCGATTTGGAGGGAAGATAACCCTTGTTCCCTCATTTGTGGAATCAGTTCCAACTGGTCGGTCGTTAGATGCGGCATCGAAACTATCAAAATCTGTTTAAGATTCGAAAACGACGTCTAACCTGACTTGTCAGTCACTTACTGTGATTCTTGTAACGTTGGTTACGGGCCATGCATTACAGAGGAGAAATGGTCTGATGTTTTTGCAAGAACATGTTTCAATTGTGTTTTCTCACGCACATTCTTGAGTACTGAGAGCGAGGAAAATATGGACGCATCCAGAATGAATTGTTTTTCCGAGAACAAGTTGATTTTCATTCAATTCTCCTCCCAACCGAGATTCGGAGTGCGTTCCAGATTTGGGTCACTTTCAAGAAAACTCTAGATCTTTGATAGCCATCTTGAGTCAATTCTGATATTCAGATCTCTTCATCTGAAGTTTTATCTTCAAAATGAGCCTGAGATTTCCAAAATCGGTTTACGTGGAAAAAAGTTATGGTTGCAAAACCAAAAAGTTGATTTTTTGAGATCACTCTGTAAATAAGAGAGATAGGAAATTGATTCGCGAAATATCTCGAGGTAATGAGATCATCTTCATGCCTCTATTGTCGAAGTTGAGAAAAAAAATGTTTTCACCATTTGAGAGCCTTTTGAATATTCCGAAATTTTGCACAGTGTCGGAAAACACCATGTAGAGATTTCATGTGAATACCCTCATGTTTCAATGAAGTACGAGATTATAGCTGAAGGACTGGGCTATCGAACAGTGAGAACCAAATTCAAATTGTTTCAAACTGAAAAAAGTTATTCACATTATATCAGGGGCGACATTTTGGTGTGCGACGAAATTAGTGTTGAGTAGTTTAGTACCCTGTAGATCGTTGGTTCCGAGCACCCTGTAGCAGCAAAATGCTGTAAATCATAAAAAATCAACCTAAAACCATTCCTCGCAATTACATAAATCAAATTATTAAGCTAGCTTCCATTAAGAAATGCCAGCTAAATTTACTAAAACCTATGTTTCAAAACTCAGGACGTTCATATGAAGTTCAATTCTTGAAATAGGTCGAATAATCGGCCCCTTGAATATTATCATATCACTAAGGAACACCCTGTAATAATACCTTCGACATTATTTTTTTGTTTTAGGGACGTTTTGTCAGTGAATGTGGCTTTGGATCCCGAGAAAAACATTTCCTATGTACGAATGAAAAACCCAACAGCTTCAGAGATAAGTTTTATTCGAGCCAAATGTCCCACTAAGCAGGTCTTGAAGGTGTCTTGTTCTGATTTGCGTAAGTACCTACTTAATTTTCCGAATCGAAAAGGGTCATAACTATGTGACCAAACTATATTCCTTTATTGTTGAATAATAATTATGTATCATAGAAGTTTACATTTTTTCACTTCAACAATCTGAAAATAGGTCTCTAGTATAGACCTAACAGATAAACATATACAGTGTGTCCCACTTACCATGCTCACCATGGGTATCTTTTTAACGGTGAGAGATACGAGGTCGGTTAAATGACACCGAATGTGGAGTTTGTCAAGGCCAACTATAATGTGAAAAAATATTTTGATAAAATCTATTCGTTTTTGTTTTATACGCAAAAAACAGATTTTGATCATTTTCATGTCTCCTCCGTAACTTCTTTATTTATGAAAATATTCAAATAGGAATTTCACATTCTCATGGCAGTTTTTCAAAGTGATTTCGAAAAAAATATGAAATTTATACCAACTCTTCTAGAATTTGAGATATCAGCACCAACTTAAGTTTTTCAAATGTAGGTCATAGCTCACTATGAGTTAGTTACAAATAACTTTTTTTTCTCTTCCAGATGATATGTCGCAGTAATAGTTTTGTGTTGATAACAACGGAGTTATCGTCATTTATACAAGAACAAAAAATTATTTGGAAGCCGCCATCTTGAATTTATAAATTTTAACAAAAAAATCATGATCTCCGACCTCAAAAACCCCCACTCACCAATTTTGAATAAAATCGGACCAAATCTTGTCCGCCATCTTGAAGCAGCCATTTTTTTCAATTTCAACAAAAATTCCATAATGTATTGTCACCGAAATTATGAGCACCTGCAAAACCTGAACCACCCTGTATATAAAATATAAATATTAGGGTATACTGAGCGATGAAAATGGAAATGAATATATCTTTACCACACATATGTATATCACTTCTTGATATCAACCTAAAAAATAATTTCTAGTGTACTTACAAACTTACATGAGCCTTCGAAATAAATATGAAAATTTTTTGTAGAATGTGGCATCCAGAGCACACATGGTCCTTCAGGTCTGAAAGTTCTGTCCAAAATGGCCTCCCACGGAGACTGGCCGTGGCATGTGGTCCTATTGAAAGATGACGTCCACATATGCGATGGGACCCTGGTCTCTCCCGATTGGGTAGCCACGACAACTTCCTGTTTCCAAGGTCAACCGAAGGCCGAATGGACTGCCAGGTTCGGCATAACCAGGCTGTTCAGGTACGGCCTCCTGCTTCACCAGATTGTTACAGGCGATATTTTGTCTCAAGTCTTTGATTATTTAAACTTTGGCCGTCATTCAATTAAAAAAAAATTACGACCGCCACGGGATTCGAACCCCGGTCCTCTGCTATCACTTGGTTACAAATGGAACTTATATTCCAACTGAGCTACTACACCTTTATCAAAATGAATTGTGTGTACGGAATCTATATACATATATAAACGATGAACAAGGAAAACATCCGATTCTCCGACTAACTACCGAATTTCTGTCATACCTATTTTAAGAGTCAGACGACTTGCCTATTTTTTTTATGACCGAATTTGATGGCTTCCATGATACTATTTGAATGCACAACGGCAGAATAGCGCAGTGGTTGAGGCGCTCGACTAGTGATCAGAACATCGAAAGGTTGCTAGGTTCCATTCATGGCAAAGCAGGGGATTTTTATTTATAAAACGAGTTATAAATTCTAATTTTCGTTGCCTCGGCCGGAGATGATTGCGCACGATTCGCTGTTGCGTTCCAATTAACAGTGTTGCTCTTAAGATTGCGTATGGAGTTAGTAACAAAGCCTACACAGAACACACATGGGCTGAAGGACCCCTCGTGAGGTCGAAGGCCAGTTGGTAGGTACATACATATACCAACGAAGTACCTACATATACGTTCTTACTATTACCTTATTTAAATGCAATGAATGAACATTAGTAGTAGTAGTAACTCCTGCATTCGTCAACGGATTTTTCTGAAGTTCGATAGTTATAAAAGCAACTTTCCGATTTGATCACAATACAATCCAATATGGCGAACTTCCGGTTTTTCTGGAAATGCCAGCAACTTTGTTTTTACAATTGGAATACCCTATTTAGTTTTACACATTCAAGTTCAACAGGTCAAAACAAGTGCAATACTCATGTTGTTTACCACAGCCTACTTGAAAGATTATTCGAACTGCAAGGAAATTCATGAAACCAGTTGATTTTTGAATGTATACAATTTATTACTGCGCCGAAATACAAGAATGGAATGTAATTTTTTTTCTTTAATGTATGTTCTAGAGAGACATGTAGGTCACAAGGGGGTGACATAGGGGTTCCATTTGAGAAAAATGAATTTTTGATCAAAATGTGATGTGATTGAAATGATTCATCATCATGATAAGTGACAGAAACAATAATGGGCTTATATCACAAAAAAAATTTATTTCATAATTCGATAGAACTCACCCAAACTAGCTCACCACCGTAAACCGTTTCTTGCTATGAGCTTCCTACGTTTTATAAAAAATTATTGAAATCCCCGATTTTTCGGACCTCTGAAAACGAGGCGATGATGTGACGTCAAAACCCTAATACTGAAACAAGACTATTCCAGACAGAGATGAATGATACATGATTTCTCACAGAGCACCAAGATTGGTGAATCGGCAAGTTGATTTTTGGGACATAGATGATAAGAACAAGAAGAAGATCAATTCTAACCTACATTTAGTTTCTGCAACTTTCGAATATTAAATTGAAATATTTCGACAAAAGTATGATTGAGAAATGTTCTGTGCCTAATTGCAATTGAAAAAACATCATTTAGCTGGGAATTTTGAGAACAAATCTCGCCCCTCACTGGGTAAACACAATATTGTAGTAGTTTTGCTTTGCAGAAATTCATAGGAAAATTGCTTGAAGAATGAATGATCCATCTCCTAGAAGAACATTCAGGGGGAGATGCAAGCAGTATCTAGTCTTGGAAATAACATTGTTTCATACCAATTGATCATATTGGTGCATAGGTAAACATATCGATCAGTGACTGATTTAATGAGGATTCTCCCTCGGAATCTCCATATGATAGGTATTCTGATGTTGAATATCCTTTCAGGTGAACAATTTTCCAATGCAACTATAATAGGTACAAGCAATGAAAATTGAATGAATATTGTGGAACTTACCTTTCAGATTTTCTATTCCTCATCTCAGCACTGAGGAACTGTGGAGTTTTTCTAGTATGTTAGAGACATAAAAATAATTAACCATTTCCAAATCAATTTTCGGTAGATTATATCTGATGAGCCTTTTACAAATCCTGATTCAACGTTCATGTTTATATTCAATATATCAATAATATGTATTAATATGATATAAATATAAAGCAAGATTTGGAGGTTAATTTCATTACGTGTCTTCTCTTCTCATTTTAGACGACATAAATAACTTCGGAATCGGAATTCGAGACTCGATGCAAAAGCAGCTCCATGTGAAACGGGTCAACAAAGCAATGTTGCTGCGTTCATGAAATATATTGGATTATTGTGAAATTGTCGTGGTGCAAATGGTTTTGAGATTGAGACATTTCGTTGTTTAGAGATTGTTTATATTCTAATGATTCAACCTACCATCGACAAGTTGAATATATTTTTCTGCAGTAGTGGTAGTTGATATCAAAAGATATTTCAATATCGATTTCGATCTCTCGGATATTTTGTTTAGATGATATGGCAACAGTGATAAGTGTCACATATGGGTCACTCTATGGGTCACGCTCATTGGTTCCAGGCGATATGAGGTTTCTACGTCATAAAGAGGGTACGTTTTCAGAAGGTACTATTATTTATGTCCAAAAATAAAACATTCCAGTTAATTTTTAGATGGAATTATGTCGTCAATCGTTATTTATGTATAAAAGGATCATTATAAACATGGTTTGAGTTGAAAGTTCTACTAAGGTGTACACGCCCATTTTGAAGAAAAAGTTAGGTTTCTCTAGTATGTGGGACTCATTGTGAATAGCCTTGACTACATCACATTAATCCACGAGGTAAAATCAAAAACAATTCTATTTATTTTTTTCGAAAAAAAAACGACATTTGACAAAAAAATTTTGGCTTCATCAATTCACATGGAGGCAGATCATCTTGTTACTAAAAAATAATCAAGGCTTGCGTTCTTTCCAATTTTGTTTCAGTTCGGTACCTTGGGAGCAAGATAGACGCATAATCGGCATGATCAAATCACCTGTAGAGGGCAGTACCATCGCCTTGGTAAGGCTCGACCAACCGGTGACCTTGAACGACTTCGTCAGACCCGTTTGCCTGCCCAAAGAGAACATGGAGTTGTCGTCCGGCAAACTCCAGTGCAACACTTTGGGTTGGGCCAGGAATAGGGAGCAGCTACAGAGGGTGCAAATCAAAATAGCCGATAAGGAGAGATGCGAGAACGTCAGCATCTCGAACGTGAATAGTATTTGTTCGGAGACAGTTCTGGGCCAAAATGATTGTAATGTAAGTTTTGAAGTTGTGTAACCTTGTTTTATTTTGATCCTCTAAACAAAATAAGTATGTAAAGCCTGGGGTCGCGATAGTTTTTCCTTTATTGCATTTTGTTCGGAGACAATTCTGGGTTGAAATGATTTTAATTCAAGTTTGGAAGTGGTTCAACCTTATTTTATTTCGATCCTCAGGAAAATGTGAATAGCTGCTGAGGTCTCGATTTTTTTCTCAAATTGAATAATTTCCGACCTTTTCGCACGAATTTGCTTCAATCAAACATCGGTTCACAACCAATCAGAACCATTTTAGTGCTACCAAGATTGATGTATGTGTTCTAAGCTTCAGTATTCTTTGTGATTATAATTTTCTGACATCACATGAGGTGACTGAGGTCCTTAGATGAGTTTACGTCCGATCATGCCCACCTTGATGCAATATTGAAAGTGATGATCACCTACGGAGCAGTAGTGTGGCACGACAGAACCGAACTCGCCACTACAAGGAAAATTTTAGAGAAGGTGCAAAGATTGGCATGTCTTTGCATAACAGGAGCAATGAGATCAGCTCCAACAGCAGCACTTGAGGTCATTCTGTATCTCACACCTCTACACATCGTGCTGAGGAGAACATTTCAGGTTAGCCAAGGTCGGACTAAGAGGGAAAACGCACAGTGCAAGGGTCTCACCCTCTACTGAGATTGCACACCTCGTCGATCTTCAACAGATCAAATCATTAGGAAGTTCAGTTTTGAGAAGAACTTCCGAGTGGAACTGAGCAACAAGCGTGAATGGAGCATAGAATCCATCGAAGCGCTGGGAAGGAACACCATTACTTGGTATACGAACGGGTCTAAAACACCCGGGGGAACTGGAGCAGGAGTCTTTGGGCCTCGCACCAAATACTTCGAATTCATGGGACAATTCCCCGGCATTTTTCAAACGGAAATACACACCATAGAAAGATGCATCCAGTTCAACCTAGACAGGAAATACCGGAAGAAGGATATCACGATTGTATCCGATAGCCAAGCATACATCAAAGCGTTGAGCTCTTCTAACATCAACTCGAAGATGGTATGGAAATGCCTAAGCAAATTGAATGAGCTAGGCAGCAACAATAAAGTGATCCTCCTCTGGGTGCCAGGGCATATCGGAGTGGAAAGGAATGAACAAGCAGACACTCTGGCACGACAAAGGGCTTCAATGCCACTGATCGGACCAGAGGCATTCTGCGGCCTTGGAAATTCCTATTTCCAAGGAGAACTTGAAAAGGCGGAAGGAGCCTTGAGAGCCAGACAATGGAGAAGACTTCCAGGACTGCGGCATGCTAAAGATCTCCTCGTAAATTTCAACCGAGAAAGATCTAAGACACTCATAAACCTCAGCAAAGGAAGTCTCAAAGCAATAACGGGATTTCTAACGGGGCATTGCAGGCTCAAAGAACACCTAAGGAAGCTAGGCTTACAGGAGGACGGCACCTGCAGATTCTGTGAGGAAGAACCAGAAACACCCCATCACATACTGATGGAGTGTGACGCTATACATTACCAAAGATTGAACATACTAGGAACACACCAGCTGACTGGAAGAAATACCACAACTAGATCCCCTCAAAATCCTGAAGGAATTGAATCTTGAGGGGCTGCAATGAACAAGAAATTCTTGATATAGCAGAAGCAGATGGGGCACAATAGATCTAATCAGGTCGCAGCGCATCTGTCACCATCCAACCTACCAATACCAATAATATTAAAAGTGACTCTAAAAAAATGAAGTAGGCGTAAAAACTTCTGAAAATGTCATATTCCGATCCAGAATTGTCTCATGAATTCAAGAATTTTATAATATACTGGATGTTCCATTTAAAAATGCAAAACCGGAGCCATTTCCGATGAAACCGGAAGTGACCGGCAAGTGATAAATGTGCGAAAATTTTTCCCTCCACATATCATATCATGGCATGTCTAATACATTCGTTGACACCCGGAAGGTGCTTTAATGGGCTTCAGGATATTCACCAATTCAATAATATCTGCATCATCCATCCATGATGAGAATTTTCATGCAGAGATTGAGTTGTTTTTGAAAAATATTTCATAGCAGTTCGAGTTGTTAGGTTAGCTCAAACCTAAACCTCTGATGAGTGTCAGAAATCCATCCAACAAAATAATCCAAGATTCACATAAATCTGTAAACATTCGTTACATGAAAAAAAAAAAAGGAAAATGAATTCAAATTCAATATTGTAATGATATTCCCCTTGGAGGGGCTTTAGAAACATCAGCAGGAAGGCAGGAGTACAACGATCATCCTGTATCACGCATCCCCGATTGCTCTCCGACCTCTCAATGATTCCTACATACACCAGCATATTTTCGAACACTCAATATATGCCGCAATGACAAATAACGTCACAGAAAATTCAGGAATGTTCTGGAAACAATCGATGGAACAATTAGAGAGAGAGAGGTTTTGTTCTAAGAAGCTTCTAGAACAAAAAGAAGGAGACGGAAGATCATTCGAGAACGTTCTCGAGCCAAAGCCTGCCATGTGTTCTCATATATGACGGCCAAACAACTGAGTCAGTCAGTCGAGTAGCGAGTGTCAGAGAGACAGTTATATACCGCGTGATATAAATCGTTTTACATAAATAGTAGTTATAAGTTCGATATAAATTAGTGTTCTTAGAGTTAAAATAAATCAGTTCGGAAATAAATAGTGTCGTGTTCGCTTCTGCACCCGAATAACGTTACAATATGTTCAACTCTTTTATAGGAAGAAGAATTCGCTGGTAGTCCGATGAACTGCCAATCGTTGGACGATGGCAGATGGACCTTGGTTGGAATAACGAACTGGAGGATAGCTTGTGCAAAAAACGGCTTGGAGAGGCCAAGGATGTACGACAAGATTTACTCTAACGTCAATTGGATACAGGAAAGTATCAAATCTGGCGATACTTGAACTTTTTCCATAACGTATTCGTGCCAAAGTGATATCTGTCATCAAAAACAAATTTGTCATCGACTGACTGAAGTGATCTCAAATTAATCAGTGGAAGACTTATCTTGAGATTAATATTGCCATTCAAACAACAAATTATACGCTTGATTTTATGATCATTGTCAGGGGTTGATGAATAGATTTTTATAATTAGGTATCTGTAGAGATCTCTCTGTTGTTGTAGAAAAAGGTCAAATTTTGATGTTTGTATATAGGGTAATTCGGCAACTTTACGAGATAGAAACAATGGGAATGACATTCTCGTTGAGACAAATTCATTGGGGAAAACAAAATTTTGCTATCTTCTTTTGTTTTCAATTCACAAACTCCAGTTCGGAGACAGATGTGATCCAGTGGCGGTAAGAAATAAAAAAAAATGGCAAATTTGAGCGAAAGCCTAAAGTTTCAATTTTTTATATAGGATAGTTTGGGCATGATTTAATTATTATGTTCTCTTTCTGACCATGTGCCAGTGAATTTGTCTCTAAAAAAGACACCGAGAATTTGCGTACCCTCTATAGTTACTTGAGTTACTTTAACCTCAAAATAAGCCACCCTGTACGTACGATTAAAAATGTTTACTCAAATATTGTGAATATGTACCATATATGACTGTATAATATTGACGTCCCTGATTTTTATTAAAAATGAATTATGTATATTTTGGTGTTTTGATCTTCTAAAGAAAACTGAAAGTTACCGAAACACGTGACATCGGTTGGGTTTGGTGAGTAGTCAAACAGGGTAATCTCAAATGGTTGACAAGTTTAATTGAAATCAAATTCTCTGCACTAGACGAAAAAAAAAAACGACGATTTGATATTGAAAAAACAATAATTACTCAATATTGATTGATTTAGAAAAGTTATCGATGTGAAATTTGCAGTTTAACTTATTGAAATGTTGACAATATCGAATTACAAGTGAGAGATAGTTCATTAATGCACATACACACATCTATAGAAAACCCGATTTATTGTACCTATATTCTGAATTAATCTATGAAGAACATCAATTCTCTGGCAATGATTCCGAAGAGTTATCCCCACCATTCGTGATTTCATTCATTTATCCGCGTTTGGGGTTTCGAATTGTTGACGTATACTTTTCAATGATTGATGAATGAATAGCGGTGTCTTCTAGTGTTATTTAGTCTGATCTACATACCACACTATTTCATTCACTTAGATTTAATAGACGTAACGCTAGACTTGCTTCAAGTACAACACGCCTTTTTTTCCAAATTGTATTTTGTAAATTGAGATCGATTCTACGCTACACATGAAGTAGAGCTCTCAGTTCGTATTCTCGTGGTTTTTCTAAAGGACCTATTCTACTTGGAGATAGTCGAGTCGTTAGCCATCTATGGGGTCGTCCGGTCGTCTTCGTATTCGAAGAGTTATCCCCACCATTCGTGATTACATTCATTTATCCGTGTTTGGGGTTTCGAATTGTTGTCTTATACTTTTCAATGATTGATGAATGATTGTTATTTAGTCTGAGGTACATACCACAATATTTCATTCACTTAGATTCAATAAACGTAACGCTCTTCCGAGGCGCAACTTCCATAGACTTGACTCTCTGCACAGCCGTTTTCTTGGCAACACTCGGCGCAAACTTTACCCTAACCTCGCTGCCACAATTTCTGACAGGCGTCATGGGGGGAAGGTCGTCTCCATTTTTGGTGGCCGCCTTCACGGAAATTGAGGCCTGCTCCAACTGGTGGATGGTCGCTTTGAAGTTGCTGGCGTCCTCCCTGAATATGGGGGAGATGCGCTACAGGAAGGTGGACAGGTACTAGACTTGCTCCAAGTACAAAATCATTTTTTTTTTACAAATTGTATTTTGCATTCTGGTGGCTTTTCTATAGAGCCTATTGTATTTGGAGATAGTAGAGTCGTTAGCCATCTATGGAGTCGTCCGGTCGTATTCCAATAATTCTTGGATTGCTACATTAGAACCCTCCTTTCCATTACATCGCAATCCATCGTTGAAGCATTGCACAATTACGAGATACAAGTTCAAGTATTTATACTCTGTATGTAGAATTCATAACAAACATTCTATGTCTCATACTTCTTTGACGTCGGAGCAACAGTGTGTGAGATAAGAGAAATACCACCAGATAAGGGTATGTTGTATTCGGCAGTAAGGTGGCAACTTTTCGGGACATTATTCCTACATTCATCGCGATTGTTTTTCTATTTCTATTTGGGTGTTACAAATCTTACATGTGGAATCATTGTATTCGCGACAAAAAATTAGCGTACGCCACCTGTCGGAGTTCTTGAAAGCTGTCAAAGCGGCCTGTTTGCTCTATTTTCATTGGTTCACATTTGTTTTTTGTTTGTTCTTATTGGTCACATCATCAAAACGAACCGCTCAGAAGTGTTCAAGCTGCTGCCGTGAGGTGGAGCGACGTGTTATTTTCTATCGCGAATAGTCATTTATTTGACAAAGGAAAAATACCGTGTACCGTGTATTTTACACTATTTTTTCTTGTGATGGAAAAGACGAGGATTTGATGTTGAAAAAATATATTATATTGAAGTCAGAAAGTTATCAAAGTAAAGGGACTATGCCGAAACGGCCGCAATTTTCAAAATTCTAAGTCATTTTTCCCCAGATTCTACGGAAATTCCCATAAGAGCCCATGTGTTAGAGAGAGACAGACGATGCGATTTTTCCCCAGATCTACGGACTTTTTCCATGAATTTTAAGGTCCATTCTGGTCATTTTTTACCTTTCATTTGATAGGTAACAAGCTATAGTTGATATATTATTCACTACATGGCCCTTGAGGTCCTTCAAAAATTGATTTTCGTAAATTTCAAGCAGAGACCTTTCATTTGATAGGTAACAAGCTATAGTTGATATAATATTCACTACATGGCCCTTGAGGCCCTTCAAAAATTGATTTTCGTAAATTTCAAGCAGAGACCTTTCATTCGATATACAACAACCTATAGTTGGCATAATATTCACTATATGGCCCTTGGGGACCCTTCAAAAATTGATTTTCGTGAAATTCAAGCAGAGACCTTTCATTTGATATACAACAACCTATAGTTGGCATAATATTCACTATATGGCCCTTGGGGACCCTTCAAAAATTAATTTTCGTAAAATTCAAGCAGAGACCTTTCATTTGATATACAACAACCTATAGTTGGCATAATATTCACTATATGGCCCTTGGGGACCCTTCAAAAATTGATTTTCGTGAAATTCAAGCAGAGACCTTTCATTTGATATACAACAACCTATAGTTGGCATAATATTCACTATATGTCTCTTGATACCCTTCAAAAATTGATTTTCGTAAAATTCGAGCAAAGACCTTCCATTTGATAGGTAGCAAGCTATAGTTAACATAATATTCACTATCTGTCCCTAGTTGAGGTATACTTCCCTTAGGGACCCATCGAACAATCCTATTTGAGAGCGTTCAGAGGTCTGCAGCACCAGAATCGCCGTTCTCACTCGTCGGAGACGGATGACCTTGAAAGCGTAAAAAATGACCAGAATGGACCTTAAAATTCATGGAAAAAGTCCGTAGATCTGGGGAAAAATCGCATCGTCTGTCTCTCTCTAACACATGGGCTCTTATGGGGCTTTCCGCCGTGCAGCGTAGAATTTGCGTAGAATCTGGGGAAAAATGACTTTGAGAGAAAATGAGAATTTTGAAAATTGCGGCCGTTTCGGCATAGTCCCTTTACTTATCAATGTGAAAGTTCTTGTTTGAAAAGTTGAAAACATCGAATAACCTCACTAAGACGTTATAAAATGACTTATTATTACCTATGTTACATCACATGAAAGTTAATCTATAAATGCACAAACACACAATTATACAAATCCCGATTTATTAGATATAATAAATTAATCTATAAAGAACATCAATTCTCTGGCAACGATTTCGAAGAAATATCCCCACCATTCCTGATTACATTCATTTATCCGTGTTTGGGGTTTCGAATTGTTGTCTTATACTTTTCAATGATTGATGAATGATTGTCTGAGGTACATACCACAATATTTCATTCACTTAGATTCAATAAACGTAACGCTCTTCCGAGACCCAACTTCCATAGACTTGACTCTCTGCACAGCTGTTTTCTTGGCAACACTCGGCGCAAACTTCACCCTAACCTCGCTGCCACCGACGGAATTGACGCGATTCTCGCGGTCGATCGTGTTGCTCCTCACCCTTTGCTCCGCCGAAAAATCGAACTGGCCCGAATTTCTGACAGGCGTCATGGGGGGAAGGTCGTCTCCATCTTTGTCGGCCACCTTCACGGAAATGGAGGCCTGCTCCAGCTCGTGGATGGCCGCTTTGAATTCGCTGGCGTCCTCCCTGAATATGGGGGAGATGCGTTCCAGGATGATGGACAGGTAAGAGGCTTGCTTCAAGTAGAACTTGGCTTGGTTGTTCGCGGCCAATCGCAGGCTGTCTGTCGCTATTTGGATGTAGATACGGATGAAGTAGATGAGTAGGGCTCGGGACTTGTATCTGTCAAGATCGTTTTTGCAGATCCACTGGAAAGATTGATTTTTTTATTTGTTCATTTTTAAAATATCATACATATCAGCGTATTATATTAATAGAGAATATACATTTGTTTATGATATAAACATGATCAGAAAAGTTGAAAACTTGTCCATGGTCGTGTCACTTTTCATAAATTTCTTTTTTCTCGGATATATATACACTGTTGATGTGTGCTATAGTTCCGAAAAATGAGTCAATAATACCGTCTCCGAGAAAGAACTGCAAGTCCTTTTATCTTCCATTCGACTTCGCGGTTACGTATATTACTAAACAACCACTAAATTGGCAATTTTTTGAAATCAAATCACAGAATTAGGCTGACAGAAGTGACATCAGATATTTGATTACTTCAAAAGAATGATAAAGATGTCTACAACGCAGGTGTCCCTACTGTTAAAAACTTAAAATTTCACGTCGATAATTTTCAGATTTCAAAATAATGTAATATCTTCTCAATACTGATTCGTCCTTTCTTCTGTCACAGAAAAAAATAGTGTATCATACACGGGAAAAATATGAAATAGGGAATTTCACCATGATTGTTTGAATTTTTTTTCACGATTTAGAATTTACGCTGGGTGAATTCAGTATTTTTTAAATTTTTTCACGATTGCGGCTGACCCAGAAAAAAATTATTAAATTGAATCTAAAAATTTAGAAAATATGATAAATGAAGACTTGAAAATATTTGAAAAATGGCTCCACTCTAACCTTTTATCGATAAATACTAACAAAACAGAATATATGATTTTTCACCAAAAAAATAAACAAAAAATTTACCTCAACCTTGAAATGAAAAATGAACTCTTAAAACAAACTGACCAGATAAAATATCTTGGAATTTGGTTTGATGACAGGTTGAAGTGGGACAAACATATTGATGTTCTGACAAAAAAAATATCTCCAATTATTGGTGCATTGAGAAGATGTCCCAAACTTGATATTGAAATTAATCGAAAATATATATATATATATATATATATATGGAAACATTTATTGGTAAGGCCGATAGTGATTCGCTATTTCAATTATGTTTCTTCTCGGGATTGGCCGGAAATTTTCAGTTTCTCGCGCCCAGCGAGCAGCAAGCGAGGCGCAATATTACCTCGCTATGGTGCTATGGCTAGACTCTAGTGTTTTGAAACGTTGTCATGCTTATTCACTTAAAAATGTGTAAATGGTACAAACATACAAACCTCCAAATCAATTGAGTCAACAGAGTCTTTCCTATTCTTATTGTTTTCCTCTTCCTGTTTCTCCTTAATTTTTTGTAGTACCTTTGCCCTTCTTTCCAATTCTCTTTCATATTTTATCTGCAAATCGCGGTCGTCATATTTTCTCGACTTAGAGTTCTGGTTTGCCACACTATGAACCCTAAAAAATGAAGTAATTAACCATCGTTATCAGACCCAAGAATCAATATACAAATGTTTTATTTTCTGGTTGAGAGTACCTTCCTGTATGGATATCAGACATCAGTTCTACCAACTAAGTCTCTTTTCAAAATATTCAATTCGTTTTTGTGCGACTAACGGACCTCCAAGGGATAACATTGAATTTTGGGACACCCTGTATATCATTAAATATATTCATAATCACCTCACTGATGAAAAAAAAGTTAAGGATATTGTCATTTGATATGAAGACATTTTTCTGAAAGAAAATGTGGTAATAACTATTGATATTTACCTCCTTGGCTTTTAGAAATTTAATATCCTTAATTTTTTCAATCAGTTTTCAATAATGAAACAACCATCTTGTATATTAAAAAAGTATGTAGTAGATAGATGTTCAAAAAATGATGTAACAAAGTTATGCCACAATCAGATTTCAACCATTAAAATAGCAATTCAATGATTCATAAATACTGATTTGACCAAGTTGAAATGAATTTAAATAACATTTCTCGCACATTCTCACACATAATTGAATAAATTTGAAATTTGTACATTGTACAGGGTGGGCCAATTCCCAGCCAACCATCGTGTGACATCAACATCTGTGTGATGTAACAACCTTGCATAAATGCAATATCTCGTTAACACATCTTATCGACGTAGATTCGATATCAACGTCGCAGGGAGTCATCGCAACCAGGAAACTATGTAATGTGGCAGCGACTTCTTCAAACTACATCTCTTCGACGTTAACTAAATAATTCACATTGATATCTTCATGAGATATCTTTGTGACCTGTGAGTGTGACGCAGACATGCGCAAAACGAACGCACACGCCAGACGCCATGTTGAGCTGTGCATGGCCATGTCAGTCAGTCAGTCAGTCAGTCAGTCAGTCAGTCAGTCAGTCAGTCAGTCAGTCAGTCAGTCAGTCAGTCAGTCAGTCAGTCAGTCAGTCAGCGAGTGAGTCCGACTCCGTACAGACTATTTCCTTCCAAATTCTCTGCTGTAATATCTGAGATGATTTATAGCACATATTATAGCAGCTTCAAATTGGAGGTATACAATCATTTAGGAACGACGGTGAGTTCAATCACAATAGGTAATATTGTAATTATCTCTGTGATGGGAATATTGCAATCTAAAACAAGGTGGATGAAAGATCCCAAGATAATGTATAAGTGTATTTGATTTGTATCATTTATGAATAATGTATATTTGTATTGCTATATATATGTTTCATGTTTTACTTCAAGATTACTAATTAGGGTGATTGTCATGATAAGTTTTGTATCATCTGTTTTTACTTTCGGAAAATAAACATTTTCTTCGTAAAGTTGAATAATTATTATTATTATATATCCCACGAATATCACATGTACGGCGACCACATCATCGATGTCGCAGTGTGATGTATTTGTAATATGAAATGTACACTTGTATGTGACCTGGTAGTGATATTTCATGTGATGTCGCATTTCATGTTTGAACGACGTCACAGTGATGTTGCTTGAGTCGGACAGTTTCACATCGCCACGCGTTGTATCGGTAACATGTTTGTGACTTCAAATGCGATATCGCATGTCACAAAGTAATGTGGCGTATACATCACTTATACATCTCAATGATGGCTGGGTTTGGGCACTTTTAAAGGGAAAGTCCCATTCCCGTACAAGATAGAAAGAAACTGATGTCGGTGCCTGTTGATCAATTCAGATGACAAACTCAGAGGTAAAAAACGCATAAAAAATTAAGGTAGAAAACAATAGCTATTTGTGTATTTAGAGCGCAAAGTGATAGATTGCCGCTCAACAAAGACAGTTACCGCGCGATGCGGAGCGGAGCGCGGTAATCTTTGGAGAGCGGCAATAACACATTGTGCTCAAAATACACACAAGATTTTTTCTACTAACGCAGCTTTTGGAAATAACTGCTCTGAAAGTATGAGCGATTGAAATAGTTGAAAAAGTTCTTATCCATATTATCCCATATGTCCAAAGGAAACAAAAAAAGGAAAATTGAAATAACTGACAAGCCAGAAAAAAAAAATCGGGCCTACCGAGAATTGAAACTGGACCACCAGCGTGGCAACCTGAGCTTCAGACCTCTGAGCCATAGTACGATAAGCTCTGCAATCAAATTGAACATTACTCATTGATACACTGTCTTTCTGATGACAACAAAGAGTTTAAATATAAAGTATAATTCATCGTTTTCAACAGATATGCTTCACCGGGAGCTTCTTGTAGAAATTTGTTGGTATATATCTTCAGTGGTGAATGTTTTGGATTTTTCTCGCTTTATATCCAATAGATTGTTTCTTGAGAAATGCGATAAGTTTCAGATACTTATTGATTCCGATATTATTTTTAACATTCAAGCATGTATACGTACCATATCGAATATATAGACCAATGAGTTGATGACTTCAAAGTCTTTGATTTTTTACCAAAATAAACCAGTAAAACGTTTTCTGAATACATATTCACCATCTCGGAGTGGCACCAATTTATGAATGTATCATATTGTAATTCATATTTCTTCCTCGATTTCTCTGGTAAGAGATTCAAACTCTTGCGCTTTCTGCTATATCAGGAGGTGTGTTTGATGATTCACTGTCACTATTGTCCATCATGAAAGAATTGGGGGTTTTCAAGAATAGGTAAGTATAGGTTACAGAGACGTGCGAGCGTTTTTTCAATATTTCCGCTCACGAGCGCAAATGCTGTCAAAGAATGACATTTCTGGAAAAACATCAACTTTGTGCTGGAATTTGAAAGCGTCAAAGGCTACTTTGTTAAGCGTTTGTAGAAAAAATATCAAAATATCTTGGAAAATAATGAATGTTTGGAAAATTCTGCAAGCTCAATAAAGAAGTGCCTCCCTTACCTTTGAATAATGTTCTTTGGTCCTTGAGGCTCAGTAAGAATCTTGTATAACTCCTTGAAGTCGACAGGTGCATAGAACTTTCCAGGGTAGTACCAAATATTCCTCAGAGCTCTTAGGAAATACATAGAGGGTGATTGGATGATGATGTGGAACTGTTTTTGAGCGAATTGGAGATATTTTTTGGGAATATTGCGGAATAGATTTTTCGATTTGATGAAGTAATCAGGTAATACCCCTCTTGAAAGGTGGTTGTTCAGATTTTGTATTACTTGCATGATTTTATCACCTAACCTAGAAAAAAATAAGGAGGATATGTAAAAACTTCACGAATGATAAGGCAAATACTGTATAAAAGAAAAAATAATCAGAACTATAGAACCTCAACGACTAACTTTATTTTTACATAGATAAAACTTGGTAAGTGAGTGAGACAAATAGAAGTGTTATATGAAAAATGAAACGAATTCAACGTGAGCTCGATAATTCAACGTCTTTGAATTTGTTAGGGTTTCTCTGGAAGTTGAACTTTTAATTAAGGCATCCGCCATATCATATTTTTGTACGCCTCATCTTTTGATCGCCATGTTCTGTTTGTTAGAATCTGCGTTCCCCCCTGAACACATTATGGAAAATATGAAATTTCATTCCAATTCATCACAAAATACTTATTTTTCTAATGAAAAAAATTTGATGTCATTTCCACAAGTGTTCAAAAAATTAACAAGACAGGTTTTATGACTTCAGGAATGCTCAGCATCGATTCGTATAAACGAATAAGTACTGATGCGTTTCTTTCTTTACTGCTAAAAAAGTTTGTAAAATATATACATATATACGTATTTTTTCTTTTTTTCGCAAGATCAAATTTCACTTCAGAAAAATAAAATAAAAGAGGAACTTAGCTCCTCCACCATTCCTATGACGTATTTCTGAAAATACACATTCACATAGAGTTAAAATACGATTTCCTGTGCCAATACGACGTTGCCGACATCATCAATATGTCTAGATTTCCGGAAATTGTCCTTTGAATCATATCATAACAGCAAAGGGATATAATAGGTTATTCAATCCTACTTTGTCAAGTATTATGAATAATTCCCATAAATCTCTGATTATCTGAATGAAGTTGATTACTAATAAAGATAAATCATGATATTTTGCAATAGTATCTATAATTTTTCAGTTCGTTATATTACAATATGTTATTCTTAACTTGTCAGTAATTTTTTCGCTTATAAATTCGTTCCTTGATAAAACGGATCTATTTCCTAGGAAAGTTGCAGATAATATCTTGCAAAAGCGCCTAATACTTCGAGTCCGTCCACACCACTCAAAATACTGACAGGCCCAAAAAAGAGGAAGGAGCCATGAGTATCGGCTTCATTCTGTTCTGACCGATGACAATAAATTAGGAAGGATAGTATCATTGAATATAGCCGATTGTAATTCATTGATTCAATGATATTTTCGTTTAGGATCGAGCTCTATTGGAGATATTTCAATGCATAAATAACAAAACCATAACCTGTCAGAATGAAGCTAACTACCCTATGCATCTCTGTTCCCAGTGCATTTGTGATTGTGTATGTTTTTGTTCACCAGTTTTACTTCTTCTGATATTTTTATCATTCGTTTTCCATTCGTTAGCTATTCGCTAGCTATATTCTTCACCATCAGCTATTTTCAGACTAGATTCAGAATGTACGTCACAGTTTGCCGCCCCGAAAATTAGAAATTGCTTTAATTTGAAAATGGTCCTGAGCCTTTTTGTGGGATAAGCAAATGTCACCTAAAGGGAGAACTCAGGAAATGGGAAGAAATTGAAAAGTCCTCCTACTGGAGAGCAACTCCAGGTCAACGACAAGCGAAAAGGTTCATCGACCATTCGCAGAACCGAGCCAAAGAGCTACTCAGCCTCAGCAAACCAGAGCTAAAGCTTATCACAGGCTTTCTCACAGGACACGGCCCTCTGAGGTACCACCTCAAAAAGATGGGCCTGGCGGAGACTGACACTTGCCGATTTTGAAACAATGCGACCGAAACCGCGGAACACATACTTTGCTCATGTGAAGTATTAGTCCGCCAAAGGCTGAACCACCTAGAACAGGTCTATCTCACCCCTGCTGAAGTGGAAAATTCAACCGTCAGGAAAAGTGTAGGCTTCATCAGAAGTCTAGGGTTAGAGGACCAAAACTAGATAGGGATAATCACAATAGATCTTCTAGGTCGCAGTGATCGAGAGGTCTCCCAGCCTATACGACCCATCTACAATCTACAATCTACAATTTAACCTACAGACTGGTTTCGGGTTTTTGGCCCCCATCAGTGTAGGGTAGAGTAGGTGAGTAGTAGTTCAATGTTTTCCGTGGCATTAGCAAGGAAAGTAGTTGTTTTTCCCCGTCATCTACCATTATTATTAACTCTTTGAACATTTGTGGAAACGACTTTGAGCTTATTCTTTCATACCCTTTGAGCATTTTGGCAATTTCGTGGTACCAATTTTCCTTATTTGATCGGTGTTACCTCATACCCTCATACTAACCGATGTTCAGGCCAGTCACGATAATTGGCCTCACACTCCCAAAACATGTGACACCTGATGTGCTCTGGAAGCAACCCGTGCTGATGAGTCTTCGGCTCGATGTAGGTCTTCAACAACGCCAATAGGAACAGGTAGCACTTGATCTGCGCGTGGGACATGCGCGCCTCTAAATACCTACGGTGATTTATGTGATTAGATATGTTGACGATATTTTTGCTATTTATGATGCAAAATTGAACGACTGCTTCCCCTCTATTAAATTCACCTTTGAATGCGGAAATAACGATCAATTACCGTTCTTGTGCGCAAAAATGGCGATCACACAACGTGATCTTTATTGTTGTGTTAGCTAAACATCGATAGACCATCGATAGTTTCAACTTTGCTCGCATTCAGAATATCAACGCAGTCCGAAACCATCAGGAGATAGAAGTATACGCAGTTCCACAGAACTATAGGTACCCATTTTCCAAGTTCTGGAGAACTGCGCATAATTCAGATGGTTACGGATAGTTAATTTTCTGAGCGCGAACAAACCTATTGACAATTGACACATATCAGCTTGTTTATGTTCTGGTTGGACACAAGGACTAGGATAAACAGACTGAAAGCAAAGAGACAATGAGTTACGTTCCTTAAACAAAATATAACATTTTTTATGCTTAATTTTTTACCTGTGATAAGTGATGACGTTTTAATAACTTTAAATAGTTTTTTGTTTGAGTCCATTTAAAATTTAAACTTGCCATTTTGTGTGTGGAGACTTGAAAATAATTTCCAGAGATTTTTCTTGGCCACTTTTATCAAAATATTTTTTTCAGAAACCTGTGCGGCAATTAGTTTCCGAGATACAGTCGGCGTCCTTTCTTAGTGGTACACCCGGTACATACAGGGTGGGCCACCAGTAACGCCTCGGTCTCTAGAGGGCTAACCACTTATCTTCTTGGAATTCTTCCTCTCTAGGAAGTTGCATGTCAACATAGGCTACCATTTAAAATTATTTCGAAACATACAGGGTGTCCCCAAAAACCATAAAACACTGAAGTTAAACTTTTTCCTATCGAACACCCTATATATCATTTCATTTTGAGATTCTCCCTGATGAGCTGATTTCAACGACCCATCATACTTGGGGTCTAGCAGTTATAATTACTGAAATATAAGGTGTGAAAAATCGAGATTTTCCAAGTTCAAGAATTTTTTGTGTCGAAACTATTCATAATTGGTCAAAACGGCTTATATGTCCCTATCTCAACTTTTGATTAACTATCTACTGATATTTAATTGGGACATATACCGGGTGATCGAGATTCTGAATTCTGCACCACCCTGTATTTGTTTCAATTAAATGTCAGTAGATAGTTGATCAAAAGTTAAGATGGGGACATGTGAGCCGTTTTGACCAATTATGAATGGTTTAGACACAAAAAATTCTTGAACTTGGAAAATCTCGATTTCTCACACCCTAATATCTCAGTAATTATAACTGCTAGACCCCAAGTATGATGGATTGTTGAAATCAGCTCACCAGGGAGAATCTCAAAATGAAATAATATATAGGGTGTTCGATTGAAAAAAGTTCAACTTCAGTGTTTTGTGATTTTTTGGGACATCCTGTATGTTTCAAAATAATTTTAAAAGGTAGCCTATGTTGACATGCAACTTCCTAGAGAGGAAGAATTCCAAGAAGATAAGTGGTTAGCCTTCTAGAGACCAAGGCGTTACTGGTGGCCCACCCTGTACATATATTGTGTCCTTGCCTATTCTCGCATACCTTTCGGCCTTGGGGAAGGCGATCTGCCATTCGAGGGTGGCATCCGGCGTTTGGCCCTTCTTCTCCCAATACCCGCTCGGCACGACAACGCAGCTCATCTGCTCGATCTCCTGGAGCATGTCGTCGGTGGGCCAGCGGTACACAAACCTACCAATTTTATCTCATTCAAAACTATTCAAGATGGTATATTACGAAAAAAAATTCATATCCGAGCTTGGGAGAAATTCATGTTTCATTGTTATGTCAAAAAAGTTCACTTTGTGATCAGGTTTCTCGAAAAATTTCGGCAGATTCAGGAAGCCGCAGGGTATAACATGAAGTTATAGGCATGTTGTAGCCATCTAGTGGCAAAGCTCTAAGGTAGGATACAGAGATCGCGACACACACTGTATGGCGCTGCCATCTATAGTCACACGTACAGACCCCTACGTCTATACGCTACAGAGTGGTACTACAAGTGAACCACTCTGCTGACAGATGACACTACCTGACATACTTGAGTGGAATTTTTCCACCACCTATTCAACTGCTAGATCTCATAACAAAGAGATCCAGTATGAACAGAGTGCCCCAATTGTCAGCAGGAGCGAGACAGTACTGTTTCGACCCACCAGGTCTCATCAGCCAGTTGTCAGCAGACCGAGAGCGGCTGATGAGACCTGGTGGGTCGAAACAGTACTGTCTCACTCATGCTGACAATTGGGGCACTCTGTTCATACTGGATCTCTTTGTTATGAGATCTAGCAGATTCTGGAAGATCAGACAAAATGTCATAGACTTTGGTAGGAGTCCATATTGTTGTGAAGTGGAGTGAAATTTTTCAAAGGAACCTCAAACATACCTGCTCTTCTATCATAGACTATTTTGGATTAAACGTTTACTCATTCAATAATGCTTCTAGCATTCCTAAGAATAAGAGAAATGAATGGTTTGAGGCTATTAGGAGACAGTTATTGGACCTTAGCCAATCAAGAAATGTATTTTATCAATACTCTCCTTGTATCAATAAATTCTGATCAACTGTTTTTCTTTCATGGTATTGCATATTTGATTCATTTCATTTAATTTTTTCTTGTTTCCTTCTATAAACATTGTATGTTTCTTTTTTTTATGTTCTGGTTCCCACGAGAGGGGATATCCTGTAATGTTCAGAGAAAATCGTGAGAACCAAGGGAAATAAGGTAGCAATTGGTGTTTTTCTTGAATTTCTGGAGATTATATGCCTCGGGGAACACCTCCCTTGGCAATGTGTTCCAGAGTCTCGCTGTTCGTACGATGAACGAGTCTTTGGAAAGAGATGTTCTACGGGTCTCCAAAGTGACCACGAAGAAGTAAGAAGCCTCAACTCGACGGGTTAATCTCGCAGGGACTGCCAAGGGAGGAACAATTGTTGATATTCCAGAAGAGCATCGTCCATGAAAATAGCTATAAGATAGAGCCAGATCGCCAACTTTTCTACGGTGTTCCAGAGAAGTGAGTGAGTTTGTGAGCGAGGCATCACCCACGAGACGAATTGCCCTTTTTTGGACAGAATCCAATAGTTTCAGGGTGTGTTTGGGTGCTGCACTTCAAATACAGGACAGGTCGGGTCTGTGCCTTATAGATCATAAGCAGCTAACTGGAAGTGAAATAGCTCCTGACCCGAAACAGAAAACCAAGTTTTTGGGATGCACCTTTATCAATTATGTTCGGATCATTTTACGCCAGACAGCGGCTTTCTGATGCTTCCAGGCAAATTCAGGACATTGAAACATGCAAATTTGCCGTGTTTTGAAATTGAGCTCTCAAATCTGAGTATTTGAAAGCTATGAGACCTTAATACGGCATATTTCATTCGTTTCTCATTACTTTATGCATGGTTTATCAACCTTCCATATTAGACCCTATTAGTAGTAGTTCATAAATGTGCATGAATCAGTTTCACCAGTTCGATCTCCTGAATGGCTCACATTTTTCCTTATAGAGCTGGCAGTCTAGATTAGTGTTCAAGTCGGTGATCGAACCTGGCGTTTTTCGAAGTCGCCGTATTTAATTATCGAACAAAAAAATTGCGATGATTTTGAATAACGAATGATTGCATCAAATACTATTTTTCTGCAACCGACACAAAAGTCGTGCATTTTGATACCAAAATTAGCTCTTAAATTGACGTTCCTATTACTGACACAAAAATAGGTATGTTGCTCGGCAACATATTTAGTTCCTAGGAGCTAAAGTTGAATTGTAGTTCCTAGGAGCTTAAGTTGAACTTTAGCTCCGCTCCGCCTCACAAATGCAAAATTCGCTTGTCAAACAAAATGTCACTTTTGATCCTAATAAAACAATCTACTATTATACACGGAATGATCAATATAAAATAGGTATGTGGCGTAAATTCGATCTTCGATCGGGAACAGCCCTGTATGAAAACAGAGCCTAAACCTACCCGTTCCGTGTGTCAGTCACTGTGGGCCGTTCCTCGCGATGCATAAATTCATAGGTCTGGTCCTCCGGCCAGGGAATCGACACTGATGGTATGACCTGAAAAGAAGAATGTTTCAATCTCAGTAGTATTTCTCAAAACAAAACCGTTGAAACATTCCAAATGTCAGTAATTAATATACGTCTTATGCTGCTATTCTGCCGACCATCTAATCTTCGAGTCAGAACAAGTTCTGGTATGAGGAAGAACATAATTATAAAATAATAAGTAATAAATATCTATGAATCACAATAAAACAAAACAATCAATGAACAAAGAAAATCATTCTAGTCAAGGACATAACTTACTGATAAATTTTCAAACATTTCTCTCAGAAATGATCAGTTTTTTCATTTTCTTTTCAAATGTACCCATATTTCTGCAGTTTTTAATTTCATCTGGTAGTTTATTGAACTGAGATCAGGCTGCATGAGTGAATTTTTTTTTGTCCGAGTGTAGAACTAGCAGCATCAAGGTGAAATAAGTTATATTGTCTAGTTGGATGACTATGAATTTCATAATTTCTTGTCAAAATCTGTACAGTTCTTATAAAGAATATGTTTTTGTTGAAGCATACAGTTCAGTTCTTGGTGATAACGAAATGATATATGTCCCAACCAAGGGCATGTATTGTTATTACTACACCAAGGTAGTGAAGAATATCATCATTACCCAGGGACCAAGATTATATCCCGAGGCTTCAGCCAATATATTTCAATAATTATCATTCTCTTCAATTCTGATTAAAATCTAATCAAATTAAAGCATAAGTCGTTATTGATAAATACATATACTCGATTCGAGTGCCATTCCTATGAATATCGGCCAACGTTAAACAAGGAAGAAGAGGGTGTCTATCTACGATGAATTTAATCTATATCCTGACTGAACTTTACATCATATTAAGATTAATCTGCAAAAACTCACATCCTATATACATACATACATCTTACCTCACAAGGAATCGGGTTGTCTTTATCATCTGTCAGGTTACAAAAAATTTTCCCAGGTATAGCCTTCGCCTCGTTAATATTCTTGTCATTGAACCCCATCGACTTTCCCAACGAATTCGGAAACAGCCCGTTCTTGAAATAATCCATGAACCTATGGTGATCAGTTATGTTATACCAGTTGTCAACGAATCTCGGAATCTATCATCATCGATAATATAACCGTTGTGGATTTCAATTTTTCATCTCTTCTAATAAAAAACCTCAGGCTGTTACATCCCAGCGAGCACAAACATCCCTGAGATGTTTTGGGATGTTTTGAAAATGTTGGCATGAAGATGTTATTTTGAGACGTAATATGCACTGACCAAAGAGGTCTTTGAAGGATATTGAAGTATTGTTTTTGTTCTTCTGTGGCATTTCTTTGTTTGCCTACTGAGAGGTATCCCTGGGATGTTTTGGGATGTTTTAGAAATGTAGGCATGAGGATGTTTTTTGAGGCGTAATATGCACTTCCCAAAGAGGTCTTAGAAGGATATTGAAAGTATTGTTTTTGTTCTTTTGTGCCCTTTCTTTGTTTGCCCCACCACAACGTCTCATGCTATGTTTTCGATTTTGTTCTTCTTGTTCGCAATTGGCATTCGCGTTTGCAGCGTGTCACGCTTACATCACGCTGCTAACGAACAGAAAGGAATTTGGTGAAATTTATTGTGTTAGAAGACTTATTTAGTTTGTAATAATGACCATCAGATGCAAGATGTGTTGTTCGGTGCCTTAGTGTAATCAATATATAAAAGTACGAATTCATCAATACACAGCTTCTCCGCAGTTGCAAAATTATGCACTGTATGAAGAACATTTCAAAAATTGGGAAACCTATTTCCAATTATATTTCTGTGTGTAGTAAGCACTACTCAGAAACCGATTAGGAAGGTAATTTCATATCAAGAAAATATGTTTATGTTCAATCTATTTTTAATGCATTTTTTCATTCAAGGGAAATGGAATCCTAATGCAAAAGTTCATTTAGACAAAAGGCTTCAGAAGAGTACCTCGAAAATGGTTTTTTTTACAGCGATTTAATGTGCGCAAGACGCGTTGAAAATGTTCTGTTGTGTCCATCAAAAGGCTTTAAAAAGAACTAGGGAGAAGGTAGTTTTGTGACATATCAAGGACATCTCGATAATTGCCTCATGCGGCGGACATTAGCTGTTCTATAATAGTTCTATTCATGTGTGAACAGAACATCGCAGTGGAGGTTCAATGTCTCGAAATCTCGTACTTTTAACATCTCTGAGATGTTTTTGTGCTCGCTGGGATGTCTCCTGTGTCACCCGGTATTGTATGTGAAGAGGAAAGTTTTCGGATATTTTTGACTTCCCGGTCACTTTCGGTATCACTGGAAATGACTCCAGTTTAGAATTTTTAAATAGAACATCCTGTTTATTAAAACATTTTTGAATTTCCGAGACGATTCGGGATCCGAATGTGACATTTTCAGAAGTTTTTATGCCTACTTCATTTTTTTAGAGTCACTTTTAATATTGCATCTAGGTGGCCATGACCTCAGATGATGTCAGAAAATTATTAACGCAAAACTTTTAGTAACTAGTATGTTAGATAAGAAGAAAAGTTGACAAAATTACGTCCGTATCTAACTATTATTTATTAAATGGCAACCATTTTTTGATAAGCACGTTCCGAAAAAAGGATTTTTTGATGAACCTAAAGATACTAATTTAATTGCGATTGGATTGAAAATAAGAACATAAATTTAATATTACTAAGGAAAATACTGGATATTTATCTATAAACGTTCGTCAAGTGTGCCATGGATAGCCATGGTGCATAGTTTTTTTTTTCAGTCTTCTTTGGAGAACAAAACATCAGGTAATGATAGTGATATAAACCTTATGCGCAGACAGTAAAATTTTCTTCATTTTGTTAAATTCCAGTTCTATTTTCTTCCAAAATAATATGGTCAAACTGAAGAGTGGATACCTGAGTGTTATGTTTTCTGAAGAAGACTCGAAAAAAAAATTTTGTTTTCTTAGTAATATTTTTATGTTCTTATTTTCAATCCAATCGCAAATAAATTAGTATCGTTAGATTCGTCAAGAAATCTTCATTTCGGAAAGTGCTTGTCAAAAAATGATTGTCATTTGAAAAATAATAGTTGGACACGTGAATGTAATTTTACCTGAGGTCCTTAGATAAATAGATGCAATATTAAAAGTGAATCGTAGGCGTAAAAACTTCTGAAATGTTATATTCTGATTCAGAATCGTCTCTTAAATGTTACAATATACAAAATATTCCATTGAAAAATTCAAAACCGGAGCCAATTCCGGTGAAACCGGTAGTGACCTGGAAGTGAAAAATATACGAGAAAACTTTCCTCTTCATATACCATATAACCATATTGAATTTCATTTTGATAAACCCATTATTGTCTGACATTGGTGTGACATTTTTATAATATACTTTATTGAAAAAAGTGCACATATTCAGAACATCAATATAATACTGCCTACCGCATGGAAATTTGAACAGAGGTGACGTCAGATTTGCTACAGTGTAGAACTTTGGGTGGAAAAAAGGGTCTAACCTCAAATTTCATTTCGATCCCTGATTTTTTTTATTGGTGCCATTCGATAGTACACGTGGAGCTTTCTCAGTGTTTGAAATATTTGCACTTATTTCAATGCAACCCTGTATATAAACACTACTCAGTTTTATAGCGAATTCTATTGGCAGGAACCGGTGGAGTGTTTCTCCACTGAGTGTATATTTCTCTCCGTTTAACACAATGGTTCTTAAGCTTCTAGTGATGAGGGACCATTTCACAATTTTTTGTCTTGCCATGGACCACTGGATGTTTAAAGGTTAATACATTGAATGAAAATTAAGGAATGATTGTTCTATCTATGAATAAAACATTCAAATATCTGTTCTAACATCTCAATTTCAGAGGATTTTCATATTCCATGTTCTCTTTTTGGATGTTCAACAGATATAATTCAATGTTAGACGTGGCAAATAGCCAGGAAAGTAGTTTCGAAAATGTTCCTCAGCATTTCCGGGCCAATATTTTGGCAGCAATGTGTTATTGAGGCTTGCAGCTCTTCAAGGTTATCATTGTCTCTCTTGAATACTTCATCTCCCAAATATCCAAAAAGGCAGAAATCTAAAGGCGTCAAATCTGGAGAACGTGTTTGAAAAAAAGGATTAACTCCTCGACTTATCACACGGTTGTCATAAAATTCTTGTAAATATTCTAAATTTGCACGTGTGGTGTGAGCAGTGGCCCCATCTTGCTGAAGATAGCCAACTCGAATTTCTTCATCATCAAGTTGATTAATGAATGGTTCTAACATCACTTGTCTGTACCTTTCACCATTAATAGTGCCATCGAAGAAAATCGATCCATATATTCGCCTACGAGAAACTTCTAACCACACCCCAATTTTTTGAGAATGTAGTGGGGTCTCAATGGAATTGTGGGGATTCTCAGATCTCCAAAACCTAAAATTTTGTGAGTTCACGTATCCCGACAAATGAAACCAAGCCTCATCGCTGAAAAATGTTAGGTCCAATAGCTGGTCATCGTTGAAATTATTTTGGAACCATTGGCAGTACTCCAGACGACGTGGGATATCTATTGGCAGAAGTTGCTGTAGTACACTGGTCTTGTAAGGGTGCACATGCAATCTTTTCTTGAGCACTTTATGGCATGTACTTAGTGGCACACCAGATTGTAAAGATAATCTCTTCAATGTGACGTTTTGGGATTTTGCTCAACACGCGCCCTCAGATTTTCGACAACTTCTTCCGATATTTGGGGTCTTCCTGTTGATTTCTTTTTATTAATGTTTCCAGATTGGATGAATCTGTTGATCACTGTTCTGATGTGGGCTTTCAAAGAAGATTCTTGAATCTGTACATTAGGATATTTCGCCAGGTACTCTTCCTTGCAGGCTACTGCCGAGTAACTCCATCCACCATTGATGAATGTGCCATTTCCACAATAAGACATTACAATAAATGTATTCTTCTCCGAGGAATAAGCCATCCCTCTTTTCAACACGACAATCACGAAGTAGAAAACAGAATCGTTTGAAAATTGTAACGAAAAACTGACAATTGTGAGTTTATCAGCTATGACAGTATAATGATTGGTGTCAGAAATTAAATTCGAATGTGTGAATCTCCATAAATGAAAGGCGGCAAATGGAGAAAATATTTCAACGGCTACTACGATGCTACGATCATTTATAGAAACCCTGTACTTGGATGGGTGACCATTCGAGGAAACGCCGCGTAAGCCCGTACAACTGTAGCGGAATAGCATATCATAGCTACAGCTACCATATCAATGAGCACAAGATATGGTACGGATATGCCGTCCTTCGGAGAGGACGTTAAACCGGCGGTCCCAAGGCCATGGATGTTGAACTCGTTAAAGATCCCTACCTCGGGTTGGAACGTTACCACCGATACAACAAGGCCAGCAGACTCTGACGTAAACAGCTCGTGACGTCACCAAGAGAGGCCTGTTTTATTTTATCGGTTGTCGACTAACGCGTCAGTTCGTGTTAATTCATCGGTGATTCACGTATGTTTTTGAAACGGTCCCGAATTCTTTTGTTGTTTATTCATCAAAATAATTGGCGGAAAAATTACTGTTTTGTGAAATATTTTGTGTTGTGATCGGCGAAATAACAATGCCTTCCAAGTGTTGTGTTCCCTTTTGTCGGGGGAATTATGTGGGTGGTTCAAAAGTTCATGCTTTTAGTTTCCCGTTGGACGAGGAGCTATCGAAAATGTGGGTATATTCAATTCACCGCGAGGATTTTACTCCATCTGAGTTCAGTAGTAAACACAAACAGAGCTTAATTTATAATGATGAATTAATAATAGAAGACAATTACTCTCTCATAAAAAATATAAGTAGAGGAAAAATAGAAAAGCTTTGATTGTGCAGTTAGTTTTGTATTCGTATATTATAGTCAACAAAATCATCTCTGAATTCGAGGACATTTTCTTGAATGTTCATAATGAATGGGCATTTTTAATTCTCATTCTCAAATTTCTTTCTGAAAACGGTCATTTGCCTCGTGGCAATGAATGCAGAATTCATTCCAATGATCAAATTGCAACTATCATATTAACATGAACTACAAACACTCTACTTAAAAAGGTAAAACTGCATTTATCATGATATTTATCATGAAGATATTTGACTAAAAAGTTCCAAATTTCACCTTCTTTTTCACCTGTCTTCTGGATGGCATTTAGAACAAATTTCCCTTCTTTTTTCATCATATTGGACAATTTATATATAATTCAACTATAAATATAATTTTCTTGAGATTAATCCATATTTAGTGAAAAGAAGGAAGAATATCATTAAAAATTAGGGCGTGTGTAATGTCATTCGAAAGCAATCTCGCATGATAAATGCAGTTTTGCCCTTAAAAATTACGGTTTCAAGTGTAACGATCCACTTGGGTGAAAAATCCAACAACAGAAAATTGAAAACACTCACTGGTTATTTTTTCAGGAAATAGGAATTCTCCAAGATAAATATAGGTAATTGTAACAAACGGCATGTCAATCAAAATAAAATACATTTTCCATAATTTTCTTTCGATCAATCTCACGTTTATGTTCTGCGGGCCCTGTATAAGTAGGTGTGAAGTTTACCTTCACCACAATTTTTGCCAATATATTTAATTCGAATGGGTTGCTGTAGGTGGATATTTGTGTTTTATCCTGGTTTTTGCTTTAAAACTTCGTTTTTCCATAATAAAATCGAATGGGGTGCGAAGAAGGGCTCAGTTGACGACTGGCATCCTTTTTTAACCGGAAGCCCTTCAAAACACAGCAAAATTGGCTCAATGATGATCTGAAACTAAAATCGAAATACGCGGTCGCCTCACTGAGTGACGTCACCCACGGAGCATGCAGGCCTTATTGTATCGGTGGTAACGATAGTGTGCTCACCGACGTCGGTGATTAGCCTCAGTAGCAGAAAAAGGCCTACGTTAAAGAAACTCCAACATTTCCTGCCAATGGAATTCGCTGTTATAATTTGTATCAATTGTATCAACAAACCCTTTAGCGTCAATATAGGTGACCGTATCGAAATAGTCCTCGATTTTGATCTCTACGTTTTTGTCTTCGTTCTGCATCCGTATTTCAGCAAACTGGACATGAGATATCGGCACTTTTAACTTGTTGAAACAAGCTTCGGGAAGGGTGTCTCTCCTTACAGATAACTTGCTGACTACCAGAGGTTTAGGGGTCTTCAGCTGGTATATGGTATTGTACTCGTATATTTCCGGATCTGGGTCTTTGGAGGTGGATGGAACGGGTTCCGGTGGTACTGTGGTGGGTTCTGGTGGTACTGCGGTGGGTTTTGGCGGTACTGTGGTGGGTTCTGGTGGTACTGTGGTGGGTTTTGGTGGTACTGTGGTGGGTTCTGGTGGTACTTTGGGAGGTTCTGAGGGCACCGCATTGCTTTTCGGGGGATTGTTTACGTCTATGTATTTCAGCCGTACGAAGCCTGTGGAAATAAAGTAAGAACATGATTCAGTGCCATCTACAGAGTGAATGAATAGGGAATTTTTGTAACAAGTCTGCAGGTCAATCAAGGAGATAGGATATACATTTCAAAATACTTGAACCTCTAGAAAATTATCAACTCCATTGAACAAAGTTAGATTTTGAAATTTTCTACCAATTAAGTCACTATGAATACTAAGAGTACCATTTTCTTAAGAGATATCAAGGCTTCTCCCCTCCCTTAGGAAGCATTCTTGGATGAAGGTGAACTAACTTTTTTGTTATGTTCTGGTTCCCACGAAAAGGGATATCCTATAATGTTCAGAGAACATCGTGAGAACCAAGGGAAATAAGGTAGGAATTGGTGTTCTTCTTAAATTTCTGGAGGTTATATGCCTCGGGGAACACCTCCCTTGGCAATGTGTTCCAGAGCCTCGCTGTTCATTGGATAAAATCTTTGGAAAGAGATGTTCTGCAGGTCTCCAAAGTGACCACGAAGGGGTGCGAAGCCTCAACTCGACGGGTTAATCTCGCGGGGACTGCCAAGAGAGGAACAATTGTTGATACTTCAGAAGAGCATCGTCCATGAAAATATCTATAAAATAGGGCCAGATGGCTAACTTTTTTATGGTGTTCCAAAGAAGTGAGTGAGTTTGTGAGCGAGGCATCACCCACGAGACGAATTGCCCTTTTTTGGACAGAATACAACAGTTTCACGATATGTTTGGGTGCTGCACTCCAAATATGGGAACAGTATTCCAGGACAGGTCGGATATGTGCCTTATAGATCATAAGCAGCTGACTGGAAGTGAAATAGCTTCTGGCCCCAAACAGAAAACCAAATTTAGCAATTGATCTCAGGTGATTTTCCCAAGAAAGGTTACTGCTGATAGTAATACCAAGCATCGAAATGGATATCTTCAAAAGTATGGTTACTCCTGACAAGCTTATGTTGGGCACAGTGAGATAGGCTTTTCTAGAGAAAAGACATGCTGGTGTTTTGTTTGCATTGAAATCTACCAAGTTATTGGATCCCCATTCGAGAATTGTTGCCAGGTCCATATTTATGAGTTAGAATGAGTAAGATATATGCGCATGCTTCATGGTCTCCAATTCGATCTCAAATGAACTTTTGTCTCATGGCATTTATTGCTTTCATTTGGGTGGTTAGTCTCTATAACCAAAAGTACAAGTTCAGATGTTCTCGATGGAATATAAACTTTCAACTGTTAATGAACAGAAAACAATACTATCAAATAAGTGGAATACCTACCTAATCTTTCACCTTTAATATTTTGATGATAAGTAGAGATAAGGATAAGGAATAATAGAATACTAGATGTACGCAGATAAACTCGAAGTGAATATATCTACATGGAGAGGCCTAAACATTGGAGATTGAGATAGCAGAATCAAATACAGAAGGAATACTTATTACTGACTTCAAAATACAGTATGTTTCAATATATCAAAACATTATAAATTACCTATCAATTTTGTCTAACCTTGAAGAGTTTTTTAGTGAAACTGCGTATTTTTGTCTGAAAAACACGAATTTGATAATGAAAATGTGAACAAACCATTATTTATTACGATATTTCACTATAAAGTTACAAATTTCACCTTCTTCTACTGGATTTTTCTTTTAGGCTCCCTGATGAAAAAATTGCGCAGTGACATTTTGCGGCAAATCATCTGATTTGTCCCACTACAAATATATTGAAATAATACGAATATTTTTATTTTATTGAAACGAGGAGAGAAAATCCCAAAAAATCAAGAAACATGAATATACCACCTCCTCCATTAACCTACAGATAGTATCTAAATTTTAAAGTTGAAATATTGGTTTTGCTTATATTGAAACACAAGCTGTTAGAATCACACCATCGTTTAATTCCTTCAATGTAGGTACTTTTATTTTGTTCCAGTATTGCTGTATCATTCCCACTCCAAAGAATTGAAGTATCATCTGCAAAAATTGTGAAGTGACCTTGAATATTGATGGAAGGTAGATCATTTACGTAAAGAAGAAATAGGATAGGTTCCAATACGGATCCCTGGGGAACTCCATGAGAGATACTTCCCACTTCAGAATACCCGTAGCTAGTACGCACAGTCTGCACTCGATCCCGTAAATAAGACTGAAACCAGACCAAGGCAACGCCTCTAAACCCATATTGTTTTTTGAGAAGCAGATCATGATTCACACAGTCGAATGCTCTCGAAAAATCGCAGAAAACTGCCGCCGCTATGTCCTTATTATTCAATGACATGACATATAGTTTCTCGAACAAAGATTTATACTCTTTCTCTCTCTTTCGCAGATATAGGCAAATATGAAAATTATAGAAACCGCTTGCAACAATGAAAAGTGGCCCCAAACAGCAGCAGAGCGAATGTTTGAATACAGGTACCTAGCTACTGTAAACATTTTCACGTTTGAAATGTGAAGTGTACCTCGAAGAGATGCCTCAAATCGAGTTAACAAAAACCCCCTGTGTATTTTTGCAAACTTACCTTTTTTATTAGAATTTTCTAGTCTGACTTGATACGCTGGTTTGTCAATCGATGTGTACTGGGGGATTTCCACACTGTTCACTACCTCGATTCTATCATAGACAACGAACAATCTTTTTGGTGCCAGTGTATCAGGTTTGTTCTTCTTTGGTCCGTGTAGTTGTCTATAGCGAATGTTCTTGTTCACATTGTCTATAATGATGTCAGGACACGTACATTCAACTGTCTCGTGTTGCAGTAGAATTCGATTGAGTGCTTTCTCCTTTTTGTTTGTTGTGGAGTGAAAAAGTTTAACTATGTCACTGTGAAAAAAAAAATGTTAACCAGGACAGTAGGAAAAGGAATATTATTGTTGTAATTTGGTTGGTAATATTTCAACAAATTTTAAATTCAGTTATATTTTTCAAGGAATACTACTACCACTGAGAGAAGAAATCCGTGCAAACCTCTTTCAATCGACGAATCATGATTTACGTTTGATGTACAATCAATATTATGAGTTAAAGTTGAAGGGAATCGAATCTATATCGTTTTGAAATCAGCATATTTCATTCGATATTTCAAACAACCAAATATGTTGGTGGAGTCGTAACGTATTAGTCCCGAACTGTAGCTATCTCTCTCGGATACCTCGTCATTCTGCAGTGAGCCCTACTGCAACTAATTTTCCCTTGTGTAAAAACACAAGCTCTATCACATAATATAATAAAAATCTTAGCTTCCCATTACAAAAATTTTTTGATGACGTCATAACTTTGACAACTTTGACGTGTTATTATTGTAACTTATTTCAAAAGATGCAGAATAAAAAAAACAGTTTAACGTGTTTTTGCATTTTTTTCAAAAGTGATCGTTGTACGTTTTATGAATTTTGTGCATTACTTCATCATAACCCTGTATAACATTCAACATAATATAATTATCCTCTGCATTTATCAAAACCATATCTACCAAGATTTTCATAGTTACAGTGACAACAACGATGTGATACTTACAATACAATACAATACATTTATTTCCATACACTTCACAGTATTGGATGATGTCAAAAATAAGTACCCTAATTGAATTAAAAATCAAGGAACTTCAAAAAGTAGACATACAGTAGATATATAAAAAAATTGCTAAAAACAAATGACGGAACATACAAACAAAAAATAGTGAAGACATCATTACAAAGTATTAGATGCGAGGTTAGAGACGTTGCAATTGAAAAAATCATTAATAGAATAATAGTTATTTATTATACAAGGGAAAAAAGTAGTAGATTTTAGCTCCAGGTTGTGTTGTCTCCCGACGCGTAGCGGAGGGAGACAAAAAACCGTGAGCTAAAATCTAATATTTTTCCCGTGTATAATACACTATTTTTTTCTGTGACAGAAGGAAGTACGAATCAATATTGAGAAGATATTACATTATTTCGAAATCTGAAAATTATCGACGTGAAATTTCAAGTTTTTAACAGTAGGGACACCTGCGTTTTATAGGCATCTTTATCATTCTTTTGAAGTAATCAAATATCTGATGTCACTTCTGTCAGTTCAATTCTGTGATTTGATTTTAAAAAATAGCGAATTCAGTAGTTGTTTAGTAATATACGAAACCGCGAAGTCGAATGGAAGATAAAAGGACTTGCAGTTCTTTCTCGGAGACGGTATTATTGACTCATTTTTCGGAACTATAGCACAACAAAAGCCATTAACAGAGTATATATATGTGATATATATCCGGGAAAAAAGTACTCACTTTTTTCCCACGGGAAAAAAGTAATTTATGAAAACTGACATTTTATAACCTGCCAACAGAGATGAAATGCCAAACTTTTTTCCCGTCACAGAAAAATAGTTATTTATTATACAAGGGAAAAAAGTAGTAGATTTTAGCTCCAGGTTGTGTTGTCTCCCGACGCGTAGCGGAGGGAGACAACATACCGTGAGCTGAAATCTAATATTTTTCCCGTGTATAATACACTATTTTTTTCTGTGACAGAAGAAGGGACGAATCAATATTGAGAGATATTACATTATTTCGAAATCTGAAAATTATCGACGTGAAATTTTAAGTTTTTAACAGTAGGGACACCGCGTTGTAGGCATCTTAATTATTCATTTGAAGTAATCAAATATCTGATGTCACTTCTGTCAGTCTAATTCTGTGATTTGATTTCAAGAAATTGCGAATTCAGTGGTTATTTAGTATTATAGGTAACCGCGAAGTCGAATGGAAGATAAAAGGACTTGCAGTTCTTTCTCGGAGACGGTATTATTGACTCATTTCTCGAAACTATAGCACAACAAAAGCCATCAACAGTGTATATATATGTGATATATATCCGGGAAAAAAGTACTTACTTTTTGCCCACGGGAAAAAAGTAATTTATGAAAAGTGACATTTTATAACCTGCCAACAGGGATGATATGCCAAACTTTTTTCCCGTCACAGAAAAAAATGAATTTTTGATTAAAATATCTTTGAAGGTATTTTTGAATTTAAGATTATTTGATATTTCTTCAACTCAATTAGCAGTTTATTATATAATTCAATAGGTAGCACAATAGGACTGTTTGCTACCTTAGTCAGCCTGTGCTTGGGTATGACCAAATCCAGGTTTTCTCTGAGACAATACTGATTGTTTCTGGAAACAGCATTATTGATGCAAGAATGAACAGGGAGGGAAATGTTAGTAGATTCAATTTGGGAAATAATTCTTTACAAGAAAAGGTATACGGTTTGAATGATATAATTCTAATTGTTTTCTTTTGAGCTCTGAAGACCTCATCTGCCCTCGCACAGTTGCCCCAGCACATGATGGCATAAGAAGGGCAAGATTGAACATATCCAAAATAATAAAGTAATAAGAGATTAGCGTCCACTTTATCCCTAAGTTGCCACAGAACATATGAGTAGATTGACATTTTTTTTAATACTGCATCAACTTGACACGACCAGGTCAGATGCTCATCTATAAAAATACCAAGATATTTAGTGACCCTCGTTTGTTCAATAGTTCTGTCGTTGAGTTTAACCAACAGACTTTTATTCAAATCAGTGAGGCTAAAAAGTATCATTTCGGTTTCAACTTCAACTTCAACACAAGTCCCTTAGCTTTGCAGAAGTTTATCATTTGGTTAACAGCACTAGATGACATTTTAGATAGCATTTCCAGGCAGCCATTTGAAGTCGAAGTGACTTCACGGACGGTTGCCGAAAAAGTTAATTCCCGACTCTTGTTTATGCTTCCACTCACCTTCATAACAGTAGGCACCACTTATGAATAGAATTCAAAACTTACTTTTGGTAATTCTCGAAAAACTGAACGTTCAACAACATACTATTCAATAAAAATATTTGCTGATTGTCCAAGAAATCTCTTTGTAATGCACCTGTGATCTGTTCGTGATACTGACTCACTGATTCCACTCTTATATCACAGTTACCGGCAGCACTGTGTGTCACTGGTGTAAGTTCTATTTCACTGGTTTTCGAGTTAGCGCACCCCATATTGTGAATAAATATGAAAGAATCACCTCATCACTTCCATTGAACGTGAATTATGCTTTTCATTCATAATCTGATACTCATATCTAGAACTGGATTAGTAAGATTGTGATTTCATTCTACATATATTTTCTCGTTTGACAGCCTATCCTTTATCTTATCATTAATTTATCAGCTCAAATCCAACGTTTTATCCACTAAGAATATATTTTAGCTTGAACATTGCACAAAAAGATGTAAGTACTTAAGGATCTGAGAAAAACGTATTATCAGATTATTTTGAATATCTTATTGAGCTCAATGATAAGCAATTTACCCGGAACCTATTACCTTTCTGTATTTTCGTTGTTATTCTTATCAGAATTCGCGAGATTCACGAAGGGCGCGACATCTAGGTTACATAACACGAACTTCAAACTGGGGGAAAACAAACTGTTGTCTATGGATAAAGTGCATAGACTACATTGCATTCAGCTTGCTGTAGCTGTAGTCAAACTTGTCAATAACATAAAGTGTTGGCACTGTTGGTAGTGATGATGGTTGAGTTGGTTGATTTTTTTACATTATTAAATTTTTATTAGTTTAGTGAACAGTGAACGGGTGAAGAATTGGAGATAGTTCAAACAATTCAAACTAATTATGACGAGACAATCAATTGACGTAAAAAAGAACAGCTACAACATGTTTACAATACCCAGATTGTCCTGCTTTGCATGAATAAATACAAATCCATTGTTCTACAGGAGTTCCTCTGGACCCCAACTTCAATTTTACTTCATGTGGGGAAGATTTCATCGCCGAAGTTTGTAGATAAAGTGCAAAAATATGCCTTCGATCGAATATTGACAATTGATGTCAAGAAATTTAAAAACGTATCACTCTTATCAGTACACAGTACACAAGCTAATGGCACTAATGGGATTGAGAGAGGATTGAGTTTGTTTTCCTCCAGTTTTGACGTGGCTTTGACATGGAACGATGAAAACCGAGCGCCACCTCGGAGTGTGCTGAGAGATTCACTTTTTCAATTGCAACTTTTCTAGATTTATATCACTTATGTTATCCATGTTACACCTTTCAACTTCATCATTAATTTAACAATTGTTCTGTCAATTTGTTGAGGTCGGATTATTTTATTTGGACAATTCTAAAAACAATAAGCAGGTATCTCCATATAAATATTTTTTTTCAATTGACTCATGATTTCATTGGTTTTGTAAAAACTTCACAAACGATAAGATGTCCACAAAGTTCTCAAACACACGACATGTTTCGCTAACACAGTAGCTTCGTCAGGTAAAATACTGGTACAATGAATGTTTGGGAATTTTGTGGAAATCGTATCGTTTGTGAAGATTTCACTAGTGTTGAGAAGTGAGAAAAAGTTGAACATGAAAATGTAGTGTTTTTGCTCTACAAATTATCAATTTGAAACTGACATTAAATAGTTGGTATTCGACCAAAAACGCTATCCTTCAAAGCCTACTTTTCATTAAAAAGGAGTAAGTATGCAGACAGTTAGAATTCTCTCTCAATTTTATTATATGAGTAGTTTGGAAATTAATAATTTCATACCAAATTGTAATCTTCCAAATGGAGTAAGGTAGGTACAACTCTGATCAAACCAGAATATGGATCGAATTCGGTCTGATCTTAAAAAAATTAACATTCGTGACATCATATCGATATACTTACCTGATTTGAAATTACTTAGGAGAATAACTACAAAGATTCCAGGATAATTAATTGCGTCCGGATCACCCGGTATATAAATCAAATTCCCTCAAATTTTTTATGTATAAAAAAACAAAGAAACTAAACAAGATAGTTACTTTTTATTGAAGTAAGTCAAAATATAACTCCAATAGTAATAGGTAACATTAACATATCATAACGTTATGTGAGGTGACAGAAATCCATTTACGGTTCATTTCTGGACACAGTTTGCAATTTTGGTTGCGGTTTTTCTAGTAGTAATTTCATTCACACAGGGCCTCACGCAAGTGAATATTTTGTTAAATTCACACAAAAAAAATCGAGTATAGCTATCCTGTGTACATTGATTCACCATCAGAAAAAATGCAGCAAAAAATCAGATTGACCTCCGACCGTAATTGTAAAAATGATTTTTTCATAAGTAATCAAACCTCCTGAAAGAGTATTCTTTATGGTAATCTACAACGTCTTCTATCTTCTTCTTTTTTCTAATGCTATCCACCAAGAAGATACCTAATACAGTGCAAATGATTTCGTTAATTATTCTAGCCACGAGAAAAGCTATTGCAAATTGACGAATATTGAAAACCTCAACTTTTCCCAACAAAACCAATACTGTCCATATTGCATCTGCAATGCAGGAGTGCCCTGATGTCACCAAAAACAAACCCATGGCTTTTTCTCTTTCGAAGAAGATCCCAACAAACATAGGTAGACAGGATATAAGATAAATTACTTGAAAACCCATATAAATTAGCAGTGGGCGAGATATTTCTGGACTTGAATTCTCAATGCAGTATATCATACTGAGTAAACACATAATTATGAATAATATACTTAATATAGCTACTATTATTTTCAGGAGCCTCTTGTGAAACTTCATTATTGAAAGATGACATCAAATTCATTTGTACTGACGTTCAATAATCATCCAGCTATTTCTATGGCAACATGTGGGTAAATGCAATGGGTGAAGATGTTAACCCTAGTCACTGGATGGTATTAGTTAGAAATAAGAGTTCGGACACAGAAATGACAACTGTTAGTGTTTTTGAATGTTTAGATTTTTCAAGTTACACATCTTGCTTTGTGACAACAGCATCATAGTCGTTCTGCGCTTTTTCAGAATTGTTTGGATTTGACAATAAATTTTATGAATGCCAGAATAATTGAAATATAATTTCATAAACTATTGAGACAAAAAGCATAAATAAAAATGTCCTGCTTTGTAATGAATTGAATGACGATTTCATTTCCTCAATTTTCCAAAGGAAATATTAACCATTCCCTCATAGAAGAAATGTATAAAACGGCCTGGATGGAAAATTAATTTGAAGACAAGCAACATTTGTGAGGTGAATAATTACATACATTAAAATTCACTTCTTATAAAAGCATATAGGAATAAAACAATATTTTAGTCCCATTTTCAAACAGAAGATTCATAAGATTCATTGTTCTAACAGAATATTGAAAAAAAAATCCAATATTATCATCAAACGAAATGCAAAAAAAAATATCATGGAGAACGAGGAATTGATTGCAAAACTATGTAATGGAATTGAAAATTTGAAAACGAAACTGAGGAAATCAAGTAAATTGCAACGTGAATATCATTGAATGGCGTTTTCAATATCGACCAAATTAAAAAATTATCAGTAATAAGTGAATGCAGCAAAAGGTGGAAAATCAAAATAATCTCCATGTTTTCAAGTTCATCATTCGGGTACAGTTTTACATACAATAAGAAACTAGCATAAAGTATATCCATGTGTCTATTTTGTCATATTAAAATGTTACATGAATTCTTTTCAATTTTATTGCTATTGTTCTGCTAGGTGTATCGCTAATCGCTATATAAATTGAAGTGGGCGTTTCTATTTTCTATCAACGACAATGATTGATTTTACAGATAATCTAACCTCTAAAAGCGTATCTGACAATCAGGGGCTACTAGGGAAATTGAAAAGACAAAGAGCAGTATATATGTCTTATTCTTTTATTCACTCAAACCATTGTAATATAGAGAATAGAAAAGGACAGAAGTTCAGCTGTGTCCGAACTCTTCTCTAACTAATGCCATCCAGTGACTCTAGTTTACCAACTCTTTGAATCATTATTGCCAAATGCAAAAGTAAACGATAAGAACTTCTTCTAATTGAGAGTAATCAAATACAAGTCGTGACTCAACATTTCAGAATAATTATTCCAGATCTATTTGGGATTTTCTCTCGTCTCTATGAAATAAAAATATGAATATCATTTCAATATAGGTGTAGTTAGGACAAATCAGATTTTCCTATCAGAGAGCCTAAAAGGAAAATTCACTAGCTTGTCACTGACGATTTGTATTAAAAAAGGTTTGGAGAAGTTAAATAAAGGTATATAGAAGGAATATCAAATTTTGACTTATCTTTGGACGTTTCGGGAACGAATCTGCTCCCGTTTTCAACATAAAAAATGTTTTTTTTTTGTATGGCAAATTCGTATTTGTCCTGACACTTTTCAGTTCTCAATATTGATTGGTGACGTTAGCGATCAAATGAGTTACAGGAGGTTTTCATTAATTAATCTTGAATTTACCGTTTTCATTTTCCAGATTCAAGTAGTTCTATGTTCTATCTATACCGGGTGGCTACGGAAGTATTGCCTACGGAATATCTCAGTTATTGTATGAAGTAGGTTTGTGAAATTTGACGCGTCGATATAATGAAATAAGAGCTAGAATTTGAGCATATTGACATGTCGAAGTCAACTTCCGGTCTGACCGGAAGTAACATCAACTTTCATATTTTAAATGAAAACCCTATTCTTTTTCTTTTCGCTTCATTCAGCATTCAATTCCCTTTCTAATGACATATCACAAGTTGGTATCTAACCAGAAACTAGATCAGAAAAAAATTATTATTGAAATTCACCGAGTAGGCCGTGGAAGCAAAATGAAAGCCAAAAATTTAGAAGTTGGCTATGGAAACCATACGTCACTTGATAACAGTTGCTACTACTGTGATATTTTATTTTCATTCGTCGGCGTTATGAAAAGCCACCAAAAAAATATTGGAACAATTGGGAAAAAACAATACTCTGTAGGTCCATAACTCAAATAGGAACATACAACTTTTTCACAGTAGTAGCAACTGTCATCAAGTGACGTATGGTTTCCATAGCCAACTTTTCAATTTTTGGCTGAATAAAGTGAAAAGAAAAAAAATAGGGTTTCCATTTAAAATAAGAAAGTTGATGTTACTTCCGGTCAGACCGGAAGTTAACTTCGACATGTCAGTATGCTCAAATTCTAGTTCTTATATCATTATATCGACGCTTCAAATTTCACAAACCTACTTCATACAATAACTGAGATATTCCGTAGGCAATACTTCCGTAGCCACCCGGTATATAAAAACCCTTATCAACAATATCAGAAATGTAGAAGGGTATCAGAACAATGCAATTTATCAACATACATTGATGCAGGAAAATTCGGTCTGGTGGCTCTTACCGTTTAGAAGTTATGCAGGAAAATTATTTCAATTTACATTTTGGGCCATCAGTTTATTCATCAAACTATACTCATTTTTCAATGTACCATCACTTCCCGAAAGTTCGGTACAGATTTTTGACTCACCCTGAATGACCTATTGATATCATAAAAAATTAATATGATTGACTTACCCATGTCACCGTAGTCAAAGTAGGTTTATTTTTCTGCCACACCATCCTATGATACACCAACTCTCACCTTTTTTTGATTAAATTTCTTGAAGTATTTTTCGATGAGAGATAATAAAAGATTTTCTTTGTCAGACCTTACTATCAAATGGTGATTTTTTTGAGGGGTACACTGATCTTATGTTTGAGAACTAAAACACAAATATTACAATCAGAAATGTAATGGTTTCCTATAAATTACATGCATAATGAAGGCAGTGCCTCAAAATTCTACCCTGTATATTGATAAAAATTCAAAAATAATATTCACCACGAATTCATCATTGTGCGAAAGGTCATAAAATAGAATTTGAATTAGAAAACCAACCATAAAATTATGTTAAATTAATTTTGTGGCATAACAATGAAAAGAAAAATTCTATCACTAGACATTAGACAATATATAATCATTATGCTATAAATACTGCTTTCTTACTTATCCTCATTTAAGTAACTAGGTAAAACTATAATGAAAAAAATCAATGTAAATCTGAAAATAAATGCAATATTAAATTTTAAAATAAACACAATAATTAAATTAATGGGAGACAATCACAACAATCTGATGATGAAAGAAATCATTATTCTATAGAAAAATGTCTATTGCATCTCGGATTTTTTCAATTGCACAATTTGGAATACCGATTTTGAATATAACTATCAGAACAATCATCTCTTTCACCTTCATTCAGAACACAAGCTGCCTGAAACATACATACATTGCAATAAAACAAAGAAAAAATTGATGGAGAAATCTTACATAAACATTTGATAATAATTATTTTGTAAAAGTCCAACGTTTGTAAATTACAACACCAAAATACATATATTTTCCGATTTTTTATCAGTCTGAAAAGTAACCCAAGATAAGTTCTAGAAATTATGCTCTCAGATGGAGTGTAACGTTATCTATGAAACCAAAAATTCTCAAATTCGGGTATCCAAGTATTTTGCCCAAGCAATATTTTATTCATTAAAATTCATTTTTCTCCAAGCAGCATAGAAAGTTGCTTTTCTATTACTTAACAGACCGGCAGGAAGAGTTTGTTGCTATGCAAGAAAATAAAAAACAAATATTTAATCCTGGACACATACTTAGATCAACCCATTTGAATATTTCAAAATTAGCGAATTAATAACTTGAATATGGACCATGTAAAAATGAAACAACAATGTAGAATAGCTAACGTTTAAGAGACTGAAATGAAAATACTTAATATTTAATTTTTCTGAGATCTGAAAGTGATCCCACAAAGTAACATTCGAAACGTTGTAAGGACGTCAAAAGACAAACGTAAAGATGTCTAGAAACGTCAGGAAACTTTCGAATGTGGCATATCGACGATCTCACAAAGTTACCACCGAAACGTTGTCACTACGTTATACAACAAACTTTGCGAGGACGTCGAACACTAAACATCAGCAAAACGTTAAAATAAAGTTACGAAACGTCGAATATGGCATATCGAGCGAAGTAATTTACAAGTAATTCACCTTGTAAAACCGAAACCACAACGTAGACTGAAATGAAAATCAACTCAATATTAAATTTTTCTGAGATCTGCATATGATCCCACAAAGTAACATTCGAAACGTTGTAAGGACGTCAAAATACAAACAAACGTAAAGATGTCTAGAAACGTCAGGAAACTTTCGAATGTGGCATATCGACGATCTCACAAAGTTACCACCGAAACGTTGTCACTACGTTATACAATAAACTTTGCGAGGACGTCGAACACTAAACATCAGCAAAACGTTAAAATAAAGTTACGAAACGTCGAACATGGCATACCGAGCGAAGTAATTTACAAGTAATTCACCTTGTAAAACCGAAACCACAACGTAGACTGAAATGAAAATCAACTCAATATTAAATTTTTTTGAGATCTGCATATGATCCCACAAAGTAACATTCGAAACGTTGTAGGGACGTCAAAAGACAAACGTAAAGATGCCAAGAAATGAACGTTACTTCATAAAATAAAGCAACGGAACGCCCGGAAACTTTCGAATATGGCATATCGACGATCTCACAAAGTCCCTATCGAAACGTTGCCACAACGTTGAACAACAAACTTTGCGAGAACGCCGAACAATAAACATCAGCAGAAAGATAAAATAAAGTTACGAAACGTCGAATATGGCATACCGAGCGAAGTAATTTACAAGTAATTTACCTTGTAAAAACAAAACCACAATGTTAACTGGAATGAAAATCAACTTGATATTCAATTTTTCTGAGATCTGAATAAGATCCCACAAAGTAACATTCGAATCGTTATAAGGACGTTAAAAGACAAACGTAAAGATGCCGAGAAATGAACGTTACTTCATCATCCGGAAACTTTCAAATATAGGATATCGACGATCTCACAAAGTCACCATCGGAACGTTGTAACAACGTAAAACAACAAACTTTGCGAGGACGTCGAACAATAATCCTCAGCAAAACGTTAAAATAAAGTTACGAAACGTCGAATATGGCATATCGAGCGAAGTAATTTACAAATCGGTGTCGTACCATGCGGCAAGTTGATTGTTGTCTTGAGGGGGGGCGGGGAGCTGATCAATAGCGTCGAAATTGAGATCGGCGTCGGCACCGGTAACGTCCATGGCGTCCATCGCGCTGTACGTCGAACCGTTGCCGCCGGCGTGCGAGTCGATCTCCAGACCTTGCATGTCTATTGGTATCTGGTCATAGCCTGGAGGAAATTATAAAAATAAAGCCACTGTTCGGGAATCTGATTTTGCTTAGGGTTCATGTTATGAAGTAGCTGAAAAAATCGCATATTCACACGATGAAGGCTTTGAACATTTTTAGTCTCGCTAGTTGGCCGTTACTGAAGCTTGAGGTCAATGTCAAAGTAAAAATTCCCAGAATTTTGCCAGATAGTTCTGAGGACTAAGGCCTATTCTTTGGAGAAAAATAGATGTGGCCTATGTGTACTAATAAGGGAGATTTCATTAAGAATTATAGGATTATAATTTTGAATAAACCAACAAAGGTTTGACATATCAACTTGCTGCGGCCTTATTTCCCTGGTTCTAATTGTTGCCCATTTGGCGAGAACCAAAAAGTATAAAATTGTTATTTATTTTAGTTGAATATGCGATTTTTTCCTTCCTAGTTTGACGATGGCATATACCTTGTAGAAGCTCTAGAACTTCAACTGTGAAATGAGCAGAAATTAGCTGAAAGATTTGACACAGTTTTGATTATTCTAACGAAATAACATGATTTGAATATTCCCAAAGAATTTGATTCACCTGACCACGAGATTACTAGCTAGCCGTTATGTTATTGTGAAAACGTTTATGTTTGACCAGTCACTTCTGGTTTGACTGGAAGCACTATCAAATTCGATATTTTGAATCAGTTTTTCTTCATTATCTTTATAGTCGTTATGATGAACCTTGTCCAAATATAGAATGATATAATGTTCCATAAAACAAAATTGATAGGAGCAAATCGACAGATTGGCTAGTAATCACGTGGTCACTTCTTATATGAAAGCAGAAAAGCAATCTTATTAAGATACTGTAATATAATTTGCTGAAACTCACATTTTGTTCTACATAGAAATAATATCAACAATCACGTCTTTTTGCAAAGGCCTGGTATAAAACTCATGATAATAATTACAGTCTACAGTTCTATTCTAGATCACATAAAATGCGTGCTATGTTAAAACAAACACAGAAACACACCATGCTACAAACATTCACCTTAGATGTTAGATGTTAGAGGGATATTCCTTTTAAAATCCATCTATGGAACAAAAATAAACAGTCATATTTCTAGTAAATAGTAATTGAAAAATATTTTGTGATTCTGCTGGTATATTAACAGTTGAAGACAGTAATGAAGTTATTACTTTTGATTTGAATCATACTTTATGCGCACATCGAATGAAATCTATTATTATTATTATTATATACATGGTGATTCAGATTAAATATTTTGACAAGATGGTGTCAAAAGGGTGCCAAGTTAACAGAAAAAATCTTTTTTCTGCAGTCGGCCTAAAAGTCGTCCATTTTTGTTGCAAAATTAGCTCTTGAAGTTGACGTTTCTCTCACTGACACAATAAAATGACTAGTATGTATGTTGCTAGGCACCAATTTTAGTGTCTAAGAGCTAAAGTTGAAGTTTAACTCCAAGGAACTCAAAATGTGTCGAATAACAGCTGATATCTTTGCTGCTTTGACACTAACATGCTCAAGTGACTCAGAATAGTGGTACTTCACTTACATTGTATTAATTAGACATCAATTATCCGCAACTGTAAAAGGTATTGATTGACAAATCGTTTGCGTGAATCTACACACACTGGCACAATTAGGGGAACGGGCAAAATTGACACTAAGTTTGACATCAATTTTCTTTCGAACCGATCGCTCGATTCAAATTTTTTTCTTCACGAAATGTGGCTTCATTCTTCACGAATACATCTGAGAAATAATTACCTTCAAACGATGAGTCTTTCCATCATATACAGGGGTGTAAAGAAAGTACGGATTTTTCGGTATTTTTTTAGACATCCTGTGGACTGAACCACTGATAATTGAAACGATTTCTCAACACCAAATTGGAGCCCAATCTATTCCGAAAATTTTCGTATTTTATTCATCTTGATATCTCCATTATTCAAGAAAATACAGAGTTTCAAAGGAAAGGTGGATATTGGTATCAATTTTACACCTCAAAACTCAAATTGGATCTGAAAATGTGTCGTTTCTTGACTAACCTAACCTAACCATGACTAAACCTCTGCCATAGGAGACAGAAGCAGTAAAATCAAATTGTTCATTTTGTTCACCTCGGCGATATTATAGTCTTTCCCTGCCATCTATTGAATTGGTGCAGATGCGGCTCTCATATGTCAAAAGAACATTAGTAGGAGTCAAATCTCTCACGTTGAATTTTCATTAATCAAATTTATGAATTTTGAATCGCTTGACTTTGACAATAATTAATGACATTATCAAAATAGCCAACGTTGATTAACAAAAATAGCATTTCACCAAAAGAACATTGGAGCCACTTTTATCACCCCTGCATATTCATATGAGAGTATTCGTATATGTGTCTTTAAACAGTAAACCGATAGGTAAAACTGTGAACAATTCTCATCTTGAAATAAAAATCCTCACAGAAACAAGTTGAAAAACGACACGTTTTCCCCAGTTCGAGTTTCGAGGTGGTAAAATTAATACCAATATCCACCTCTTCTTTGAAACTCTGTATTTTCTTAGATAATTGGGATATCAAGAAGAATAAAAAACGAAAATATTCGGGATAGATTGGGCTATAATTTGGTGTTGGAAAATCGTTTCAATTATCAGTGGTTCACTCCACAGGATGTCTTAAAGAATACCGAAAAATCCGTACTTTCTTTACACCCCTGTATACGATATAAAGACGAATCGTTTGGAGGTGGTTATTTCTCAGATGTATTCGTGAAGAATGAAGCTACAATTCGTGAAAAACAAATTTGAATCGAGTGATCGGTTCGAGAGAAAATTGATGTCAAACTTAGTGTAAATTTTACCCGTTCCCCTAAATGTGCCAGTGTGTGTATTTTGTTGATTTTCAGGTTTACTTTTTTACCTCATCAGGTATATTACTAATTACCATAACGCATATATTTCAATAATAGAAATGCATAGCATCAGCATCCCTATACATTTCAGAATATCATATTCTATAGATCAATGGATACATTAGTGGTTAGTCTTCGGATCCCCATTTTCTTGGAATAATAAAGCTTACCTTGTTGTTGATATGGTCTACCGCCATGACTACTGTGAACACTTGGCGGTCCTTGGGCATACATGTTGTCATAAGGTTGTTCAGGACTCAAGATATCCTAAAATAACCGAGTAAAAAAATGCAAAAACAAAAAATGAAATCAAAATCTGATAACGAGTGCAAGTCGATAAATCAAGAATTGTGCAGAGTTGAAATATAAATAAAGTATCCATCTAAAATAATCAAACTCATCTACTAAAACTGTTTCGGGCAAAATGTGATATACAAACAAGAAAGATACAGTTGTCATTTCAACAGTTTTGCAGTAAACTTTGAAGTAAAGACGGAAACAAAGGGCTCTCTACCAATTAGATACTTATGTACTCAATTAAATGCACTTTAAACAGTTTTTCTACAGCAAACGGCCCGAGGAAAAGTTCATTTTTCTAATTTTGACAAAACTGACGAAAGTTTTTAAACGTCTTACTTTACGTAACCAGTTCAACATCAGTTAATAAATAAAAATATGGATGGCCGAAGAGAATAGTGCGTTTGGTGCTGCTTCCTCTATATCACTTGGGAAATCTGAAGTTGAATCACCTATTTTCCACTGATGAAGATATCAAACGAGTCAATTTCGTGAATTTCATCGCTGATTTTTGATCCTAATATTATTGATCGACGGATACTTCAAAGTGAAGGGCGAAGTCAACTTGCTCACTAAATTTTGTATAATATAATTGGAAGGAGTCATGTAGAACTTTTTTCTGTTCAAGCGATAATTTTTATCAAAATTAGAAAAAATATTGTGCATAACTAGTTAGGAGGCGCATTTTGTGGAACTCTGTGTTTTGTCAAGTGAGGTTAGATTTCTCTTGAATTCCCTATAACTCAGACAGGGGTGAAGCAACACCTCGTCAGAGGAGTATTTGAAATACCTATACAACAGTCAAAAGATTTGAAACTTGTTCAAATTTTTGACCAAATTACTGGTAATGGTAGATACTGGTCATGTTCCGATATTGCTGATATTACTGGCCACAGTGAGCAATTTAGGAACACTAAACAGTAGCAGTAGCATTGAATTTACATTTCGTTTCCGAACGATTTCGGCAGTACTGGTACACTGGCAGCAAAACATATCCATAATAACCTATGATCTTTCGATTTCCGATGCTTTGTTTCGCTGGTTAGTATTTTCAACATTTTTATTATCATCTTGTTCACTCACGTTGAAATTATGGATGGAGTGATTAATCATATTATCTTAGAAGACCTAATATCTGATAGTGATTCTGATTCATCAGAAACACCAAGCTGCAGCTAGCAACACCGGGTAAGTTAGAGTAGATCTTGAACTGATCAACAGCGTTCCCATTACAAAGAGCTTGGAGCAATCAAACTGGCAAATGCTAACTACCCCCTTTCCCTCGAGCACTAGCTTTTTCAATAAAGTAACAGACTCAAAAATAGATCGTGGGTGTATGACAAAGCAAAATAATGTCAAATAATCAGACGCGTCAGAAGTAAATGTTTATGTCTTTTGGAATGATTATTCTTTGGTTTTGTACAATGTTGAATGTATTTGCATGGACCAGGAGGACTACCTTAAAGTACAACAACAGACTATATCTTCCATAAAACTTTTGGTTTGAATTCTTTCTCTTTTTATCATAATATTCCTTCAACCTCACCATCAGAATTTTTACTAATATTTTGCTGCAGCATCATTTCCGAGATCATTTCCTGTGGGTTTTGGGTTATTTAGTATAAAATCTGCGAGATGATTACACCAACCAAAATCATATAACCCACATATTTTTCCATCATTAAAATACTACAATCAAAAATTCAAATTAAAATCACCAGCCAATCTGACAGGAAATCCGTCGATAAAATGTCACTGAAAATACATCATCCTGGTTCAGTTCAAGTGTAGGTTAGTACCGGTTCATTTCGGGGGCAACAAATTTTCCTCTAGTTTCAGTAGTGAAGAAATGTAGCATAGCTGTGAAATATTAGATATCAAAAGTGGGAATAACAAACCATATTGTAGATTGGTGGGGTAACTTATCTCTGGTGGTAGTTTCAGTGCCTCTGTGAGATCTTCCAGTTCGAATCCATACATATTCCCAAAGTATTTTAAAATAATAATATAAAATTTTTATCGGCTCATTCCTATTCATTTAAACGCTTCACCGAATATTTCATGAATACCGTCACTACACCACCATTTTTGCACCAGGGGCCGACAGTAAACTTTTAGCCTCCAACAGGCTTCCTTGCAATGACCAGTGTAAAAGTTTCCAGTAAATTACTGCAATACGGAAAGATACAATATACTGGGCAGTTCTGTTCGGGAATATCGGAACATGCTCACTGTTTCATCTTTGTGTGAGTGAAAAACTTGGTACAAAAGACATTTGGTCACGTTTTGAGTACACTAGATAACTACTATCAACTGTATCTTTCTTCCTGAGCAAAAAACTACCAAGTGACATCTACATTTTCTTACAGCACATACCTTCTTTTTTTCGAATACAACACGAAAATAAATTGTCACTCATCACTTCCAAGTTTATTAAATATCATACCTGGAGGTCAGGCCCCATGCCCAGGTCCGGATTCCAAAGATTCTCCTCGCGGAACAAGGAGTTGGTGAGTTCCATCGAGAGCCGTTTCTTGTAGTCCTGCGGCTTATCCTCGCTCATTCTGAACAGAACGGCGGCCGCATAAGTAGCCACACCTGTCAAATTCAAAATATATGGGATCAAAACAATGGTGTGAATTTAGGATGTGGTTTGCAAAAGAACTTTTGGTATCATATTCATCAAATAAAGGGGGAGTATTCTTGGATTTTTCAATTATTTTAAAATGTTCAGTAACTCTGGTTGACATTTTTCTACCACTTTGTCCAATATATTGAGCATTGCAATTTGGATCAGAACAAGAAATACAATAGACTCCAGATTTGTGATTCAAAGGGACTTTATCTGGTGTAAAAAGAGATGTTAATATCCTCACTATATCGATGAAAAATGTTTTTGATGTCATACGAGACTTTGCCAAAGAAAGGAATGGATGAAAAACGTATTCTCGAATTTTGTATGGGTAATAAGCTTCTATTGAAGGATTTATTTTGGTGTTTATTGAACATCTTATTGATAATATGGGGAGAAAAAATATTGTTGTTTCCAATCTGCTTCATGATCTTCAGTTCCTTGTCAAAATTTTCTGGACTCATAGGGATATTAAACAATCTATAGAATGAAGAATCAAAAGCTGCAAATTCGGGTTGATTAGGATGGCAAGACATAAACGGAATTACAGAATCAGTGAATGAATTGAGAAAATTCAAAAGAAGGTTGACTTCTTGTAATGTGCCATCAAAAAAAAACCAAGCAGTCATCAACATAACGGTACCAGAAGCAGATTTTATGATGCAGAGTGAAGTTAGTTAACTGATTTTCCAAGCTGTGTAAAAATATATCTGCCAGCAGAGGGGGCAAATCGCTGCCCATTGCTAGACCAGAAACCTGAGAGGAAAATTTATTATTGAACTGGCAAAAGTTGTGTTGTAGTACAGTATCCAGCAGTGAACAAATATTTGTGTATGTGTGTGTGTCATCTGCATATATGGCATAGTTGCCTATTAAATTTATTTTTGAAATGTTTTGATTGTATATAAGATACAGAATTGGGCCCAACACTGATCCTTGGGGAACTTCTTTGTTTATTAGTTAACTAGAAACAGAAATGTTCCTTGGGGTAATAGAGACAATCAATCAATCAATTCAATTTCAATTCAATTCAATTTCTCATCTATTCCTGTAGATGATAAAGATATTGAAGGAGTCACAGAAATTAAATATCTGGGTATCTATATCATAGTTTCTTGAGATGGGATATACAGATAGAGAGAACTGTGAAGAAAATGAGAATATTGATGTATAAATTCAAAGTTCTAGGAAGATTCATGGAATTCAGAATCTCAAAACAGTTTATTTTTCACTTATAGAATCGATTCTTAACTATGGCATATTAGCCTGGGGTGGTGTCAGAAAAACTCATCTGAATATACTCAATATGTCACAAAAAAGAATACTCAAACTCATTATGAAAAAAGACATGAAATATCCTACTGAATCATTATACAATGAAGCTCAACTTCTCGATATAAGACCACTCTTTTCTTCAATAACGGAACCTCTTTAGAAGCGCTGAATCACCTGTACGAGACAAGACAAAAATCCAAGAAATTATACAAACAAGACAAAGCTAATAAAAGCTGTGGCCAAAGATTTTATAAATACATTGGGCAGAGGCTATTCAATAATTTGCCAGAACCCATGAGAGAACCAATGAATTTCTTCACATTCAAAAGCTCATTACTAGATTCATAATATTGTTTTATGAACCTTCGTAAGAATAAAAAAAAATTAAAAAAAAAAAAAAATATGATAAGCATATATTATATTATTGTCGTTTATTAATTGTAGTTTTTGTTTTTTAATACTTAATGCAGTGTGCGTATCGATAACTTAAAAAAAATATATATGTAATTTGTCAGATAGATTTTTAGGTGAAAACACAAATGGCACAAAGTCATGATTTGGAATATAAAAGTATCTGTTTCAGGTAATATGACTATTCGTAGACAAGCTCTTAACCTTAAACGGAATCACAGTCATATTCATTTATAATCATAAATCATGTGCCGTCTCTAATATTGTCATATTTTGTTATATGTATGTATTATGTATTATAAATAAATATATTATTATTATTATTATTATTATTATTATTATTATTATTAGCACTCACCCTCGTTCCTCGAATGCAACAGCTCCGTCAGTGGGGCAGTGGCCCCCTCTTGCTCGATCATCTCGGCGCCCTCCTTGTCGGCGGCCAGCTCGCAAAGTACGCCTGCGGCGACGCGCTGCACGTTCTCGATGTCGTTGAACAGCAGCTGCACGAATATCGGCACGACCATCTGCTGGCGCACGATGGCGCGGTTGTGGGACTCGCGCGCCAAGATGTGCAAAGCGCCCACCGTACCTTCGACGATTTCTTCCATGCGCACGCCGTCCTGCTGACTGGCGCCACTGGCAACGCTGCCTCTCTGAGGAAGGCCGTCGAATGAGTACAGTGAGAGGCGCGTTTCATAACGCCCCGGTAGAGTATTTACTAAATATACTGTACGCTAGCACAAACCACGCCCACCGTTATATCTCATCTTCAAAGTACTTTACTTAGGCAAAACTCAGAGACTATTTATCCTCAACGAACTAACCTATCCCTGATTGCAATATTTTTGAGGAAGGAAAACCGAATGGAGTGTAGAAACACATTGATTAATAATATATTTCAAAAGTTGAGTTCTTCAACAAAATTGAATAAAATGAGACTGTTTATCCTAAACGCACTAACCTATTTGACTTCAAATATTTTATGAAAAAGGAAAACCAGAATGAAGTAAAAAAACATTGGTGAAAAAGAAAGTTGCAAAAAAAAGTTCAAGTTCACAGCGATTCGAACCATGGACCTTCAGACTGAGAGTCGACAGCGCTAACCAGTAGACCATTTGGGTGTATGAAATTACTGCGTACAAGAGATTGACAACGAGAGAGCTTCAGTCGAATTCGTGTCAAAATCATAAAAAGTGTATTCCTGCGTTGGAGCACAGTATATTTTTGTGCGATGTGCTGACTCCGAGTATATCGGTAATGTTTGGAGATATGACGTATTATGGTGGGCGTGGTTTGTGCTAGCGTGCAGTATATTTAGGAAAATCGCGCCCCGGTAACAGGCATAAGCAAGCTTTTAGACCAATCACAACGTTGAGTTTCACGCGTGCCTTTTTCGGCCTAAGTTTTTCAATTCAGAATAAATATCTCATCAGTTTGAAATGGTTTGAATTCTGAATCATTCAGATTATTCTGAACACGGACATACATGACATAAATTTTGACAAATTGAGAGAATTAGGAGAAAGCTGCAAGTTTGTGCAGTTTCCAACTGTGAGAACACGGGAAATCAATTCACTCTATTCGAATTTCCATCGGATAATGTAATTCTACAAAAAAGGAAACAGAATATGATGCGGCCAGCATGGAATATAGGTTCAGGCCACAAAATTTGCGTGGTACTCAAATTTCTTGGTAGGATATAGAACAGTTTTCAACGCATTTTTATCAGGTACGCTTCAGAAAGGAACATTTGATGTTGAAGAATAGGATCGTATTGAGAGAAAGAGCCGAAACCACAATATATAAACTGAGCGAATATCGAGAAGAACCTTATTCCAATTTAGAACCATCAAGAGAAGAAAAACTTGCGGAAAATGAAATTCATTTCGAACATATTTTGGAAGAAAGAGACTTGAGAATCAAATTTTTGGAGCAGAAATATTCAAAAATCCAAGATTCACGGGTGGAAGAGAGTGAGGAGTTCAGGAAACAAATTGAAGAAAAAAATAGAGAGTTGAAATAGGAAGAGTATCGGAATGCGAGATAATTCATTAATTAATGATAAGTAGTGATCTAATTCATGGGTAATAGGTAGGTAATTTGGAGACAGCTCTCGACTCTAAGGATATAGCTCAAATTCGATCATATTTTTTGTATCTACTGAAGCGCACGAAAGGGAATCCCTATAATGTTCAAGGAACACTTTTTGAACTTTCTGGCGCTTCTGGCAACGCTGCCTATCCTCCTGAGACCTACCGTTCTAAATACAGAACATATTACACATGTCACTCAGGCCCGCTAGTCGTACACATGGAACTAGCTTTCCGTCCCAGTGTCCTATTAAAAGTACAAAATATTTTTCCCGCTTTGATTTAATGACTAATGATTCGATTGCATTTTGAATATTCCCTCAAAATATAATAGACAGTTACGCAGTCGAGAACATAGATAAACGGACTGAAACGGCAACAGCCACCATTATTAGTGATTGAAACTTAGTGGCCATGAGCACCAGGCGAAGTCATGGTGAGTTGATTTGCTTTCATTTTGAGAATCGATTGAAATTTATATGTTGTAGTTAGCTATTCTGATATAAAGATATATGAATATACTCTTCCCAGGACTTGTGAAGGATGGAAGATGCGAGGATCCCCTTATCTAAGCGAAAACATATTTTTTCTGTGACCGGAAAAAAGTTTGGCATTTCATCCCTGTTGGCAGGTTATAAAATGTCACTGTTCATAAAGTACTTTTTTCCCGTGGGAAAGAAGTACTTTTCTCCCGGATATATATCACATATATATACACTCTTGATGGTTTTTGTTGTGCTATAGTTTCGGAAAATGAGTCAATAATACCGTCCCCGAGAATGAACTGCAAGTCCTCTTATATTCCATTTGACTTCGCGGTTTCGTATATTGCTAAACAACCACTCAATTCGCAATTTTTAGAAATCTAATCACAGAATTAGACTGACAGAAGTGACATCAGATATTTGATTACTTCAAAAGAATGATAAAGATGCCTACAACGCAGGTATCCCTACTGTTAAAAACTTAAAATTGCACGTCGATATAGTCTAAGAGCTGGCTACATGAGTTTCAACATGACTCGGTACAGTCACAATTTTCTTCTGGAATGGTTCCATCAGAGATGTATAGAAATTTAACTGGTGGTCTCACTCTTCAATTGTTTCGTCAGACTTACTCTCGATATGGAACAATTGCAAGCGAGTTTTGGACGTGGGGTTCAGGTATTTGCGATAGTGGCGCCATAATCGGAAAATCATTCAAAACCTTGGTTCTGTGAGGGATGAATCTATTTCCATCATTGTTCTGTGGTCGAATAAATACTGTGCTCAACATTTTCATTCAAATTTCAATTTGAAATAGAAGCAAGAAATCTTTTTTGTAGCCGATTTCAATAAGCGTCACTTCTTTCTTGACATGAACCTATTTAAAGCATGAAATCTGAGAACAGAGAATGTATCAACTATTGAAATAGACCAATATCGAGAATCATAATAGGCAGATATGGTAACTGGTACTCACCTTAGAATTTATTCACACCAGTTCACGCTAATATTTCAAATCACTGAAATAATACTGCTGTCGAACAGAGATTTTCTTTTTTCTATAGTGGATTAGGTATTATGCACAAAATTTAGAAACTAAGGAACACGTCCCTAACGAACACTTGACCCCAATCTCAGAAATAACCATTTTTTCAGCTCAAGAATATTTTTGACACATTGACGGTTCGATCCTTCGATCAGGAATCAGTTCACTGCTCTTATCCAAATCATATACGTATCCAAATATTTATCGGTCGGTAATATGTTTCCTGTAAATATGGATTGTAACCAGGATGAGCTTAGCGAGATTTACCCACGTCAAGTATGTTTATCAAAGGTTTATCAGAGTAGGCGCCATCGAGAAACTTGCAAACGACCTTCAATAGGAAGCAAGCGCACCAGTTAAATTTCTATACATCTCTGTTCCATCTATGGTGTGGAACACTAAGGCGCAAGTCTGCCTGGTCGGTCTGGGGGACTTATGTGGGGGCGAGCGGGGAAAGTTGCAGAGTTTCGAAGGTAATCCACGGCATTAGTACAGTCATGAAATTTCGTGTACATAAAGTATGTGACGTCAGAAAGGTAGTTTGATAATTGGCAGACCGTTTTCCGGGCGCTAAAGTGCCGCCAGACCGCGTCAAAGTTACGATAATAAAAAATCGAAATATCAACGTGATAAGATAAATTCTTGAATTTACGCGTACGTATTAATCATATATCAACTTGGTCTAATGCTGAATTGCAGACCGAAAAGTGGAGGACAACACCATGGCATACAGCGCTAAACCTACAGGGTGGAAAAATGTTAATGACCGAAACTCGAGAACTTGATAGAACTCGATGAAATAATAGTATATCTTTCTATAAACATATGCTCTGAAACGGTTCGTTATTGATATATTGGGCGTTGAAATATACATAATTGTATAATTTTTTTTTATTCTCAATACTTCGATTTCGTTGATATACAGTGTGTCCCACTTACCATGCTCATCATGGGTATCTTTTTACCGGTGAGAGATACGAGGTCGGTTAAATGACACCAAATGTGGAGTTTGTCAAGGAGACATGAAAATGATCAAAAACTGTTTTTTGCGTATAAAACAAAAACGAATAGATTTTATCAAAATATTTTTTCACATTATAGTTGACCTTGACAAACTCCACATTTGGTGTCATTTAACCGACCTCGTATCTCTCACCGTTAAAAAGATACCCATGGTGAGCATGGTAAGTGGGACACACTGTATATGTATCACTGATATTGTGTACGTAAACTGAGAACATCAGTATGTATTAATAGATTGTCTTTAAACATCGATCGACATACAGGGTGGATCATATTTCAAGTGCCGTCGTTGAGATAATCGATCGATATTTTTCATTTATCAATTCTCCCATATCAGCATACAACTTTCGCCAAATTTGAGAATACTTTCGTTTTTTCATTTGGTTTGCAAGCTATTTGAAAAAACTGAAGGTACCATATCCAACAACAGGACACAGAAGCTCTGGAGCACAGGATAGGAATGCTCAAAAAAAAAGAAGAATGAGAAATGACAACTAGCAATGTCAGTCATATAATATCATATGAATAAAAAAATAAGGAAATAGAAAAATATAAATGATTCGACTTACTCTCTGCGTGTCTTGGTAAGCTCTCATCAACAGCTGCACCAGATGGTGAATGGCGCCGTGCTCTCTTAGCGGCGCGTGATTGGCCGGACACAGGGCCAAATTCCTGATCAGCCCGATGACGGCCTTGACCAGCGGCCAGCGCGACGGCGGGTTCAGCAGCTTGACGATGACCTGGAACAGCGAGACGAACTGAGTGTTTCGTAGAGAAGCTTCGCGGGTTTGGATCCGCAGGTCGAACGAGGAGAGGCCAGAGAGACGGTTCGTTCGCTACGATTCGACGCATTGCATGCTCATAAGGGCGGTTTTTTCGCGAATTTTATTTTGTTTGATTGATTGATTAATAGCAGAATGATCGGTCAGGGTTCGAAGCCCAAAACACTGCAGCCTTTGGGCCTATTGTATGGAATGATGGAATTACAAACAGAATATTGAAAAGGATTCCTGGTAATTTCATCACTTACTTATGTAAAATCATCAACGCCATATTGAAACTATTATATTTCCCTCAAAGATGGAAGCATGCCGAAGTAGTGATGCTTAAGAAGCAAGGCCAGGATAATGCTCTTCCGCAGAGATATCGTCCTATCAGTCTCCTGTGCTCTCCATCTAAGATAACTGAGCGAGTGATTAAACAGAGATTACAGGAATTTATCGACGACAACGAGCTTATACCAGATGAGCAGTTCGGTTTCAGAACTGGCCACTCAACTGAACTACAAGTCTTGAGACTCATTGAGAACACAATATCGTTGAGAAATGATAGACAAAAGACTCATCTTGCTCTCCTTGACATAGCGAAAGCATTTGACAAGGTGTGGCATGATGGTATCTTATACAAAATGATCGATATGGGCTTTCCTGACGATTTGATTCAGTTGATGTGTTCATTTCTGAAAAATCGAACTTTTCAAGTAAAACTTGATGATCAACGATCTGGTATCAAGCCCATTGAAGCTGGTGTTCCTCAGAGTGCAGTTTTATCTCCGCTGTTGTACAGTTTATATACTAGCGATTTGCCAAGACCAGTGATGTGCAAGATGTCGCTTTTTGCTGATGATACGGCATATTCCACAAATTTCGAGCAAGCAACTATGAACCTCCAAAGCGCACTGAATTCTCTTCAGCAGTGGGACTCTGTAACTTGTGTCGCATAGCGAAAGCGTAGCGAAAGCGAAACGAAGCGAAGTATACGACTTCGCTTTCCGGTACTCTATATGTAGTTCGTTATGCTTTCGCTATCGTCATACGATTTCGTACGAAATAGAACGAAGTTGGTGGAGTTAAATTTGGCAACAGTGTTGCGGATCCCATTTATTCAAAGGAAACATCCCATTGGATCAAAAAAGCGGCATTTACGAATTATTGTATTGTCAATTTTTGGTTTCAATCAGAAATAAAGCACTTGCAGCTCATTGGAAAATATGTACCTTACTTTATAAAAAATTGGTATTCATATTCTCACTAGGTATATCTCAGGTATAGCTTTCTATTTATATGCAACTAGTAAAGGCAAATGATCTGAGAATAACAATAATATTGTAAGATATGTAACTGCTTATATTTATAATGGACATATCATTCTATAATCTAACACTCAGTATATTATTATTCACATACTATAATGTAATACCTATCAGAACTTGCTTCTCTATGTCGCAAATTAAACAAGATGATAAGCACATATAATTCCTTGAATTGCCTTCTGCAAGGCAGCTATATGTTGACAGTGCATTTATACAGATGCACTTTTTCTTACAGTTCACTTTAGAATCTTGGATGGAATTATTAATGTAGTGAAAGTAGAATCCGTTCTTGTTCTTGTTCAACATAGTAAATAATGTTCAGTTAATCCTGTTTCATGGAATTTACTCTTGATTCTCCCTTATTGGTACACAGTAATATTACACAGTTCTTCTTGGGTGTCTCCAAGGTTTTTGCTATCCAAATTATTTTTCCTTCCAATGCACTTATTATGCAAATTTTTCAAATTTGAAAGTTCCAGGCTTTCTGTTATGTTTCACTGTTGTAGGTATCGGCATATTATATTAGTAGGATTCTTCAATTACCTATTATTGTCTTCTTCAATGGACTCACACCAAAGACATATTTTTCTTAACAAGGATTCAGTGAGACAACATTCAGTAATGGCACATTTCATTTTTTGGAGAAGCTACTTATATCTGCCTGTTTTGATGTATCAGGAATCTAAAAGAGAAGGATAATTCGAATGAATATGAATTATTCCAGACCCTATTCAACAGCACTAATGACAGTTTTCAGTTTATTTTTCAACTACCAAATGAACTGTATGTTTTCATCACACTGTCTATCATATTTTTTATCTCACGTCTCACGTTCTTTCATCCCCTACCTTAATCCTACCAAAGGGAACTTCCATCTCTCTGGAATATCTTTAGGACTTTGTTCGTAAAACTGAGGAATCTGTCCCACTGACTGAAGTTCTGTTTTTGCTCGCTTTGTTATCCATGTTTGGGTTCATTCGTCATTTATCAATCTATTATTTTTCTCAAATCAACACAAAGTTTGAACTAGGAACAACAACAAAAACCAATACCTATAACCTCAATCGTTGAGAATCGCAGAAAGCGGCAACCAAAATCCTTCGCTTCTGCTTCGCTTACGAACTCACGTTCGGCGTCTCCGACCTCATCCGAATATTGATACAGAGTACCGAAACGGCAAAAGCAGTCGATTACGCATGCTTTCGCTTTCGCTTTGAGTTACAGAGTCCCACTGCAGGAGTACTTCCTAAGATGGAAGATCAAATTGAATCCTACAAAAACACAAGTGGTCGCACTCGGAAGGGAGCGGAGGCCTCCCAGAACCAGAATAGTCCTGGATGGTCATGAGTTAGAGTGGTCTTCACAAGTTAAATACCTAGGTGTGTGCATTGACAAAAAGCTCACCTGGGCCCAGCACATTGAACAGCAAGTTTCTAAAGCTAAACGAGCCATTGGAGCCCTGTATCCAGTAAATTGGGTTTGAGACAAAAATTGAATATTTATATCATGGCTATCAGGCCAATTTTACTGTATGCCTCAGTAGTCTGGGGCCACACAGCTAAATCTCATATCACCAGATTGCAAACATTACAAAACAAAGTCGCGAGAATGGTGACAGGATCTCCTTGGTATGTTCGGAATAACCAGATCGCCAGGGATCTGAAACTCCCTTCAATCGTGTCAGTCATTAAAGAACGAAACATCAAGACTTTCGAAAAAGCTGAGGTTCATGAGAATCAGCTTCTTCGAAATGCAGTTGATTATGACCCAGGTGATCAATCAAAGTTCAAAAGACCGAGATTGTCCATAAACTAGAGAAAATATCGACATTATGACCAAATTTACTATTCTCAAGTTTTTGATATTTATTTTTTCCGTTCGATCTCTTTCAATTCTGAGAATGTATTTCTGAAACTTATTTGGGGCAGAAGGGCTGTTCGCATCAAACTTCAATACCGTTTTTATTTTGTTCCATAATAGATATCAGGATAAGAGGGACTCTTCCCTGGTATGAATAAAATAAAAGAAAGATCCAATATATATTCCTGCTCATGCTTAGGTGCACAGGTTCGCTACCTTGACAAGGTTTAGCAGCCTCTTTACCAAATCATTCTTTGGAAAGGCCTCTTGAGAGTTTACTGCTCCCAGAAGATTGTATCTCCAACGCGCTAGTGCTTCGCACTCCAATATTACATTGCATAGTCTGCATATGGGTTCGTCTGTATAGATGCCCATTTGATGCATATGTCTCCTCAAGGGGCAGTGACCGGTTATTAGTCCCGTCACTTGTCTGATCTGACTTCTGTTTAGGCTCAGAATGTCGTTAGTCACTGTTTTGGACAGTGTTCCAACCATCAGTTTACTGTGTCTTTGTCCTGGGACATTGTTCCAGTATGCCTGATGTCTTTCTTGCATCCACCTTGCCAGTCAGCCGCGTATTGAGGTTTTGGGGATACCGAACACAGGTTCCGGTCCCATAAACAACGCCGCAGACCCTTGCCTAGCAAGAGCGTCAGCTGCTTTTTTGTTTAATAATAATAATGATTATTTTGTTCCTATGAATTTTTGTTTCGAGTACTTTATTCAAATATTGCAATTTAGAAAAAATGAGAAATACATTTGTAATGAACAGATCAATATACTGCATATATCTGAAATAGAAGTATATCCAAAGCAGCAGGATATGCTGGTCTCGGACAAGCAGTATAACAAAATTTTGCAAAATACAATTGCTCATAGTTATAGATTTACATTTTCATATTTTCCTAACACTATTTTTGATTATCAAATCAGTAGTATGATGAATGTTCAAGGTAGTTCATTTATAAGTTTCATCATGTGCATGTTCTTGATATTCTTTTAGAATGTTTTGATGTTTGGACTATTTGATATATTATAAGGTTCAGTATTATATGTAGTCATACATTGTGCAATTGGATTCTTATTACCGATTTTAAACCATCAGAACGTTCAATTGATATACATAGAGTTACTCCACCAATCAGATATTTAGAATCATTTAATTTTCCATAGTAACCAATTCATACTGTTACATACTAACAAAGTGAGTCGTAAAATTTTTCATTCGTTCAGAGCTACTCAAATAATAATTACATGGAATACAATTCGAACAAATATTAAGGTTATATCAAGGAATATTTATGCATTGATATCAACAAAAATGACATTTCTTTCAAAGATTATTGCGAAACTTTGCGTAGCCGCCACGTTCATCTTTGAATAATTCACAATTTTCATTTTCTTATGTACCTTACAATAACTAATTAACGGTGAATTTCTGAATGTTGTTATGGGTGTATTATATCATAAAGGTGTTCTATTTTTGTCATAAGCTAGTTATGCCGAGATGAATGAGGTGTTCTATCTGAAAAATCCTCTCCGAATTATCAATTTGGCAGCGATTCCACAGAGTTTCTTAGAATGTGATGCCTTTTCTGCAGTAGAAATAAGCGAAATAATTCACTATTTTTCAAATAAACTGGGCGTCAATTGAAACGTTAATAGTGAAATTTGGCATCAAGTTTGACGTCTCGTAATTTCTAAAATATTGAACGAATTTCGAATTGCCGCCCAGATTCTGAATGCCTTTTTCATCGTCTTTGGAACCATTCCTTACAGGTTCTTCTAAATTGATCAGGACCCGTGATACAGGGTGAAACAAAGTTTGGTGCATTTTGGAAAAAATTTCTCCGCCCCCCCATTTTGTCGGAAGACCACCATGCTCATATTTTATTCAGGCATTTCATAAATAGCAACCATACCTCGGGACGTTTTCGAGTTTTTGCCAAAAACTACTGTTGTTTGTTTTTGTTGATGAGATGTGTTGATTTACAGCTCACTAAGGTAGAAAACTTTTATCATAGACTGCGAAGTAATAAATTATTGTTTTTGAGTAACCTGGTATACATATCTGCTCCAACGCTTTCCTGAAATGCATAAAAGCATTTATGGAACTTCTCTAAAATTAGTCCATTTTAAAAAAAAATCCGGAAACCACAGTAGTTCTTGGCAAAAACTCGAAAACTTGATCAAACTTGATACCAAATTTCACTATTAACGTTTCAATTGACGCCCAGTTTAGTTATACTAAGGTAATTCCCTATGAACCACAATATTTAATACACCGTGTCGCCGCTTAGATCTCACCAGTTCGTTAACGTGCAACATTATTATTATCATCGAACTTATAGAGAAATTCCCAGTCATTCACTATGATAAAACATGGACTTTTATTCTGTATCTTTTATACAATCAAAATATTTCAAAAATAACTTTAATTGGAAACTATACCATATATGCAGATGACACAGTACTTTTATTCGAAAACAAAAACCCTGTAATTTTAGAAAACAACATAAATGAGGATTTGAAAAAAATGGAAGAATGGCTATTATACTCCAATCTTCTTTCCCTCAATAATTCTAATAAGACCCAATTTATAATTTTCCATCAAAGAACTCCAGAATTCTATTACTAACTGAAAGCTAGTTTCTCAATAAACAATCATCATTACGAGAAGATTGACCCCGTCTCTCTGGCGCACCATACCACCCCCCCGACCACACCCACCTGGACGCCGTAGTTCAACCTCACGGCGTTCTGCGCCATCTCCGACTCCACGTGCCTGGACGTGAGGTGCCTTAGCGCGCACACCGCCGGCTCGGTGATCTCCTCGCGGTCGCCGGCGCCGACGACGGTGCGCACGAGCGCGTCGACTCCGCCCACCTGGCACACCGTCACCTTGTTGCGCTGGTTGTTGCACGTGAGGTTGGAGAGGATGCCGGCGGCGCACGTGACGACGTTCACGTCCGACGAGGCCAGCACCTGCAAGGACAAAAGTCGCTTGTGAATCTGGGCTTCCAAAAATATTCAAGTTATTATTATCATTATTGAAAAGTCAGAATGGGCTAAGGAGTGAACCTTAGTACTAAACCCTGAAAAAACGAATGCAGTGTTTTTCAAAACCAATCATAGGCTTGAAACTCCTACTCATATCCTAATCAATCATCAAAAAATACCTTTTGTAGAATACACTAAATCATTAGGAATAATCATTGAAACTTCGAAAATCATATTGATTACATGTCAAAAAAATTGAGCCAGGCTTGCTATGGCATAAGAATTCTCATAAAGAACTCTAATTTCAATATAACAGAAACCTTTTATTTCGCCAATTTTTATTCTCGCGCTCGCTATGGTATTATACTATGGGGAAGTAGTGGGGAGGCTGAGAGGATTTTCAAAATTCAAAATAGGGCAATTCGCATAATGAAATACCATGATTCATGCAGGGGTTACTTCAGAAAAGTTGAACTACTCACTTTACCAGCACTGTATATATATGAATGTCTCAAATTCTTATATAAAAACAGGCATCACTTTGAACCCTTCATAATCCCTCACTCTTATGGAACAAGACATATATCTAACTTGAATTTTCCACGTCACCATCTGTCGTCTACTGAAAGAGGTGCTTTGTATTCAAGCATTAAGTTTTTCAACCATCTACCTTCAGCCATTAAAAATAATAATAATTTCAATGAAATAAAAAAACCACTTATGCTTCTGGATCTAGAACCTTATTCAGTAGACGAATACCTCCATTTTGTGTTCTATAATTAATTAGCATATATTTTCGTATATCGTAAATCTATTCATATTTATTATGATTTTCTCATGTTTGACTGGCTTGTACATTCTTTTATAGTTTATGTATCATAGTGCAATAAAGATTATTATTATTATTATTATTATTATTATAAAACAAAGCTCATTGAGGATTGTACCAGTGCATTTTTTAGAAAAACCGATACAATATCAGTGCACTGGTACTGATACTGGTGGGGGACGTTTGAACGTCAGCAACTAGTCCTTAATGGGACCTTTTTGCAAGCCCCAAGGTGTTTTAAATGACTGATGTGGTTCGCTCAAGAGAGCTGGCTAACATCCTTCGCAGGCACTGCCCATCAGCTCTCTTTCAGAGTTTTTCGGCTGTGTTTTGTAGGCTAGTAATGTACTCACTACCATTTGCTGCAGTGGCAGGCCTGCTAGCTATTCTCGTTACCCCACGTTAGAGACCGAGGTCCACTAAGCAGCATTGGCCCGCTCTCACGCTCATCTGGTAGTTTTCCACACCCACCTACATACACCGTCCTACTTCTTCTCTGATGCTCACAACCACATCATCATCTCTTTCTGCGTGTTCTGTGTAGGCTTTGTTACTAACCCAATGCGCCACTTTAGGAGCAGCACTGTTAATTGGAACGCAACAGCGAATCGTGCAGGACTATCCCCAGCCGATGCTCAGAAACTTAACAATATTTAATTCGTAAATAAAATATTGAAAAAAAGTTCCTTGCTCGTGCTGGGAATCGAACCCACGACCTTGCGGTCATGTCAGTGCAACACTAGTTCTTATTCAATGCAGCACTAATTTTCGTAATGGTATTCCCTATAGGTCGCATGCACGATCACCCACCCTGGAGGTGAAATATTGGAACACAACCTCACTTTTTTCATTTGTTTACAGAGGTATCAAAGGATTGAAATAGTTTTTCACAATATTTTGGCATACAAATCGTGTTTTTTGCGCTATTCATTAATTCAAGCATGCCTTCTCATTGTGCTGTTGTACAATGCACAAAAAATGCAGCGAGAGACGAAGGAATATGATTTCTTTAGGTAAATAGTAATCTCACATAGTTTTCATTATGAAATTTCGTCATTTCTTATTAAAATTCCTTCTGCCACTTCTGCAATAGAAGCTAATACTGCTAATAGTTTGAAAATATTAGAAATTTCACGAGTATTTCTATGTGAGTGACTATAGTAGGTACTTACTTTTAAATCATAAAGTACCAAACGGATTCCTTCGTCTCTCGCTGCATTTTTTGTGCATCGTACAACAGCACAATGTGATGACATACGCGAATTAATGAATAGCCGAAAAACACGATTCGTATGCCGAAATAATTCTGGAAACATATTTCAATCATTTGTGAACCAATAAGAAAAGTGAGGTTATGTTCAATGTTTCACCTCCAGGGTCGGTTATCTGACAGTTCTTGCACGCAACCTACAGACACTCTGACAAGCACCGACAGGCAAACATAACCAAAGGTGTTTCTGAAGCAGATCATAATATATGATGATGAAGGCTCCTCCTATCTTCCTTCTTCTACATATTCAGGGAAGAGTATAATCATATATTTTTGTGGATTATTTTTGAATGAGAGTGTATGGCATTTCCTCGATTGGAAAAGAGGAGTAAGATAAATTGAATATAGTCCATCTCTCATGTTAAATCAATATTCATGGAGATGGCATCATGTATGAACGTCATCTATACTTAATGAGTAAAAGAAGCATTCCTGATGTTGAATATTGAATATTCAGAATGGCGTTATCAAAGGTGAGACAAGAAACATTTGTATTACCTGAACCAAAGATTGGAGCAAGCTCTCCAAACCGTCGACCTTAGTGGCAGCATCTGACAAGTTACGTAAGGTCCATAGACAGTTCTGGACCAATCTGGGACTCGGATTCCCCAAATGCATTGCAAGAGCTTGCATGCCTCCTGCTTCGACTATTGCCGGTTTGTTGCTGGAGCAAACTGACAACACCTACGAAAACAAAAATTGTTCCATGTACATCGACACTTTTTGATTTTTTTGCTCATGAAATCCTTCAAGATATTTCCGAAACAAGCTTGAAGCACCGTAATTCCGTCCTACTCTGCTCACTTTTCTATGTTTTCTTGCCATTTTATTTTGTTACATAGATGTTTTCTATGAAAGTATAAACTACTATGGAATAGTTATTTATCATCAAGGTAGTAAAGAATATCATCATTACCAAGGTCCCGTGTGTATATTGAATTTTTTCCATTATTATACTGTCACTATGAAAGCAGTTCTTTTCAATTCAAATTATAATCTAGTAGCCATGAACATGACATCATATGAATACCTACTAGATTAGAATGCCATTTTCTGCTAATCTCGCGTTGGAACTGTGAATTCAGATTAATTATATGTCTATGTCTTCATTGACTATTAGTTCATAAAATGAAGAGAAACCTTGAAAATGACTAGATAATGGTAATTTCTATAGCTAGTGGTGGGAAAAAATAGTTCAGTATATTTTCACTAGGTTGTTTTATTTAGATTATTGTCCATTCCAAATAAGATGATAGCGTTGGAAACCATAGGATAGCGTTGACCTTCGCTTTGATTGGTTAATATTGAAGAATAATATCATCACTTATGACGTGACATTCCATTTATTTGTGGTATATTTTGTAACAATGAATCCTGAAAACCAATATGAACTATGAATACATTGAATTGCAAAATTAGACGCTCTCATCTCTAACACTGCAAAGTCAACAGCGATAAAAAAAACTAAACACCAATGTCATTCGGAATTTCTCATAATCCAAACTGAAATCATTATTTGGTCAGTATATGAATCTCTCTTTCTCTATTTATCAAAAACAGAATTTATTATACACAAAATTAGTTTGACTATACCCTCTACAGAAAAAAGTTAGTTTTTTCAATTTCAATCAACATAAATCTATTCACAACATAGAAATATTATCCCAAGGAGAATCGACATCTGATTCATATTTGTTCTGCCCCAATGATACCTTGAGGATGACAAGAAATATTTTTTTGGTATCTTTTGTACAGTTCAGGTTGTTATAAAAATTATGAAATATCGTTTAGATGAAGCATCAAGAAAGGTTCCAATACTGGACTTCAATCTAACCTCCAAACCTGGACAACTGCATCCCACGTCAAACCACTTTAATCCAATGGCAACTTCAGAAAATCAATCATTATACCCTCAATGCCACCGAGCAATGTTCCTCCGCAATGAGCAAAGTGAGACGGAATTACAAAAACAGTATTCACCTTCAGAACTCTGGAAGTAGTCCACAACAACTTCTCGTAATCGTAACTCCTCATAATTCTGACCAACTCGATGGGCCCTTGGGAAGCCAAAATGATCAACTTGCTCTCCTGGTTGCCGTACGCCAAGATCTGCAGGCAATCGGTAACAATCGCCAAAAACTTGACGTTGTTCCTCTGCAACAGCGCCACCATCTTCTGTAACCCGCCGGCTAGCCTAACGGCCATCTTGGACCCGTCCTGATGCAGCAACAAGTTGTGCAGGGTAGTAATAGCATAGAACAGCACGCTTTCCACGGGAGAACTCAACAGCTTGACGAGAGCAGGGATGCCGCCACTTTTGAAAATGGCGAGCAGACCTTGTCTGTGGTGCGACAATTTGTGCAACGTGCCCACGGCGCCTTTGGTGGTTTCCAGGTCGTTGGAATTGGAGATGGCGCGGACTAGGGCAGCCACCATCTGGGGACTGTTCATGATGGCGTGTCGAGAGGCTTCCTTCTTCGACAGTTGGTGCACCATCATGGCCGCTTGCGATACGACGACTTGGTCTTCGTCGTTCAGGAGTTTAATCAATTCGGGGATGGCCCGCGTTGCCAGATCGGCGTCGTCTTGGTAGTTGATCAAGTTGACGACGGCGTGTTTTAGCATTTGGCTGGGTTCGGATAGACGTTGGACGGCGGTTTGGTGGCCGGGATCGAACTGGGTAGAGGGAATCTCGATACCTATGTATTTAATTGAATATGAATTTATTTAACACAACTGGGAGTACAGGTTTCAGCTTCCAACACAGTTATCAATAATGACTACCACCGAGCAAACGGAATTGTAAATAATATTTTTTTTAACAAAAATTGGCGCTATATACACTATTTTAGCAATGTTCTTTTTACCTTGTTACATTCTCACTACTGAGATCAATTGAGTTAGAAGGAGGTGAGACGGATCTGAGTTGTCGATTGAATAAAAAGAACACGTTTTTATCTGTCAGGAAGGGCAAGGAAAGAAAACATAACCCAACATAATTCAACCGAAATGTTTAATGGCTGAGGAAATTAATTAGGAGCATTGAAATATTATTGTAGTGAGCATTCAAAAGATTTAACCTGTGGACTGAAACTTCAAAGCTGAAAGCATGTCAAAATGAAAATATAGGCTGTGTCAAGTCTGTGGTTTGACCAGTATGACCAACCAGCTGTTTGGGAATATCGGTCACGTTTCAAACATGCACACAAAGTTACCACGTTAACTTTTGATGGGAGTCGAGTCAAACATTGACCATTCTGGTATCACCGCTTTAGTGTGGACTGATAGGATAGACAGATGTTGAGTGTTTGGGGACACAGAATTTTTCACCATATCTTGTAGAGTAATTATGGAAGTCATGGTTTTTAGAGAATTCCGATGACTTGCTTTTTGCATTAGAATGCACTGTAAAATGTAGATATATATCGACGGCAAAGTTGAAATTTCATGTAGTTTAAAATGTTCCCTACAGGTTTGCTTGAAATTTGGATTGAAAATCAATCTGATAATCCTTTTCTGTGCAATAAAAATTCTTTTCACATTTGGTACTTTACCCCACAGAACAATATTATATGATAGATAGGAGTATACAAGTGAATAGTAGACTAGGAAGAAGTTGTTTGACATTGAGTACAGTCTTGAGTTGTAGTATAGCATAGTATGCAGTTTATTTTTTTACAAACAAAGTCGATGTTGGTGGACCAACTTAAATTACACCTAGAAATTTCGTCACAAGGGATGGAGGGATATCCTCTCTTTCTACTTTCACAGTGAAGTTAATTGTTAATTTGTTCTTTGAAGAGAACTGCATGACCACAGTCTTAGTAGAGTTTACTATCAGGGAGTTTTTTCTGCACCACATAGTGAATTTTCCAGCTAATAAATTGAGCTTATGGAGAAGTTCGGTGGATGATTCAGCATCTGCTGCCAGGGTGGTGTGATCAGCATACAGTATGGTATAATCAGCGTTAGTATGTAAAGGGAGGTCATTCACATATAACAGGAATATCAGAGGTCGTAAAATGGACCCTTGAGGAACACCTTGCTCAACACCTTTGAATTCAGACATGCTGTTCTCAATGTTCACACATATTTATCTCACATTAAGATAGGAGGATAACCAGTTTGAAAAATTTCCCCTAAAACCCAGTGCATAGAGTTTATTTTCTATAATTGATATATCTATGCAACCAAATGCTTAAGACAGGTCGAAAAATAGTGCGCCCACATACCGCTTTTTATCAAGTTGTTCATGGACATAATTGAAAAAGCCTGCTGTTGCACTTTCTGTTGACCTGTCAGGAAGAAACCCATGCTGGTGATTTGACATAATATTGAACTTACATAGAAATGACATCATTCAACAACTTTACAAAGTATTGTAGGAACAGTGATTGGCCTGTAGTTTTCAACAGAAAGCTGGTTACCTTTTTTAAAAACTGGTGTCCCAACACCAATTTTAAGATCAAATGGAAACTTGCCCAGAGACACAGATGTGTTCATCAAATAGGCCAGAGGATTACTAATATATGGACTTATATGTTTTATAACTCTTGTAGGAATGCAATCAATACTAAGTGTGTTAGTAGTTTTTAGTGACTGAATAGCGTCTCTTACTTCATGACAGTTTATTCCAATGAAACTAAGGTATTTTGAATGTACACGGTGGTGTTGTAGTCTGTGAATGTTATCTCTGCAAAATGTTCCCTGATGGCAGTACTTGCACATGTTGCAAAATACTCCACAAATGCATTTGCCATATCTTTATTGTTGGTGAAGATTTCATCTCTAACTTGAATCGATTGGATTTTTCCCAGTTATCTTTCCCAGTTTTTGTGTTCACAGTATACAGACGCTCGAGTACTCACCCTCCTCCAAGGTCTCCGGAAACATGGCCGCCCGCACGCGCTGCGACCTCGTCTGGTTCAGTTGGTTGTTCATCTCGTCGACCTGGTCGGGCGTGAAGCCCTGATAGCCCTGGTCCAAGTCGAACAGGTCCATCTCCTCCTCCTCTTTGCCGGCGAGCGAGGGCGCCCCTGTCGTGGGCGCGCCCGAATGTATGCCCGAATCGCCCATGTACGAGTTCTGCTGCCACACGAGCGTCTGCTCCTTGGCGGAGGCCATGGGCAGGTCGTTGGGGCCCTGGTAGTGGCCCTGGGACACTGGGAAACATACAAACATGTTTGTGGAGGGACTAGGCTTGGGGATACCAAATCTCTTTGTTTCAAACATATCTTCAAGTATTTTTATTATTATTATTCAAAATTGCAAAAACACTAGCTCTTTTATGTGAAATAGTTATTTATGTATTAAGGGAATTATGAGGGTCTTAATTACCGATGGCAAAGTTTGCGTCCCGAGGGCCTCTAGCCCGAGGGACAGCAATTGCCAGAGGTTATTGAGGCTCTATAATTCCCGTGATACATAGATAATTTTATTTCTGACTGATTTCATTCATTAGATACCTTCCCGATTGGAAGTTAGACATGTTTTTCCGTATAGTTTCAATGTCATCAGAACGTCAGATGATGATCTTGACTACCGCGAATAGGAGATTCCTTATTGCTACGTTATTGCGTGGTTGTTGCTATGCATTTCTTATTTAATTTTAGCTAGAGGGAATTATAGCATCTATAACATCCCAAGGGAGTTATGACCCTCATAATAGATATGGTAACTATGACGATATAAGCTTATAATGTCACTGTCAGAAATAAAAGCTATTATTTCAAGCTTTTTATGAACCCAGCTACTTCAGATGCGTCAGTTGGTTTCATAAAAATTGACTTATTTAAGTTATTGCTTTTCCGTACTGATGATTCGCATGATGGTTTACTGATACTACGTGCCATATAAAATGATTACATAAATTCAATTTAAGTGAAATGGATGAAAATGCCAGTTTCTTGGTTTAAACAGACTAGAAGTTGATTGCAATAACGGTAATTTATAAATATATTTCATGGCATCAATTTAAAGAGATTTCAGAATAGATTTTGCTGTAGTACCCCAGATTGATATCAAATACTGCAATTTAGAGTAAACCAAAGTGAAATAAATCAATAAGCAAGTCAATAAGTATTTAAGTGGTATAATATACCTCAATTTCTATATTGGAAGATATTTTTTACCTAAGCATTCGATCATTATGCGATGACCAAAATAAAGACAGGTCTTTAGTTGAGCCTGAGAGTTGAATTTTTTGTATTGTTTCCGAATTTCAAAGTTTCATCGATTTGGTTATGGGGTAAATTCCTTTGCGAGTTGAACATGGAAGAGGATTTATCGAAATTTAGTGTCATTTTATGATTTTGTAAGTGAGATATCATTCCATTTGGTGTATTATCTCTTGAATACGATGTGAGGTTACAATGTATCTATTCCGGTATTTATATTCTGAACTCATACAAACCTTCCAAAGTTACACAAGGCACAATACAACGATGGGGCATCTCAATAACAATTTTAAAGAACTTTCGTGAACAAATTTTGTTGCTGAGAATAAATGGATGGAAATTGATAGCTGACATGAACTCCAACTGGCTTCCGACCTTACTAGTACTAGAGTTCCTTCGTGTATTTGACACTTTTGTTTTGACCTTCTTGTATTTTAGAGTAAAAACACTCGAGAAAGAGTGACAGATATAACCACAAATGAATAGACGAAAAAAACGTACTTGTCATAAATTTCAAGGTTTGTCAAATTGAGAATGAGCAGGGAAAATAATAAAATGCAGGTTTGCGCTGTTTTCAACTATAAAAATACTGGGAACTGATTTAATTCATTTGAATTTCCATCAAATAGAACACTGTGACAGAAATCTCCTTTATCAATCCATATGATTTTCAAAGTAATTGTGTAGTGAAGTGAGTGAAAAAAGGTTTACTTGAGTTTAGATAATGGTGAACCTCAACTTTAGTTTTATTGATTTCTGATTGATCTAGAGACATCTTCCTCTAAAACTTACAGTGATGAAACTTTCTATGTGTTTCTTCATTGAATACGGCAGATTTACCAGTACGGTTGGTATGCTTAAGCTTAGGGCCCCAACCCTTACAGGAGCCTCGCAGGGGCTCTTTCATTGCAATGTTTCCTCTGAGCAATACTTATTTTATATAGCAGCACCGGCAACATTGCAAGTTGCTCAATATGGCCATAGCTCAAGGGCATATTCCTTGAAAAATTTCAAGTCGTAAGTGCTTATACACTTTTGTCTCAAACTCGATAGTTAAGGAGTTATGAACAATTGAATAACAACTTTGCTCACCAGTAGATTGCAAGAGGTGGTCACCGGCCAATTTGCCATTGTTACACAAAACCTTCAATAATGAACTACAATGTTATCAATATTTTACGTTTGTCAAATAAAGGGTATTTCCACAGCAACTTTCTCAAAACCATTCAATCCTGTTGCCGGACCCTGTATATCTCGGAACCTATTCAACCTACAGAAATTCAATTATTGAGCTGAATGATGAAAATTCATTCCACTTTGAAACTGGAAATCACATATTTTTTCAAAAAACGCATAGTTTATGACTTATATATATCAAATTTTTTTAGCACAGTGCTCTTCTTTACAGTAAAATCTACAATAAAATACAATAATTCAATAAATAAAGACATAGAAATATGGAACTCAAACACAGACACATGAATTACGTCATATATTTTAAGATAATGGTAATTATAGTTATGAACAATAATGTTTATTGGGGTAATACAGACAATCAATCAATTTACAAATGTTTTCTTTCTCAATTAATTAATCGATAATTATCTTTCACAAATAACACACGATTCTTTAAAACTATCTAGTGACACACATCTTTTCATTTCACAGGGCGAATCATTGAACAATACTAGACTTTTTGTAAATGGAGTATCACAGACAATATTTCCAAAATTTATAAAGAAATCATTTGCTGCTTGTCTTCTGGTATTGTGACAATGCACATCATGAACATAATTTAGCTCACTTGATAAATACACTGGGAACATGTTATTTTTCAATTTATAAACAAAAATAAGTGTATTATATGAAACTGTTTTGGATTTTTTGCTGTGTATTAACCTGATCGTTACTCAAGAAACTCAGTAAAGTACCACAATAATCAATAAGAGCTGTAATAATAATAATAATAATAATAATAATAATATTTATTTCTTTGGTTGAAAAGTACAGTTGAAAAAAAAAATCAATGCACAATAAATAAAGAAAATGTCAAAAGTCTAAAAGTAAATATAAATAACGTATAAATGTAAATAATTACCATGTAACATATTCTAAAAGTCAGTCAAGTAATATATACAACACAAATAACACAAACAAACTAAAAAGTCAATATAATATAAACAACACACAATTGCTAAAGCTGAAGATCTCAGGTTAGTTGATTAATGAACTCTTGAATGGTGTAACAAGTCCTTTGAAGTAGCATTTTTTTCAGCTGATTTTTAAATACATTAATATTTGGGGAATTCTTAAGATGCATTGGAAGCATATTGTATAATTTACACCCACTGTACTCTACGCTTTCTTCAAACAAAGATGTTCTATGAGCGTTTGGTAATATTAGATCTTTAGAACGAGTATTGTGGTTATGTTTTGGACGAGAGGACTTGTAAATTGTTAATTTCGTGAAATGAGATACTGTATCACCAAGCCTGTACATAAAACCTATTTTTCGCGCAATTTTCTTTTTAATATATTCACTATGTTAGCTATCAATGATCACTTCCAAATACTTGAACATTTTCACTTCTTCAATGATTTCTCCGTTTATTTGAATATTGAATTTTATCTTATTTTCCTTGATCATTTTTGAATTTGCTTTGGAAGATATAAGCATAAAATTCGTTGTTGTAACATTAATTTTTAGTCCATTGTCACAGATCCAGGTGAATATATTCTCAAGATCTTCATTCAAGAATTTTTCCACATCGTCTTTTTCACCAGAGAAGTAGGGTATCATCCGCAAATAGGTTCAGCTTACAATTTTGGAGGTGATGCATAATGTAATTTATGAATAAAATAAATAATATTGGTCCCAGTACCGATCCTTGTGGTACTCCATGCATGACCTTTTCTTTATTTGAGTAAGTGTTATCATATTTGACAAGTTGTTCTCTATTTTGTAGATAGCTCTGAAACCATTCGAAAACATTTCCGCCGATTCCATATTTGTTGATTTTTTTTCACCTCCTGGCTTAGATTGAAAGTTAGACGTGTTTTTCCGTAGTTTTCATGTCATCGCAACGTCAGATGATGACCTTGACCACCGCGAATACAATGCAATTTGAAAAAAAAAAGTTGACAATCGCTATCCTTGTAGAACCGCTGTTATAGCACACACATTTGGAACTCAACAAGGTTTTTATTTAGTTATTTTGAAGACATTTGAAAATCAGCATATTTCGCCAGCACTTTGATTTCTCTTTTCGGTCTTTTATTTTCCACGGTTTCTTCATCTTCCATATCTTTTCCCTCATTTTCATGTTGATTATCTGGCAGGAAGTGCTCATCAGTCCTCGTTCTTGTTTCCGAATACCGTGGTTTAATGTCCACTAGATTTCTTCTGAGCTCTCCTGACTCTGTCTTTATTATAAATGATCTTGGAGCAATTTCTTCGCGGATTTTTCCTTGTCAGCACTGGAATTGAGAAGAAATGGGGAAGAAGATCATTCCAACCTTGTTTTATATTGAGGTTGATATGATCTTCTTCTCCATTTTTACCCCATTTCCAATATTACCAACAAAAAAATTTCCATTATTTTATGTTGGAAAACTGAAGACAAGGACAGACGGGGAAGGCATTTTTTTCTTTCTCAAAGCTACCTGAACTGATCTATTAGATTAGAATGTAGAGTTGGAAGTCACCAAACACCAAACTGTGAATGAACATTTTGGTAAAAGTGCACTTATCATGTGATGGATTTTTTTTGTATTCTTTTTTTTTGGTAATTACGTATTTTCGTCTGAAAAACACAAATTTCACAATGAATATGTGAACAAACCGCTATTTATCGGGATATTTTATAAAAAAGTGCAAAATTTCACCTTCTTTTGCAACCCATCTAGGATATTCATTTACAACCACTTGTCCTTTTTTTTCATCACTGGACACATTGCCAAGGGAGGTGTTTCCCGAGGCATATCACCTCCAGAAATTCAAAAAGAACACCAATTCCTACCTTATTTCCCTATATCCCTTTACGTGAGAACCAGAACATAAAAATAAAACTTTATATACTCATGTTTTACTTCAATAACACATTTTATTTACTAAAATCAACAAGAAGTATGGTTCATTTGGAATTTTTTAATATTTAGAGAGGTAAACAATAGTTTGGTTTTAAATAATAGTTTGGTTTCTCCAGTTTCTTGCAAATATTTTTTGACATTTGACCTTTATCTGACATCTGGTATTTGTATTTTGAGTTCTGTGATTTGAATTTAGATTTGATAATTGAATGGCCGTCAGCTGGTGTGATTGTTTATAATCCAATGATGGCAAAAGAAGGACAAATAGTTTGTTGTAAATGGATTCAATACCTAACTAATTATTGGGACTCATGCCCAAACACCATGTATGATTAGAAGTTAACATATCAAGACCACATCAAGACAATGTCACAAAAACATGGTGAAATTTCGCATTTTTTCGAAAATTCAATAGATAGGGTTTGTTTCCATTTTCATTGTGAAAAAAAGAAAGTACTTACCAAAAAAATTGTTGAAAAAAACCAACCTAGTTTTACCAACATTTTTTGTTAATGTAGGTATAATGTATCTAGTATCTATCAACTATTATAATAGGTATCATGACATAAGGAACTTCTCAAAAAATCTATTTCATTAAAAAGTAGATTGAATTGATAAAAGTTACATGGTATCCATTCTTCTATTCTTCCATTATCTTTCTATTTACCAAAAGACACTAATTCAACACCCACATTTCCATCTATTTGCTATGTGATTTGCTCCTATTGATATAAACAAATCATTCACTTCATAATTCATATAGGTATATAAATATAATCATTAGTAAATTTTCTAGGTAGGTATTACAATACTTACTGGGCCTATTTTGGTTTGACTGCATGTAACTCATGGTGATTCGGTGATGGTCCACCTATAGAATAATATCCAAATTCTCAGAAATATTACTCATTCAAATTAGCATACTGAAGTGATTCAATTTCACTTGAAAATCTCAACAAAGCACATGAAAAACAATATTTCAGTATTCAGAAAAAAAGCTCTGGCGTCAGGGGCAAATATCGATTACTGAACAAGTGCACATTGAGATGAAATCAAGTGCATCTTGACGGAATGCACCCACATAAAGAGATGATTAGAAATCCTCCATGTTGTTATACAAAATGGACAAGTTCAACGACTCGGGAAAGATTTTCAAGACATCTGATCGCTATAGTATACCAAAGTATCACTGGAATTCGAATAGGTATTTATTATAAAACTTACCTAACACCACCAAATTGCACTATTTTCTTCAAAACACAATTTTTTATTGCTAATCGTGAACACACCGCACCCAAATGTCAAAACATCAAAGCATTTATAAAGTTGGATGCAGTGTTGCCGGTGTTAAAGGAACAAATAGCGCAATGCTTCCAACATTTCCAACATGAAAGCGCAATATCTAAAGCGCCGTTCACAACCAAACTTTTTACGTTTCGTGGTTTCGTGTTCTGATTGGTGAAGCTACAGAAACCTGTAGTTGACTGGGTATCATCGTAGAATATACAATGATAACATGATTATCAGTAAGACTTAGAGCAATGCTGAAGCACTTTATTGAAAAAATATATGTAAAGTATAAAACAAGGTAAATAAATAAAATAATTATTATATTTTATGAATTCAAGTCACTGTAAACCATACTTTGTAACTTAGTGACATCTAAAGACATTTACCACAAACTCGACTACATTCCGAACCAAACAGGAATCATCAGTAGTTTTGCTGCAGGCTTGACTAGACTACTAGACTACCTATATTCAATTCGCTGATTGCTGATAGAGATTGAGAGATAAGTAGGTAGTACCCTAGTATCACCTGAATCCCTTTTTTTTGATAATCTCACAACAGTCTTCGAAATTTAGAACGATAAAAGTGCTGCTGGTGGCAAAGTTACTATCGAGTGACCTGATAGAGGAGTTGGTAAGCAGGCTAGACCACGAACCCATGTTTCTGAAAAAAAAAAGTGGTTTCAGAAACATTCAGGCAAATTCGTACGCTACCTAGCGGAGGTTTTGAAATGTGTGCGAACAGGTAGGGCGACATTTAAGAGGATATAGAATGATGGAAGTAAGATATGATGGTGCGCGTATTCGACCATTATTACGTATCACAACGAGCGAGACGTTGATTCTACATTTTCCCGCTAGATGGTAATGCTGCTATTGCTGCTATGACGAGTGGAAATAAAATGGCATTGTAGGTACGCGGAACATATGTAACAGTGGGATTATTCCAAGATTATTCAACTCTGAATTCGAAAAATCTGCCACAATTTCAAAACTGATAGATGTCATAATTGTGCAATGTCGCCATCTATTAGAAGATCGACGGAACCATTGCTCTCGCTGTTCTCGAGAGGTCGAGTAAAATTTCTGCAACAAAAGCGCATCAGTAATTATACTATATCTATATCTTACTTCCATCATCGGATATAGTGACTCTTTAACTGTAAAAGGCGGCTAGCGACACGAATTCCAATTGCCACGACGAACATTGGATATATTATATCTATTGAACACACATGATAAGAATTTGAAAACAAAATCTTCTGAAGTAGAGAATTTTCATTCTCCTTCATATAAAGATAATTACATAATATTATTGGATAGGATTTCTTATTTCGTTCACAGAAATTGAAATTTTCTGTATTTTTTTCATATTCAATACGAAACTGCGTCAGTTTTACTTAAAGAAAACATTCGGAAATAGAAGATGTTTTTATTAGGATCGAACGTGACACTTCATTTGACAAGAATGACAAGCGAATTTGCCACGTCGAACTTTGAATATTATATTTTTCTTCCTCCCTGAAAAAATGTACTCTGGAGGAATTTACTGTTGAGGGCGATATCGAATCGCTATTTCAATGATGTTTATACTTCAGGAAATTTCGGAAGTCTCAAAGCAAAGAGGAATCCGTGTCGCTAGCCGCCTCAAAGGATATACAGGATGTGAAAGGCGAAATATATCGGTGGTTCCCAAACCATACATAGCAAACTAACAAGCGTCTAGCTAGACCAGCGAATCTTCAAACATCGAGGTCAAGTGACGTCACCCACAACACATGATATTCCTTCCTTCTTCATATTGAGGAACTGCACCTACACCGAGTAGAGCGATATTAGTGGTTAGTGTATCTGACTTCCACGGTGGTGACTAGAGCTCAATCCCTGCGAGGCTTCAATTTTGTTTTTAAATTTTTTCCACCGATCAATTTTTTTCAAATTATACTTCTCAGGAAAAAGGTTCATTCAGGAAAAGAAAGGTTCCTTTTTTAAGCAGGAGAGATATTTTCCTTCCTCATATTTCCTTATAAACACGAATAATAACCTTCTAATAACCTTGAGGTTTGAAAGATTTGCTGGTCTAGGCTGTGGTTTAGCTAGACGCTTGTCTAAAAGCCTGCCCATGCCGCATTTTCGGGTCAGACTAAATTCATGCGTTCAGGACTCAGGTATGCTCAGGTGTTTACGGATAGATATGTGATCAATTTCGAATTTCCGACTCACATTCAACACATCTCAATTCTCACCTCTTTGGCTGCAAAAACACTCCGTATTACTGAGTGCCCTGCCGTATATGGTCGTCACACCTCCGACGATCAGAATCTGAGTGCCGAGATAGGAGACTGCGTGGCCATGTCTGGGGATGCTCAGATCTGTCACGTGCTTCCATTCCAATTTCTTGTCGTTCCAGTAATCCACCGAGCCGACGCTGGCAGTAGTTTGGACGTTTTCCGAGGCTCGGCCAGCGCCACCTATGACGTAGAGTCGATCGGACATGACGAACATGCACGAAAAGCAGCGCGGAAATGGAAGAGGAAAATTCATTTCAGTCCATCTAAAAAAATAGTTCTTCATTGATCGTTGCTGACCGATGAGTTGGTGACCTCTATGCAATGAAACATACACCGGCATCGTTTCACTGTTGGGATTATAACTTACGGAATCTGCATTCGAATCTAAATTATGGATTATTATAGATTATTATGAATGATGATTTGTAAGAGCATTAGTAGATAGTTTATTAAGCAAGTATAGATATTATACATATTAGATACTGTATTGTGCTTCAATCATGGACTGACTCTGCTGTAATGTGTGAGGTTTATTTGAAAATCCGAACATTTGTTTTATTTTATGTATCAAAAGTGAGTAAATGAACTATTACCACAGGATTTTCTTGAGTTAGAACTTTGTGTCGTTCATGCTAAAATTCACCATTGAAAGTCGAAAATATAACGCACCGTTTCCATTTACATAAAAAAATGTGAAAATGAAAATGTGAACTAAAACGAATGTGTCATGATTCCTGTAAATTTGGTTTGAAACTTCGGAAATTTTAAATTCAGCAAGATTCTCCCTTCTCCCACGCCTCGCTATTTTCGCAAAGCAGGCGATATCGAGAGATTTCGAAACAATCGAAACTCCTTTCAATAATGTGATAACACCATTTGACGTTCTATACATCTATATTAACTCATCCTCAAATTCAATTCCCTTCTATATGATGTCAGAAAAAAGTAGGTGCCATTTGAAGAAGTTGATATTTCGATAGTTTTTCAATGCGACATTTGAAAATCGCCTGCGCCATATCGTAAAAAATGAGAGCCACCATGGACTGTACCATGAATTTAGTGCTCTAATTTTGAACAGTTTGCGAGATTCAAATGTTTTCGTAAACTTCTACGGCAGTAATTATTTTCAGAAACATCGACAAATCTCGAAAACTGTGATAGACAAGTTGACTTGAATTAGGTTATCTACAGGGGCGTCCGCAGAAATAATCTCTGAGAGGGGGCAAGTCACAATATTTATATACAATATCCAGTTTACATATAAAAAATCTTATTATGAAGTTGAACTAGACTTTCAAAGATGTGTTTTCCTTCTTTCAGCAAGATTCTCCCATGCCTCGCTATTTCTACAAAGTAGGCGATATCGAGAGATTTCGAAACTCCTATCAAAAGGAAGTGATAACACCATTTGACTTTCTATATCAATGCATATACAATGGCATATACTTTTCCTGTTCGTGTATAGGTACCTACAACATCTCAGAGCTATATCCCAGCGAGCACAAAAACATCTCAGAGATGAAGTGTATTTTCAATTTAAATTTTCTCGAACCAACCATGAATTTATACAAACCTAGAGATTTATTAGATCTGACATCGCTATATAAACTTAAAATATGTTGTTTTATTCAATTTGTCCTATATAAATTGAAAATTTCGAATTTAAATTTCAATGAAATCAATTCATTACATAATCATGGAACAAGACAATCAAATTTACTAATAGCAAATACGTTCAAGTCAAATATTGGCAAACAATCAATTTTTCACACAGGAATCGTTCTATACAACTCATTACCAAGTCATTTGAGGAATATACAGGAAGCAACTAGATTCAAAATTAACTTAAAAAAATATCTGCTTCAGAGACTTTGATAATTCCATTTCTTATTTGAATACCTACTTATAAAATACTAGGTTGAAATTGCATGATTATTTGCATTTTTTTTTTTTTTTTTTAACTTGTTATATCTTATTATAATTTGTATAATGTTTATGTATCCCTATTATAAACAACTATGTTTCTTGGGGTAATAAAGACAATCAATGTTAAAAGTACGATATTTCGAGACATTGAACCTCCACTACGATGTTCTGTTCACACATGAATAGAACTATTATAGAACAGCCAATGTCCGCCGCAGGCGGCAATTATCGAGATGTCCTTGATATGTCACAAAACTACCTTCTCCCTAGTTCTTTTTAAAGCCTTTTCATGGACACAACAGAACATTTTCAACGCGTCTTGCGCACATTAAATCGCTGTAAAAAAACATTTTCGAGGTACTTTTCTGGAGCCTTTTGTCAAAATGAACTTTTGCATTAGGATTCCATTTCCTTGAATGAAAAAATGCATTAAAAATAGATTGAACATAAAAATATTTTCTTGATATGAAATTACCTTCTTAATCGGTTTCTGAGTAGTGCTTACTACACACAGACATATAATTGGAAATAGGTTTCCCAATTTTTGAAATGTTCTCCACAATGCATAATTTTGCAACTGCGGAGAAGCTGTGTATTGATTATAAGTTCGTACTTTTATATATTGATTACACTGAGGCACCGAACAACACATCTTGCATCTGATGGTCATTATTACAAACTAAATAAGTCTTCTAACACAATAAACTTCACCAAATTCCTTTCTGTTCGTTAGCAGCGTGATGTAAGCGTGACACGCTGCAAACGCGAATGCCAATTGAGAACAAGAAGAACAAAATCGAAAACAAATCAGAATTCATCGTATTGTGACGTAAGCATGAGACGTTGTGGTGGGGCAAACAAAGAAAGGGCACAAAAGAACGAAAACAATACTCTCAATATCCTTCTAAGACCTCTTTGGGAAGTGCATATTACGCCTCAAAAAAACATCCTCATGCCTACATTTCTAAAACATCCCAAAACATCCCAGGGATACCTCTCAGTAGGCAAACAAAGAAATGCCACAGAAGAACAAAAACAATACTTCAATATCCTTCAAAGACCTTTTTGGTCAGTGCATATTGCGTCTCAAAATAACATCTTCATGCCAACATTTTCAAAACATCCCAGGGATGTTTGTGCTCGCTGGGATCTATCAATATAGTATTGAAATATTTTAGATTATCCTTGAAAAAATAACTTCATCTTCCTGTATCAGTATTTCATTGAGTCGTTAACTCATTGATCACCCTGTTTCTTCCGACTTACTGATTGGCTCGAAGGTCGTATGTTTCTACGGAATCAAGAATATCGATGTTTTTCTCAGAACCTGAAGATAATCCTCCGGCCACCCATATGTGATTTCGGTACTTAGCACAAGCGAATCCAGTTCTCGCTCTTATCAAGGGTGCCATGATCTCCCAACATTTTCTATCGGTATTATACCTTTCCACTGTTCTAAGGGCCCTGAAACAAAAAACAAGATTTTTTCAACGAATATACAGGGTCACGACGAGCTTACACTACCTCTATATCGAGAATCAGTCGGGAAAAATCCATGAAAATATGCATGCATATATTTTAGAATACGCTCTTTTCATTTAAAATATTTTCAGCAATGCACTGTTGCCGCTTCTATCAAAAAGTAGCAACAACTTTGTTATTTTAAATAGAATACTCTGTATTTTATTGCATTTTCAGATTCTCCCTGAAGAGCTGATTCCATCGATACATCACACTTGGGGTCTATCGGAAATGATTACAGAGATATAGGGTGTTGAAAATCGAGATTTTTCAACTTAAGGATTTGTTGGTGTCCAAACTATTCATTATCGGCCAAAACGGTTCACATGTCCCTATCTCAACTTTTGATTTACTGTCTACTGATGATTAATCGGAACAGATTCAGGGTGATCAGAATTCTGAATCTTGAACCACCCTGTATCTGTTCCTATTAAATATCAGTAAATAGTGAATGAAAAGTTGAGATTAGGACATGTGAGCCGTTTCCACCGATAATGAATAGTTTCAACACAAAAAAATCCTAAAGTTGAAAAATTTCGATTTTCAACACCCTATATCTCTGTAATATTTTCCGATAGACCCCAAGTGTGCCACATCGATGAAATCAGCTTTTCAGGGAGAATCTGAAAATGCGATTAAATACAGGGTGTTCCATTTGAAATATCAATGTTGCTACTACTTTCTAGTAGAAGCGGCAACACTGTATTGTCGAAAATATTTTAAATGAGGATAGCGTATTCTAAAATATGAACATGCAGATTTTCATGTATTTCTCCTGACTGATTCTCCATATAAAGATAGTGTAAGCTCCCTGTATACTTTTTGCCTTCATCTCGAAAACGAAGCAAATTAGGACACGTTTATATGAACTCTATTTCCTTAAATATCACAAGGAATCACCCCTTGAATTTTTTCGGTGTTATTTAGATAGACCCTGTATATTTACTCGTATTGTTTTCCTTGACCGCCGATAGCATACAATCCTAAACTGCAACCAGCTAGTCCGAAATTTTTCCTGGGTTCCCACAGAGGCGATTCCTTGAACCAAACTTTCGTTACTGGGTCGAAACTCCATGTTGTGCCAACTACACGGGATTGTTGTGAGTCGCCATTTTCTGTTGGATCTCCACCACCTACAACAGTTGAAAACATGTAATTTTACTCGAGGATGATAACTAAAGGGGGATTCATGCAACATGAACTAAATTATAATGAATTCAAGATTTAAACGAATTTTAAATTGAAAATATATGGGTGTTCATGCAATAACCTTTCATCAGCTGTTTAATCTTTTTCCAGCGCGGCTAGTTATTATATGACGCATGCCCTGTCGTGAATTATGGAAGAAATTAATTTCTCAGTTGAATGTTGGCCATCTTTCTAGAATCAAATTTAAATTTAAATTTCATAGCTTCTTGCATGAGCACCTACACATTACATCTCATAGTTTTATATCAAGTATTGGTTTGAGTTCAAAAATTCATTGAAGTATTAAATTTTGCTTGCATGAATCCATCTTAACATTTGGAAGGACGTAAAACTAAAATTCGATGAACTGATTGAACCTGCAGAGTCTTAACTTTAACGCCCTGTATTTCAGAATCTGCACGAAAAAATAGAATTTGTTGCATCGACAAATTTTTTATGCTTGAATTATTTTTGTTGGACTGAGCAATTTTTTGTTGAATCAACCGGATACATTATTATTTCATGGAAGCAGCTTGTTCAAATCAAGATGTAGTCTAATTGATTCAACAGTATAATATCAATTCCATCAACAAAATATATGGTTTCCTCAAAAACAAATTATGTCGATCTAAAATAATGTCGATGTTGATTCAACTATAAACATTTTGTTGATTTGATCAAATAATGATCATTTTGATGAGAACTGGAGATCTATGCTAGAAGTCGACTGGTTTCCTAGTTTAGTTCATTCTATTGATGTGAAATTTCAGAAAATTCCCGCATCGAAACATTTCATTAAATCAACAAAATATTTTATTGAATTAACCAGATATTTTATTGAATCACCAAAAAAATTCATTGAATCAACCAAATATTTCTTTGAATCAACCAAATATTTCTTTGAATCAACCAAATATTTCATTGAATCAACAAAATATTTCATTGAATCAATATCTTGTTATTTTGTTGATCAAAGAACTTTACGATTCTACAGGTTCAATCAGTTCAGCGAATTCTACAACATACTGAAAATTCAGAAAATTTCCCGGAGAACCATTTCACGCACTGAAAGTGCGGAGTCCTTTGAATGTCGCATAGGCAAATTATATACTATACTATATACGGAGTGTTCCATTTGAGAATTTAAAAATTCGAGATTTGGGTCACTTCATCAGACAAAATACGACGTCACTCATAGTTAGTTTTGGTTAGTCCTGAAAATTGTTGCTCACCAACCAAAAATATTTTTCCTTTGAAGAATTCAGCACAATGATGATGTCTCGGCTCAGGTAACTCAGCAACGAATTCCCACGTGTTGACAGCAGGAAGGTACCTGTAGATAAAAGGTTCAGGAATGTCCACTTTTGATTTGAATATGAAATTCCACATAAAATTGTCTTGAAATATATGTTTACTGAAATTGCATACACTCCGAAAATTTCCTGGACTTTATGGAATTCCTAGAAATTTTTAGGAAACTCGAGGAAAAAAATTCAAGAGGACGTCATTGAAATTTCCTTGGAGATCTGATTTGAGAAAAAAGTGAAATTTTAGAAAGTATCTTGAACAACGTTTACACAATAATCCAACCAATCCTACAGTGTCAATGCATTTATCTGACCTATATGGTTCAACCAGAATGGACTTGTAAGTCAACCAAATCATTCAAATACGATATGAAAAGGAAATATCCCAGATCTGAGCCTTAAGGAATACTGTGGTGTACCACAAGGGTCAGTTTTGGGGCCAATTTTATTGAACAATACCCCAATATGTTTCAATAACAAATCCATTGAATATACAAATGTTACAAAATAGATCATTTGAGGAAAAAACGGAATCCTGTTGTTGGTATTATATAGTTTGATTGAAAGAATATTACTCATATTGGTTGTTGGAGATCATTTTGAATTCATTATACAGAATGACAAAAATCTGTTAAGAAGAGCATTTTCAGAAATTTTCGAGAAGCAATGGGGTACTGTAAAATTTTTCGATAATTCTTCATAAACCGTGAATTACCATTTTCATGAATCGGTACCAATCTTCAGATGATCTGAGAATATTCCCGCGTTAGAAAATATAAATTTTGACAGTATTATTCAATGAAGAGATAAGACGATTTGTTCAAAAGGATCATTGGGGTATTCTGTAAACATTCAGTTGAGTACAAAACTTCCATCAGTAACATTTCTATTTAGAAAATTATGATAAATTAAGTTTTCGAATATTTCACTTCAAGACCCGGTTTCACCAACGGATTCAATCTCAGTTTTGAAGTTAACTGACAGATTCAATCGCCATAACTAAATGATTCAAACCGTTTCACCATACATCGATCGATTGATCAAGATTATTCGTTTTTCAGTTTTCACCATACCATAATCACCGATTATCTCGATCATAGATCAACGAGGACACGTTTTGAATCAGTCATGATCTGCCAATTATGAGTTAACTCCAAAACTGTTGGTGAAGGAGCAAAGGGAATATTTCAATATTGATGCATCAATTTTGAAACATTGATTTTGAAAATTTCAACCGTTTTCAACTCAACCTGTAGATATCTTTCCCTGTATTCCTTCCAGTGCCGTAGTCGCTGTGAGCGTCTATACCCCCAAAAACCAGGACCGTCTCCCTGTTTTTCTGAAATAACGAGTCCTCCTTCAAAAGGTCCCGCCTAGTACTGGCCAAATGACAGTTGCTGAGGAAGTCGCTAGAATTTCCGACGTGTGTTAAATCAGCGGAGCTTGTTGGCTGATGTATACTTACAGTTGTTGTGGCATGCTCTTTGACTTTGGGTAGTAGCTGAAAATGCTGAAAACTTTTTCTTTTCTGGTTCTCTTATTTTCTATATTTCGATGCTTCTTGGAGATTTCACAGTTCAGAGTTTTGAGTAGGGTTCTCTTTCTGTATTCCCTGTAAGCTCTCTGTATGATTATAGCTGCGTCGGGTCTTGTCAGCCATTTTCTTCTTCTTGGCGATATTTTCGAGCTAGCAGGTGTCTTGCTTAAAGTGGTGCTTTCTCCTGATGGACCAGAAAGAGCAGGGTTGCCCATATATTTCTGGAAATGAACATTCGGAATGAACTTATGGTAATTGGAAAATTTCAATCGAAGTCAACAAAAGGTAAGTTTTTGCACTGTAAGTGCATATACAGTTTATATTCTTGAGTAAGTATATTAACTACATGTAAGGATGAACTTATTATATCTTTACCACTTTACCTTTTGCTGCCTTTCAATTTTTTAAGAATGTTGATGCACTTACATGCTTTTCTTACCAATTGTTGGATACTTTTTGTGAATGTACCTATAAATAGTAGAATAATTAGTTCATCATTCGGCATCATATGGAAGTCTTACCATAATGTATGTATATTTTAATCTCATATCGTCCATCTTAATAAAGTGTTCCTACTAGGAATAAGAGTCCAAATATTTCACTATATTCTTGAAGATTTTGTATACAGGATGGAATTCGATTGATTGATTGATTATAGAATTGTCAGGATAAAGTATACAGAGGGAGCCGTAGTAAATGAATGTTATTTCAATTATTACTATTTATTGTCGGTTTAGTTGAAAAAATGTGTTTCTGATTCCAACCAAATTGTATGCCATAAGTATATGCTACTTGATTGAATAAATAAATGATAGCTAAAATGGGTTTGATGTTCGAGATTTCTAATATCTACGTTTGATTATTGAAATAATTTGAGACTGGTGGGAATTGATTACACATCAAATAAGAGTTATTTATGTATCAAGGGTGCAAACTACGCTATTATGGACTATAGTTTTTTTTTATCGCACGATGTTCTTTGTCATTTTTTATTTTTGCAGCAAGCATGAGGAAAACTGAAACTATGATGTAATATCTATTTAGGTAATATTGTAGGTATAGTATTAAATATTATTGTATAAATATAGTAAACCATTTTAACCGGGCAAAGATTTCTCTTCAGATATTTGAATTTTGGTAGAAGGCTCTTTAATGTTCTGATGACATTTGAAATGTGAATGGTGGAGTCCATCGATATTTCCAGATATTTCATACTATAAGTTGAACGTATTTCTACTGTATGAAATAATTAGTTACTCGTATTGTTTCGAAGTCTGGCAATCCATTCTTGTAGCTACAAGGGAGGTTTTTCGAAATTAACTGTTAATAATTTATTATATTTCTCATATCAATCCCAACTATTTCATATGTTATGCAAGGTGTCAGCTGTATGAAGAATAGCTCTATTATCAACGAAACTAATATTATCCAAAGTTTTCATTTTTATCAGATCGTTTTTTATATAAACCGAGAACAGGAGTGGTCCTAACACTGTTCCTTGTGGAACTCCGTACTGAATAGTGCTTTCTCGACTCTGTTCACCTTGTATCTTGACCATCTGTTTTCCGTTTTCCAAAAAACTTGCGAATAATTTTACAAAACTACCCCTTATTCCTAGATCCTCCAAGGCCTCTGATATCTGTTGATGATTTACAGTATCAAAGGCCTTTACTAGGTGTCGATATTCACATATTGCCGTCTTCCCATCATCGACTGCTTTGTAAATTTTACCTACTAGAGTAGATGTTGCATAATTAGTTGATAAATTCCATCGGTCGTACATAAAATGTTGTATGTATTTCGGGCGTAACTTGCTTTTATGGACCTAGACGTGAATAAAAGCCTACTTTACGTAATTTATACATAAATACAACTATTATTGCTACTGACAAAAATCAGTGAATTGGATTTTGGAAATTTTCTGCTTTTCTGCCTTGTCTTCTTCTCTGTCTGAGGGGTAGAAGGGTATTTAGTTAGGAACAGTTTTTGTTTAGAGATGGTATAATATATTGACAAAAAAATACATTTTATGTATACCTAGTCCCTATTTCATAGGCAACTGAAAATTTGAGAAGGACCGACCCAATGGTGATTTTGTCATGAAATCACTCTGTTGATTTTCTTCGGTTGGGCATAATTACTTACTTTCTTCTTGGACAAAAATTCTTCCATAGTCGGCACTCTGGGAGAATTTTTCTCTGGCGGAGGTGGATTTGGATTTGATCTTCTCAAAGGCTGGCTGTACTCCATTTTATCATTGCCGATTTTAGGCTTGTTCTTTTCGATCAGCTGGTTTCTTCGGTACTGGTCCAAATAAATCAAAAACTCCCTAAAAATTATTATCAGTCAATAAATAAAAGTCGATTCATTCAACATTTTCATCAGATACATTGTAAATAGTGGGCCATGGATTTTTTATATTCAATTGGAACTTTTTCATATGAAAAATCCAAAGCCGACTATTAAAATTCAATGATTTTAGGATTTTTGAGAATTTTTGAAAATGTGATATTCGTACATTATATTTCATTCTGAAGGGAAAAAATAAGGAATTTAATGAGCTTGTATACAGGGTGTTTCGTCTGAAGAATCATGTTCGAGTCGTATCTGCAAAACCATAGCCCTACGTGAAATTCTCTATGGGGTTCAAAAACATAAATTTTCAAAATCGCCCTGTATCTCATAAACGGAAACAGTTATACAAAATATGATAAGGTCATCTCGAGTTTCACAAAAAGTTGTCCAGGACCGCGGAAACCGCAATAAGAAGCATCGAAAACTGGACACACTGTATATACACATAAATATCCTACCTGTAAGTGAAATAAGTTTTGTCTGATCCGCTCCAGTTTCTTGAGGGTGGCTCCTGAAGACCTAATACTGCATTCCAATGTTGAAAATCATCATTTTCTTGACCATACCAGTACTTGATAATAACATATCTACAAAGGGGTTAAACTTGTTGCAATTTTGGTTCACCTGATGATCTCCAAGTGATAAACAATAGCAAGATGATATTATATATTCCATCTTTCTCGATATTTCATATAATATACGGGGTGTCCAGAGATAAAATCGACAAAACTTGTGGGGTATAGGGACTGCCAATATGATTACAAAATGCCATATTATACAATTATACAAATATCTGAAACCGCTTCACTGACATACACTGTGATTTGTGGATTTCGACAAAAACTCAATCATCCATTTGGTACATGAATTAAAGCCTTCGGAAGGAAACCAATATTAAGACCGGAATATAATTATTTTCCTATGCTGAGTTGTTGTTAGAATATCTCACCCTGTATGATAATTGTCAAAAATCTGAGGTCATATTGAGATTAAATATCTGCCCTTCATAAGAAATCTCTGAAGGTTTTGTATCATTTGATGATATCCCAACAAATCATCTGTATGCGATAACAGAAAAATTCACATTGAATGAATTGTATAAAATAGATTCTTTCAAAGTTTCATATAATATAATAAACAAAAATCAGAAATCCAATTTTGTTTTGATAAGAAATTCAGAAATTCATGGTCATCACAGGAGACAATTGAACTCATTTCATCTTGATTCTGCTACTTCTATAATTGGCCAAAAAAAAATTACTCACGCTGCTCTAGCTGGATTCAGTAAATTACCACATAAAATATGAACAATTGCAGACATATTTCAAAATTTGAAATTGCATTGAAAAAACGCATGATTTTATTACGAAATGGATAAAATTGATACTTTGCCATCTACTGATTAGTCCCTGTTCCTATTTTTATATGATCTGATCGATTTAGCATTTTTAGATTTTTTAGTATTTACCTTGTTGAAATTCGGGTAATCCCTGTATTTAATATGGCAGATTGATTTTTTGTCAAAATCCACAAATCACTCTGTATGTCAGTAACGAAGCTAATTTGGACATTTGTATATGGCATTTTGCAATCATATTGGTAGGCTTATATAACCCCATAAGTTTTGTCGGTTTTATCTCTGGACACCTTGTATAATATTCATCTAGAGTGAGAGTCTTTTGGATTAGTTATTGAAACATTTTTCATCAAATGGTAATTTATCCATGTTCATCTCTATATAAATTATGATGAATCAATCAAATAAATACTTACGCCAATCCATCATCTATCATCTTACATATTCTTGAATCTTTAGCCAATTCCATGAAATCGGGATTTTCCGGATTTCTCTTGATATCTACCAACTGCCATGGGGCTATATTTCCAAATCTAACACATTCCAGTATTTCATATTTATGTCTATCACGTGATGCCCAGTCATGTTTTAACCATCTCACCGCAGACATAAAAACTTCCATTTCACTATGATGTAGAAGAAACAAGATAATTGAAAACAATATTGATTTCAAATACTGTCTGTAGGTTAATCGAGGAGGTGGTATATTCATTATTCCAAATTTTTTGGGATTTTCTCTCCTCGTTTCTATAAAATAAAAATATGAATATTATTTCAATATACGTGTAGTAAGGACAAATCAGATGATTTGCCCCAAAAATGTCACTGCGTTTAAAGAATTTTCTATCAGAGAGCCTAAAAGAAAAATTCACTAGCTTGTCAGTGACAATTTGTATTGAAAAAATGTTTGGAGAAGGGAAATAAAGGTATATAGAAAAAATATCAAATTTTCACTTATCTTTGGACGTTTCGGGACCGGTTCTGCTCCCGTTTTCAACATAAGAAATCCAGAAATTCATGGTCATCACAGGAGACAATTGAACTCATTTCATCTTGATTCTGCTACTTCTATAATTGGCCAAAAAAAATTTTCTCACGCTGCTCTAGCTGGATTCAGTAAATTACCACATAAAATATGAACAATTGTAACTCATTTGATTGCCAACGTCACCAATTGTCATTGAAAACTGAAAAGCTTCAAGACATTATACGACTTCGCTATTGAAATAATCTCTTCTTATGTTGAAAACGGGAGCAGAACCGGTCCCGAAACGTCCAAAGATAAGTGAAAATTTGATATTTTTTCTATATACCTTTATTTCCCTTCTCCAAACATTTTTTCAATACAAATTGTCACTGACAAGCTAGTGAATTTTTCTTTTAGGCGCAGTGACATTTTGGGGCAAATCATCTGATTTGTCCTTACTACACGTATATTGAAATAATATTCATATTTTTATTTTATAGAAACGAGGAGAGAAAATCCCAAAAAATTTGGAATAATAAATATTGATTTCTTTCATCATATATTACCAATTCACACATATGTAGTTGGATTTGAGGAAATTTTTGATATCTTCTAGCTCTAGCTCGAGCCAGTTTTGGGAGCTGACTAACATCAGGAAGAATCCTTGAATTCTTGGCAGCATCAGCTCTCTTACTTCGGGAAGATTCTTTTCTTTAGCGTCCATATAAAGAAGAAAAGCTGTGTCTTCAGTAAATACTTCAGCATGATCTATGAATGCCCAACATTGCTCGACCAAATCTGAGAAAATTCAAACAAGAGGATATTTTCTAGGTAGTCAATACTTGAATGCGCTTGTGTAGGTTGATATGAACCTTTTATTTTGAGATATTTTGCTGAATTGAAAATATCTAAGACATTTTCTCTGCTCAACTCTTTGTATGAAGGTTCTCCAGTTATCATCCATTCATATATGAATGCAAAAGCTGCAGCACTACATTTATCCTGTAAGGAATGGAAGAAACTTTAAATGTAACCAATCAATTTTTTTGTATTTTATGCTCACCGCTGGTAGCTCCACTTTTTTCACGGCAATATATGCGTCAAACAGTTCTGAATAACACTGAAGTACTATAAGGTGGCAATTGAATTCTTCGTTATCGATATAAACTTTGCAATCAGCATTTCTGTTTGAAAAGATATGTGAAGTTAGTATAATGTATATCATTCATTGAGCTGGCCTGGTATGGGCTAATATTGAGAGTACCTCGTAAAGCTTCTGATTTGGAATATCTTGAAACTTACGTGTAATTGGTGATACGTGAATACAGTTCCAAATATAAATTCTTCTTTTCAGGTAAAACAACTTTTTGCCAGGATATTTCGTCGGTACCACTATAACCTAACCTGTGAATGAATTTCTTGTGATAATTTTGATCGATTGTGCTAATTTTCGGTGAATTTTACCGTCCCAAATTTAGTTCTGGGTCCAAAATTTCAGAAGTTTGTTTACTTTCGTATTCAGAAGCTTCTTTATTGCCACTTCGTATCGGTGTATTCCCTATGAGGGTACCTAGGCTAGAGAATCCTGCCTAGAAAATCAAGTAGCCTCAAATCAGGAAGATTAGTTGGCGATAGTGAAAGTAACACGATGCGAAAGCTTTGATAACGCCTTTGATGGTCGATGCCTCAAAATTCGTTACCTTGAATATCACCTCCGTATACACGGAGAAAAATCACATCACGCTTTGATCTACACTGAAAAAACATGCTTGCACTATTTGAGAATGGTAAAATTATTTCTGTGATTTATTCATGATGAAAGGATACTCAGGTATTGACCAATTTGGAAACGCAGATCTGAGTTCAATAATTGAACTGAAAAAAAATCTCTTTTTTGATAATCATGAATATCATTGTTGGAATATCTAACAGAAAACTACTTTCCTGGCTAATACATTCTGTGGTACATACAAATTTCGTTCTGGCGGAAGGCTAACCAATATAAAGAAGAGAGTTGAATTGATATGTGCAATATAAACTGGGCGTCAATCGAAACGTTAATAGTGAAATTTGGCATCAAGTTTGACTTCTCGTAATTTCTAAAATATTGAACGAATTTTGAATTGCCGCCCAAATTCTGAATGCCTTTTCCATCGTCTTTCGAACCGTTCCCCACAGCTTCTTCTGAATTGATCAGGACCCGTGATACAGGGTGAAACAAAGTTTCGTGCATTTTGAGAAAAATTTCTCTGCCCCCTCATTTTGTCAGAAGACCGCGATGCTAATATTTTATTCGGGCATTTCATAAATAGCAACCATACCTCGGGACTTTTTCGAGTTTCTGCCAAAAACTACTGTGGTTTCCGAAAAAAAAAAATTTTTTTGCATTTTTTCAAATGGACTAATTTTAGAGAAGTTCCATAAATGGATGCTTTTATGCATTTCAGGAAATCGTTGGAGCAGATATGTATACCAGGTTACTCAAAAACAATCAATAATTTATTACTTAGCAGTCTATGATGAAAGTTTTCTACCTTAGTGAGCAGTAAATCAGTTAAAATTTTCAGTTATTTATTTCAGTTATTGCATTACATTCTTTTCTTCATTGATACATTTCATACAAATAATATATAAAGTATAATTAATTTTCTAGTAGGAATGACATGAATGATCAGACAGTAATTCCTGGTATAAGATCATTCATGAAGTATTATCGACTGTTGTATAATTGAAATTACAAATAGTGAACAAAACTTACATATCATTAAGATACAGTCATATTATAGTGAACGATAAGGGGAAAAATAAAAACATCTCATCAACAAATACAAACAAGGATACCTTGTTTTTATAACAGCGAATTGTTGAAACAATGTAGGTATGCATAGAGGTTATATCAATTGCCAATTTTCATGAAAACGTCAGTGTACTTCGGGTCCTAAAAAATTTAAAGATGCCTCGTTCAAATCGGGTCGAAATGGAAAATATCATTAGGTAAGATCACTATAGTGATATAAACTATAATTCAGTACAGATAATTATTATTTCAGGTTACGACGATTAGGATATACCCAAACTCATTTAAGTACCATTTTCAATAAGTCAGTCATGACAATAAAGAGACTGATTCATCGTTTTGGTGATACAGGTAATTAGTCCATTTAAAAAAAAATGCAAAAAAAAAATTTTTTTCGGAAACCACAGTAGTTTTTGGCAAAAACTCGAAAATGTCCCGAGGTATGGTTGCTATTTATGAAATGCCTGAATAAAATATGAGCATCGTCGTCTTCCGACAAAATGGGGGGGCGGAGAAATTTTTTTCAAAATGCACGTTACTTTGTTTTACCCTGTATCATGGATCCTGATCAATTTAGAAGAAGCTGTAAGGAACGGTTCGAAAAACGATGAAAAAGACATTCAGAATCTGGGCGGCAATTCCAAATTCGTTCAATATTTTAGAAATTACGAGAAGTCAAACTTGATGCCAAATTTCACTATTAACGTTTCAATTGAGCCCAGTTTATTTCTGCAGTTCACTCTTGAATTTTGTGCCTGACGAGATTGATAGATTTTATTCTGTTGGGTATACTGTTATAAATATTCATACCATAAAAATGGAATGATTCTTTCCCAAATTGGGTTTTCATTTTGACAATTTTCAAATTATCACTTTACCTTTATTTTTAGTGAAATGGATGAACATTTCATACTTTCATTTTGAAGAGTCAACTATCTAGCAGAAGTCTAGATGTTGATTCCAAAAAATGGTGTTCGAAGTGGAAACGGAAACATACCTGACTCATTATGGTATCCATAGCAGATGTTTTTGATACATCGGTCTCATGCGCCATTTTAGTATAATTCGCTTCTGGCTGGATGCTAACTTTAGTATTTTTAGGATCAGCTACTAGAACGCTCAATTTATTTGAAGAAAAAACTACCTGCAACAAAACACATAACTCAAGAATCTGTTCAAAGGACTTTCAGTTGATTCTAGGGCTCACTTGAGATGTCTCGACTTTGAGATTACCACTGGGTGTCAATTTGAATGGGAAACTACCACTGTCTATTCTGTCGGTCCGTGAGCTAGATTAAATGCTGTGTTTCAAAGAATTTATTAACTTATAGGGAATTCCTTAAAAATAACTGATTTTCTCCATCTCATCATTTTATAAGATGAAATATAATATGAAAAAAGTTCCTTGCCCTAAACTCTAGTGCAGATAACAGAGAACCCAACACACAACTGAAGAATCAGATAATAAGAGGATTATCTTTAAATATTGGCATCTTGACTAGATGAAACAAAGATTTGAAGGATTTGAAGATTAAGGTGACAGACGATATTGACGTTAGGAAGCTAGATTGACAAAGTAGTTCGACTTCTTCTCCTCTTCTTGTATTTATGAGAACTCTAGGCATTACGCTGTAGGGCCACAAAATAATTTTGGTTTGAATAAAATCTCGATCATTATTAGGAATACGTCTAGGGCATTTTTATTGGTACTCATATAGAATTCATATAACGATCTTAATCATAAAGATGTGATAATAAAATATTCTGAGATGGAGAAACATTTTGTGAATATTACTAACTTCAGTGAACTCACAAATTTTTTGGCATTCTATCCTCGGATACAATGTCGAATATTTTTGCGCGGGTTTTCTTTTTGCTTGGAAATAGAAAATCCTGGCGGCTTATTTTCTCTGTGGAAATGTATTCGGGTTTGCGGTCCTTTGCATACAACAGGACGAGGTTTTCTGAAGGAATTGATGTAGGGTTTGGATGTGAATTACCATAACCTGAAAATTTCACCATTGTGAATGATGATAAATGTAGATGATAATTTCGAAATTCTACACATAGAGAATAAAGGAATAAAACTCAATCATTTTGAATCATTAGAAATCAACAAACTCAAAAATTCTAACATTTCACTTAACGATCAACTAGATCTCAATGGTTCACCACTGTTGAATTTGTTTTCTCAGTAGGTAATAATATGATTGTATTTAAAAAGAAATATCCTCAGATGAATTATGAACATACAAAGATGGATATATATTTATATAAAGCAATACATTGAGAATTCGCATTCTCTATGTGATGAGAATATTTACTCTTTCTCAGTTGATTCAATAGAAAACAACTACTTTCCTGGCTATATGCCACGACGAACATTGAATTATATCTATTGAACACACACGATAAGAGTTTGAAAATAAAATATAAAAACTTCTTTTTAACACTTTCATACCCAATCAGGGGGTTCAAACTTGAACGATGGAAACTTGTGATTTTTATAGACCTCTAATCGCAGATTCGTGATAGAGTCTCAATTCAGAATTTCTTTCCACGCCCTGTATGATGAATGTCAATTTATCATACACCCAAAAGCATGATTGTATTTGCTATCCTTGCAACCCTTAATCTGGTACATTGTATTTTAATGTAGATAAGTGCCTATTTTCCGAAAATGAAGGTTTATCGAACCAGTCGACAAGTAATTCTAATCCTTCAGGTTGGGAAAGTAGGATATTTGAAAGTTAGGCAAGCCAAGGTTAGTCAGTATTTCACCTGATGAAGCTACTGGGTTAGCGAAACATATCGTGTGAATCGTTTTGTGGAAATTTTATCGTTTGTGAACTTTTTACATTTACTCCTCTACTTTCCTGCCTAGTAAAACAAATAACAATTTTTTGGATTGAAATGAAAATCTTTATATCATCATAATGAGTGCTAGAATAATGTTTTTCTACATTCATGCAAAAAGCAGACCTTTATTGAACTATATTTAGTGGAAAAAGAAGTTCTTTATTGCACTTAGTGCAATAAAGTTTTTATTGCACTCATCTGTCATTCTACTTCAACGTGCTGTCATCATGACAAACATTTTTTATATTGCAACTGTGGTTACGTCATATATTCATATTGAAAATTGCACCAATTGTTCATTCACTTTCAACATTGAGGGTGAAAATAAAGTTTGAGTTAAATTGTTCGTAACGTATTAGTTTCAATGCAAATCCATATTAATAATAAAGTATTCAAGTTGCGTTTTTCATCTTCCTACACCTAGTGCCGCACCTCAATAAATCATTTTTTGCTTTTTGCATGAACGTAGAAAAAATGTTGTATGCAACTCGTGGAAACATTGTTTATTGCACTTGTTGCATAAATAACTATTTTCCTTTTGTATTTGTGAAGCATGGATTTCTGAGTAACGAGAAAAAATAGTAGTATTTGGTACAAACCTTTAGGCAATTTTGTGATATTAGGAACCAGTGACCTTGTTTCCGTTCTTGCTAAAGAATGACGATGCTGCAAAACCGCAATTGTACGATGATTATCAAACGTATCTTTATTCGTTTAATTTATTCAGAAAATTTACCCTAGAAGTGGGAATACTGTCGCCAGAACCTCTCTCAAATCCTCTGGGTATTGGATTTCTTTCAGGTTTCACTTTCCAAGGTTCAGAAGAAAAATCAAGCCTAAAAAATCGAGAATTGGGTGAGGTGTATAGCAGTTGGGGTGAGGAATATGTTTTTTCACCAATAGCTATATAGAACCTAACAATAATTACTCCTTTTCGAGGCTTAACGTGTGTTATTCTACGGCTATAACACAAGATTGCTCCATTTTATTTCCGTATCTGATATCACAATGACTCCATAGTGTAATTATTTAAAAAAAACCTCATCGCTCACGGAATGTCAAATTTCAAGCAATGACAGCCCTGTCTAATAGATGAGCATTATACTTGAAAGGAAATCAGATAGCTACAAGACGAAGAAATCGAAAATGCCGCTGTTATAGCCGTAGAAAAAATATAGTGTATAACTTGCACGGAATGCTACTTTCCTACTCGAATGATTGCAGCATTCGCCTATGGCTCATCCTGCAAACTATCATTCCGTGCTCGTTAAACAATATAATATTTTACTACCAAGGCAATTTTTGATATTCTATTAACTACTAGTCACTAGTCAATAAAGACAGCCATATCTCTTATAATTAACCCGAAATCACTGATCTGATGCGATAGTCCAAGAGCTATTGGAGGTCGTACGAGAATTGTTGCACTGTGCTCTAAACTATGTGAACCAGTTTTCCAATGGAATGGGGGAGACCACTGATTTTTTGAAACGACATTATCGTGAACTCTATACTGAAAAGCTACCAGTGAATTAATTTTGAATTTCTTCATTCATGCTAAGACGATGAAAAAAATAAATTAGAATATGTCCATTTCTAAACACACAATTCCTGCGTCATTTGAAATTTTGTCAATTCATTGGTGAGACTGGTGCGACGTCTTAGTCCCAACACTACTATTGTCCTTGAACATACCAATCACACTGCAACACTGCAGAATGACGAGGTATCAGAGAGAGATAGCTACAGTGCGGGACTAATACGTCACAGCTCCACCATCATATTTGGCTTTTCGAAATAACGAATGAAATATATATGCTGATTTCAAAACGATATAGATTCGATTCCCTTCAACTTCAACTCATAATATTGATTGTAGATCAAACGTAAATCATGATTCGTCGATTGAAAGAGGTTTGCACGGATTTCTTCCCTCAGTGGTCTTCCCCATTCAAAACCCGACACCAGTTTTACCAATGGAATACAAAATAATATGCACTCAGTGCGAGGCAGTTTTACCAATGGAATTCAATATCAAATGCTGTATTGCTAGTGGTGACAAAAAATTAATATACACCTTGGTAGTAAAGAATATCATTACTTACGGGACCTCATACCCTCTCGAAATAATCTTGTCCCTGGATAATACTGATATCAATAAAAACAATAAAATATCAATGAATATATAATTTATAGACCTTCGGATGATAAATGTTCGATAATTATATGTCAAAAACATGAACGAGATTGTTCAGAAAATATTAATAGATTTTAGTGCTAAAATCCTTTCTACTTACCTCAAATTCAACAAATCAAGGTTCCCCAAACAAAATTTGTCACTGTCTTCAGTATTCTTCAGACCCTAAACGTCAAATCGAAAATATTATTCTCTTTTGGAAGATTCACAGTTGGGTTTCCTCACCTCGTGCTCTTTTGGAAAACTTTTTACCATCATACGTTGCACTTTCCACTAAGAATTTGTATTTTTTGTAACGGGTATAACACACAATATTTTCCTTTCGCACTTCTAAAAAAAATAATTCGCCAAACAACAAAAGCGAGTTGTCATGAATATGTCAAAATTTTGGGGACATTGATAATTGGAAACGTTAACACAGGATGAATGTTTTTTATTGTGATTTGTGATACCTCTACAATGCATTTCGAGTCCTACAATAATAGTTATTTATTGTACAAGGGGAAGAAGTAGTAGTAGATTTTAGCTATGTGTCGGAAGACGAAAAGCCGTGAGCTAAAATCTTATATTTTTCCCGTGAATAATACACAATTCTTTTCTGTGACAGGAAAAAGGACGAAAGAAATTTGAAGTTTTTAACAGGAATGAAACCTGCGTTGCCGGCATCTTTGTAATTTTTTTGAAGTAATCAAATATCTGTCAGTCTAATTCTGTGATTCGATTCTGAAAATTTGCGAATTTAGTGGTTGTTTAGTGATTTACGTTACCGCGAAGTAAAATGGTAGGTAAAAGGACTTGCCTCTATATATCCGATATACAGGGTGATTCAGATTTCAAGACACGAACTAAAATGGGAGATAGATATCATCATTTCAATCAAAAAAATTTACATAAACATTAGTCCGATCTCGTTCAGTAGCGGGGGTCAAAGTTTCATTATTTTTTTCTATTATAATTGAAATATCTCGCTTACTATCTAAGATATCATTTTGAAATTTGGTGTGGTCAATACTTTCTAGAAGTTCATCATTTCAAGCCATTTGAAGATTTTCAAAATCTACAAGGTGATACGTTTTTGGGGGTAGAGGCTTCTTTATCCCCCCCCCTAACTTTATCGTAGTACGCCTATGGTATCTTTCAGTGATCAAATTGTGTGGATCGTTCAATTTAGAGGCTTTTTTGGTCTTCAATCCTTTTTGAGAAACGAACCGTTTTTGAGATAAATAAGCATATACGTTCTAAAACATGTTAATTTTGCCTATGTTTCGCTTAAATTTTATTTAACTGAAAAAAAAACTTGACTTTCTACCCTCCGTATCCTCGTTACTGATCCAGATTAGACTCGGTGAGTACATTTCATTGCATTTTCAACGAATTTGTCAAAGAATGAGTTTAAGCGAAACATAGGCAAAATTGTTTTAGAACGTATATGCTTAATTATCTCAAAAACGGTTCCTTTCTCGAAAATAATTGTGGGGCAGAAAATCCTCTCAATTGAACGATCCACACAATTTGATAACTGGAAGATGCCAGAGGCGTACTACGAAAAAGTTTGGGGGGGATAAAGAAGCCTCTACCCCCAAAAACGTATCACCCTGTAGATTTCGGAAATCTTCAAATGATTTGAAATGATGATCTTCTAGAAAGTATTGACGACACCAAATTACAAAATGATATCTTCAAAGATAAGCAAGATATTTCAATTAATAGAAAAAATAATTAAACTTTGACCCCCTGTAGCTCCACTACTGAACGAGATCGGACTTATGTTTACATAAACTTTTTTGATTAAAATGATGAGATCTATCTCCCATTTTAGTTTGTGCCTTAAAACCTGAATCACCCTGTATATCCGGTAAAAAAGTACTCACTTTTTTCCGTGGGAAAGAAGTAATTTATGAAAAGTGATATTTTATTACCTGTCAGCTGAGATGAATAAAAATATAATCAAAATTGAAAATAATAATTGTACAGTGGTGATTTGCCCTTAACGAGACCACACTGTATATGCCTCTCTTTGATCCAAAGTGTAAATTCGAATCCTGAATAATTCCAAAACTTCTGAACAAATCCGATTCAGCAATCAAAAATATTACGAGAGAAGCAAATTATCAAAATGTTCAAACCGAGTTTTAACAAAGGCAAAAGAATCACCCGATATGTTTATTCATCAAAATAACAAGAAACAATCCGGAGTATCGCTATGATATACAGAGTGATATAGTAGAGATTCTTCCACTATATAGATGTAATTCGATTTAATACGGCCATGACCTTTATTTGTTTTACCTAACATTTAGAAAAACGTTTTATATCACGGTTAATTTCTCTTCTAGTTTATGAAGATGACATCAATATGTTTAAAAACATTACTTAGTTCTTTAAACTTCTTCAATCATAATGAATTCATTAACGATTCAATGATAAAAATGAATTATGTTTCATACATAGACGTTCGGTTCAAATCCATGATGACGTCTGACTTCTGATAACGGAAATCTCATTCTACTGTGTGAGTTATTCGTTTAATACCCATAATTATATTGATGAAACAAGTGAGACACTTTGAAGAATAAAAACCAAGGAAATATCGTAAATATCTTTAATAAATATATAGGTAGGTAATCAACTTAATAATCTATCACAGCCAAGCTTAAAACAGTCTCAATTAAAAATTTACATTCAACTATATATACAAAAATAACAGTATGTCCTACATCACCATGGTCTCCAAACGTTTTCCTTATTTTCCGAACACTTGTCATCGGTTTTCGATATCACTGGAAAATTCTTCGGGAGGAAATAAACTATTTGGCCGCTCTGTAGTTTGGTGGGTAGAAGAGTGAAACCCGTCTTGAAATTGTCATCACAGGAGCTGCTATCAGCTGGTCGTATTGCCACGGTTTCCTTTCCCGTTGAACTTTCCACCCGATTTTCCGACACTTTTCCATGCAACTGTTGAAGATACCTCACTGTCAGCTCCAGGATGTCAGCCTTTTCCAACTTTGCTGTCTTGTGGCCAGTTTTCGAATCTTTCAATGTCGTCTTCGATTCGAGGAGAATCTGCTTTAGCGTTTCCAAACTGTCATTTATTCTTGCTCGTCTTTTTTTCTCCATCAGGGGCTTCCTGATTTTTCTGCTTTCTGACACTTGCGTTTTCTGAACTGCGCTCTTCATTTTTCACTACACAAAAAACTGATTTCCGTGTCACGGTTCGTTGAAGAGGTCTCAGATGAGAATGATAAGTTTCGGGGTTTTCTCGGTATTTTAATATGTTCTTTTAACCCCCCTCTTACACGTCTTGTTCTTTTGTTTGGGTACCTGTTGAATGGTATAGTGGTAGGTAATCGGGCGTAACATATTGGGTCTTTAGAATGCAGGGGTGTGGTGTATGGGAGGGAGAGAACTATAGGGAAGGTTGTGATAATTGAGTATGATAGTATTACACTAGGTACCTACTTGTTGATTTCTTTGTTTGGAGTTTAGAGAAAAGGAAATACTGTATCATTAAAAACTTTAACTTCAACCGATAATAAATAAACATAGTTCGGATAATGAATGGTCATTAAACAGTGGATCAGAATCAGATCAGATGAGATTCAATATGAGAAATATTTGGATTTAGAAACCATGAAGTATGGTGTTTTTGATACTTCGATTCCTAAATTCGAAGCCAATTTGAAGAATGGTTTAAATTATTGGTGAAAATTCATGATATCTGGTGTAAATTATCTTCTCTTCAGTTAGTTTGTTTTATTATTAATAATAATAATAATGATCATGTATTATTTACCATTAACAAAAATAAGATTCCTATGTGTTTAGGTCTAAACACTAATACAATAATAATAATATGGTGAATAAATGGTCCAATGCTAGGCCAAAGGCCGATTCTTCTCTGCTATCATCCCTTCACTAGCAAGACCAGTCAGACGAACTAGGCAAGCCCAGTCAGCACATCCTTTCGTTGTCAACCTCGAAAGATGTCGAACAGCACTTTATCAAAACTCCTTCATCCATAGAACGGCTAGGCTCTGGAATTCATTGCCTGAAGAAGTATTCCCAACAACATATATGTAATCTCCAGAAGTTCAAAAAAAATTCCAATACCTACCTCCTGTCCCTATCCTCCCTAGGAACGCACGATGTTCTTTGAACATTATAGGGATTTCCTTTCGTGCGCTCCAAGCGATAAAAAAAACACTGCCCGATCAGTATTACTATTACTATTATTATTATTGTCATATACGATATCAAAATGAACTTGTGAATTATTCTACTTTCAAAACCTTCGGTTTCTATTGTTTCACAAGGGATGTTTAATTGGGAAAGGGACGTTAAAAAAAGATAGAATATTTATACCATAAACTTTACTCTCACAACGTGATTTGAAGGAGCATATCTGGTAAATAATTTGTTCCACATCCACTAACTAAATGACTAAACATACCAGAGATAAAAAATCATGTTCATAAGTATTTTGGAAAATAATTTTTGTTTGATTAAAATATCGACCTGAATTAACGTATTTTAAAAATTTGATTTCAAATTTAGAAAGGGCAGAAAAAATAGAATTTGTGTTGGAACTTATTGAAAGATGTTATTATGCTTTGGTTTCAAAAAGTTAAAAATTGAATATTTTCAATTTTTCATATTGAATTACGAAAATATTTTCATGTACTATTTTTCAATGTATGTACATTCTTTTGCCGGTAGAACACCGCAATGTATTTTTATGGGTCTATAAGTATATACTTCAGATTTTTTCAACGTCTTCTTTTCACATTTTTTAGTATTGCTTTCCTTTGAGGATAAAGACAAATCTATCATACAGTTTTCTAGGATAAAGGATTTTCATATTGCAGGATATACGAATTTTTTTAATACAATCACGATTTTTCATTTGAGTTTTTGTTATCTTTGACACCGCAGAAGCTATGATCCAATAATACAAATTTTGATTCCTTATCGTTTCAATGACAATTACATCAGTTTGCAAGATCCAAGGCCTACCCTGCTTGCCAAATTTACATGATTTTGAGTAAGCCCCTCAATGCATTCTTACCTATAAAACATAAATGTTCTGAATCCCATACCCATACCTTCTTATACGCTATAAACTATGGACTATTCCAGTTGCATTAGGTTGTCAGAGTATATCAAATATCATAGTGGATATTGTTAGAAACCGCTTCACAAAACAGTAAACTCCGTTTTGTGGAGAAGGATAATGGAATTCCATCATTACTCAGTTTACCCAGCTAACCCCATTTTTTAAGCAGGTAGCTAGGAATCCTACGCCATAACACCCTTTTTGGCAAGCACACAGAGGTTCAATAGAAAAGAATCGTAAGTACAGTACGATAATGGCCACGTTTATACCGTATGGATAGTTGGCATGCTTACCAAGGAGATCTGACTAAATTCAGATCAAATGCCTTAGTTTACGCATGTTTAAACCATGTATCTTCAGTTGACTAAGGTTATACCAACTTTGTTTTGATTTGATTATTTTTTTTGAGGTTAGGATTGTGGATTAATTCGTAAATTAAGAATGAAATTTTTTAGTATGATACGAAATTAGTTGAAATAATGAAATCTTATTATGAGAACTCATAAAATAACTGAAACTTGCACTCAAGTCAAGTCAAGGCTATACAAAAGTAGACCAGAATGTTTACACTGTCTTGGTCATCATACTATTTCATTTACCAAGTATACAGTTTATACCACACAGACCAAGAGTATTTAGTCAAAATATATCCGCCTTCTTGGCATATTGGATTCAAAATGACGTCACATTATTTCTCGAGTGGCCCTCAACGAGCCCTTTCATTTGATACCCATATTGTAGAAATGAATTAGAAATATTCATTCTGCCATCTTGGATAGTCCGCAAAATTGGATTTAGAATGACATCACATTATTTTTCGAGTTACTCTCAACTAGAGTAAATTATACAAAAAACGTCAAAACAGCAGTGTCAAGTACATTTAGGGACTCTACTTTCAACAAGCCCTTTCATTTGATACCCATATCACAGTTCCCATATGGTAGAAGTGCATTAAAAATAAATATTCCGCGATCTTGGATGGTCCGCCATATCGGATTTAGAATGAATTCACACACCTTATTGTGCATTGTCATCCAAACTAAACGTGTTTACAAAATTTCAGTTCAATCTGAGATAGATATGTACTTCTAAATTGAGTTTTGAGATTCGACCCGAACTAATATACATCCATACATTGCAAGTTAAAAGAAAGCTTTTAACATTTTTAATAAAAAAAAGTGAAATGGGGTTTATTGCAACTATCTAAGTTCTATTGTGTGACGTGTTGGATTAACGAACACGACCATCAAAAACGAAATCACTTCCTATCTGAATCGGATACCGAAGATCACTAGATCAGGATATCCACCCTTTCTTCAAACTTGGCGCCAATATCGCGCATTTGAATAAAAAAGCGAAAAATTCGTTGAAAATGCCCACATTACCATATACCCATCTACAATCCAAAGAAAAGGCTAACGTACTTCTCGGATCCCGAATAAGAAGATCCATTGAAAATTCCACAATAGACAGGAAGGAGGAGGTGCCGTACTCGAAAGTTGAGAAAAGGACAAGTGAAACGAGCCGTTTCTCATCAGACAGGGACCTTTTTGTGCAATTTCCAAGGAAAAAAATAGACGGCAGTTAGGCTGCCATAGAAGAGATCAAAAGTTGCATCGCAAGTAAAAAAAGACTGGACTAGTTTGGCGTGAGGTGACGCGTGGTTTCTTCGGCTAATGAAAAACACGAAAAAGCAATTTTTGAAGTTGAGAAAAATGTTTGGAATAATGTGATTATTATTCATTCTAAAAATGACACAGCACATAACACAAACACAACACAAATCATACGTGAGCTGTCACTGTCATGTGTGAGTTAGACCAATATTTCAGACCAATCAAAATGATCTCAGCTATGGCGGTGAATACGATTTGATTTATTATGTACATAAATCATTTGTTCAATGATTGTTCAATGATATCATCTGCAATATTCATAAGATTTGAATATTTCAAAACATTTTTATGAATACTGTGTTTTTAATTTCTACTATATTTATCAGTATCTTTCCGTCACTTAAATTCTCAGAAGTCTTTTGTAATTTGAAAATTTCACCTACGAAATTTTAATACAGCGTATACATATACTTTCTGACAGCTAAGTCGAATACGCTTTTAGTTTGTTCGACAGCTGAACTTCTAGGCTATACTATATGTATATAGGCATCAAAATTTCAGTAATATGCTGAAGAATGCTAAATAATTCATGGTAAATGGCATTGCTCCTTCAATGAAAATGAAAATCTGAATTTGTAAAAGATGTTGATTTCTCAGTGTTAGAAGTGGAAAAAAATTACATATACCATGCCTATGCTATTATATAGCTCGCTGTATAATAGCTTACTTCTCACCCTATAGGTTTATAATATACTATTTTTTTGACGTCTACAAAAACTGGCATTTTATTACTATTATATAAGAATCTGTGAACACATAATAAGGACCGTATTTAAGAAGAACGAAAGTTGATGATAGCTCTGCGAATACGAAACGTCGCGTAGAGAAATCAAAATCCCCACGTTAAATCCCATCAAAAGTTGCCATGGAAAACTTTTTTAGTTTATCTGTATCTTCAATAATAAAGGAGAAAAAAAATCGATTTTTCGAAAATTCACTTTTTTCGATATAACTGAAAAACTACACTCACCGGCAAAAAAACGGCCACCAAATAATTTAGCCGAATTGTTTCCTGAGAAAATCTAATGACTCGATCATTATACAGGGAAAAACGAAAGTTACTTTTTCACCCTTAACTTCTTAACGCCCTGTGGGAAAGGTGAGTGGTTTAACTTAGCTTCATTATGTTTTAGATTGAAGAGTGATCTCTTCTCTACATGATGGTTTTTTATTCACGTCAATAACCACTTTTTAAAGGAAGATACAAGTGTTTCAAGAGAGTATGAATTTTTAAAGTTTTTATTTACAATAATTCAGAACCATTCTCAAACCCTCTGCTTCATCATGTTACAAATTGAAGTGTGATCCTCTTCCTTCTTCATAAAACGGTTCTGAAATAACGTCAATATCTCTATTTTGAGAAAAGATACAAGTGTTTCAATAAAGTATAGATTTTTTGTATTTTCAATAACAATAAGCCTTGTCAGATACCCTTCAAGAGCTACGATTAGCCCTTCGAGGAGGATTTTAGGCAATTCGTCAAGGCTACTTGACTAATTTGATCAATTCGATGCCACTGCGGTTGAATGCTGCAATTCAATATCGAGGAGAGCATACTCGTTATTGACTACAGGTCTGCTTCTTGTTTGTTTTTTGTAATTAATTTTCCGGTAAGTGCTAAGAAAGTGAGGTAGAAATCTGTGATATTAATCCTTGGAGTTATTAATCAATGAATTCATGTAAGTTCTGATTATTAGTAAAAAAAGTTGAAAAACGCCATACTTCCTTAAAACACTCGTATCTTCTCTTAAAAATAAGATATTGACGTGAATCAAAAACTTTTGTGTTGAGAAGGGATCACACTTCAATTCGAAGCATAATGAAGTCATGTTCAAGCACGTAATTTTGCCACAGGGCGTTGAGAAGTATAGGGCGAAAGAGTAACTTTGGTTTTCCCTGTATAATGATCAAGTCATCAGCTTATCAGGAAAACTAATATTCAGGCTAACATTCCGGAACATGAATCCACGATTCGATAGAAATTTCACAACATTCGGACAAGGATTAAAAAATTTACAGGCTGAACAATTTGGTCAGATTTTTTGGTGGCCAACCCTTTTGAAAATTTTCGAAGGCTCGGAATGTGCAACTTTTTTTCCATATAAGCGAATTCGTATCTCCTTCCATTCCGATATCCTGTATATTATCATCATCTATTATATTTTGCCTAATACGTTTCCACATCTTCAGAATTCCTTCGAATCAAGCACATGTCCCAAAAACTCATATCACCGAAAATAATATGTCTCTCTATTATTGTACCCCACTTAATAGAACTCGAAAAGGTATATTTTCCCTCAATAGAAAACCCATAACTCGCTCTATTGATGTCATTTATTCCGACTGATATATTTCAAAAGTTGGAACGGCATCGACTTAAGAGACTATTAATTTTTATAAAGGACCATATTTTAAAGCAATTTGACCATATTAAAAGCAATTGATTCCCAAACCATAGGCAGAAATAACGATATTAGAGAGCTGATACACGTATCCCATTTCTGATTTTCGCAAACTCACACTTCGTGCCTTATTCCCTGAAGGGCTGTTTTCCTCTGCTACCTGTGAAGTTACCTGTCATCTTCTGCTTTCCGATTGACCATTAGAAAACATCTGGCCCATGTCATATATCACTTCTATCTCGAAAACGATGAAAAATCTTCAAGCTAATTGTTCGTGGACCATTCATGATTTCTTGAAGGGCTTTCGTAGTATTCAATGAGTTGCTTTTACCGCTGATGCCCTTTTTGTCATTTGTTAACGCAAGCGTTAAGGATAATATCGGGATGGGAACGCGTGGGATGATTGATCAGTGGCGGGTTATGCACAACCCAGCGAGCACAAACATCCCTGGGATGTTTTGGGATGTTTTGAAAATGTTGGCATGAAGATGTTATTTTGAGACGTAATATGCACTGACCAAAGAGGTCTTTGAAGGATATTGAAGTATTGTTTTTGTTCCTCTGTGGAATTTCTTTGTTTGCCTACTGAGAGGTATCCCTGGGATGTTTTGGGATGTTTTAGAAATGTAGGCATGAGGATTTTTTTTTGAGGTGTAATATGCACTTCCCAAAGAGGTCTTAGCAGGATATTGAAAGTATTGTTTTTGTTCTTTTGTGCCCTTTCTTTGTTTGCCCCACCACAACGTCTCATGCTTACGTCACAATACGATGAATTCTGATTTGTTTTCGATTTTGTTCTTCTTGTTCGCAATTGGCATTCGCGTTTGCAGCGTGTCACGCTCACATCACGCTGCTAACGAACAGAAAGGAATTTGGTGAAGTTTATTGTGTTAGAAGACTTATTTAGTTTGTAATAATGACCATCAGATGCAAGATGTGTTGTTCGATGCCTCAGTGTAATCAATACATAGAAGTACGAATTTATCAATACACAGCTTCGCCGCAGTTGCAAAATTATGCATTGTGGAGAACATTTCAAAAATTGGGAAACCTATTTCCAATTATATGTCTGTGTGTAGTTAGCACTACTCAGAAATCGATTAAGAAGGTAATTTCATATCAAGAAAATATTTTTCTGTTCAATCTATTTTTAATGCATTTTTTCATTCAAGGGAAATGGAATCCTAATGCAAAAGTTCATTTTGACAAAAGGCTTCAGAAAAGTACCTCGAAAATGGTTTTTTTACAGCGATTTAATGTTCGCAAGACGCGTTGAAAATGTTTTGTTGTGTCCATGAAAAGGCTTTAAAAAGAACTAGGGAGAAGGTAGTTTTGTGACATATCAAGGACATCTCGATAATTGCCGCCTGCGGCGGACATTGGCTGTTCTATAATAGTTCTATTCATGTGTGAACAGAACATCGCAGTGGAGGTTCAATGTCTCGAAATCTCGTACTTTTAACATCTCTGAGATGTTTTTGTGCTCGCTGGGAAAAAAACAGAGATGCTTGAAAGAATGCTTATGGAAGAGACAAAATTGATGATCATTATGATTATTATCAGATGAAATAGAAATCGATGCTGATAATCCACAAGTTGCCCTCCATAAATTACCTGCAGGATCCCACCACACATAATGCAACTAACTATACAGGGTGTATCTAAATAACTAAATATCTAGCAAATAAAGTTCATATAAACATGTGTCCTAACTTGCTCCGTTTTTGAGATACAGGATGTTGAAGTAGGAAGTATTAATTTTTTTTTATTTCTAACCCCCCTGTATAAGCTTCCATGATGACAAAATTCAGTATGGTTGGAGACTGAGAAAGCTCCAAAATTTCAAAATGATTGTAATTGGGGTTATTGAGTAATCTCAATGGAAGTCTTGAAAATACCTACATTAAATTTGGAGTCAAATCGAATTTTTATTATTTCCTCAAAAACTAAGTTAGATACAAAAATCCCACACAGGATAAAAATAGTTATTTATTATACAAGGGAAAAAAGTAGTAGATTTTAGCTCCAGGTTGTGTTGTCTCCCGACGCGTAGCGGAGGGAGACAAAAAACCGTGAGCTAAAATCTAATATTTTTCCCGTGTATAATACACTATTTTTTTCTGTGACAGAAGGAAGGACGAATCAATATTGAGAAGATATTACATTATTTCGAAATCTGAAAATTATCGACGTGAAATTTCAAGTTTTTAACAGTAGGGACACCTGCGTTTTATAGACATCTTCAACATTCTTTTGAAGTAATCAAATATCTGATGTCACTTCTGTCAGTTCAATTCTGTGATTTGATTTTAAAAAATTGCGAATTCAGTAGTTGTTTAGTGATATACGAAACCGCGAAGTCGAATGGAAGATAAAAGGACTTGCAGTTCTTTCTTGGAGACGGTATAATTGACTCATTTTTCGGAACTATAGCACAACAAAAGCCATTAACAGAGTATATATATGTGATATATATCCGGGAAAGAAGTACTCACTTTTTTCCCACGGGAAAAAAGTAATTTATGAAAAGTGACATTTTATAACCTGTCAACAGAGATGAAATGCCAAACTTTTTTCCCGTCACAGAAAAAAGTTGTTATTTCAATAGTTCAATCTAATAAAAATATGAAACTCAGAAAAACCGGTGGCGTACAATGACATTCACCATAAATATCCATGAATTTGTTCACTGTGATGCCACTGGAAATATTCTTTCGAATCTAATTGCACCAGAAGAAGTACCATATTACTACTAACAAAACCACAACGTTTCATTGAAATTGATGAAAAGACAATTGAGTAATGAATAAAAAAATCGCATCTTTCATGGAAATATCGATACCCCATAAGTATCTCGAAAACGAAGCAAACGTACTAGATCTCCAAGACAATTTTTCATTGAGTATAACGATGATAATAATAATAATGATAATTATATAGGATTGAATATCTCATAACATTATAACAATGTGGATAATATATGATTGAAACCTGACGTTTTTATTCATTTATTGTTGAATCATCCTACAATGAGCAGAAGAGAAGAAATATCTCAGAAATATCAACTGATATAAAAGAGGAAGGGGTGATCAGCTTCGAATGTATGGTTTGGAAATATCACAGGTCCGGGTCCAAAGTGTAGTCTTGGAAATAATTAATGTTAATTTACTATACCAAGGTATATAAAACATTTTTCGTGGTCTATACCGGATGAAACAGACTCATAGTATACCCATCTTTTCTTCTTTGTTTTTCATACTGTATATCTGACATTTTGAACATCGAAGATGCTTAATAGAGGGCACTTTCTCACATTCAAGACTAGAAATATAGCTAGTCTGTGTCACCCGGTAAATATTTTTTCCCACTACCAGCACATATTGGACGATTTGGTCTAAATTCAATCAAAATCGGAGAAGAATCAAGAAAGTTAAAGGGTGATCACTTTGGGTAAATTTTTGTTGTTGTCGGTTCTTTTTTACGTAGGAAATTTATTATTAAAAACTGCTAGGTATAACAATGCAAAATTTGTATATAGCGTACACATACCTCAGGACATTTATTTTATAAATTACTATATCTTCCCAAGAAAAGCAGGACATTTGACGAAGCATGTCTGATGAAAAAAATGAAAGGATGATCTGCAATGAACATCAAATTCGGCGGAGGTGTGAATAAATTCCGTGAAGCTCCAACTAAAACAAAATAAAAGAACATAAAAGAAAGAAGATGATCAAATTGCAGATACAATGAGTGCATAAAGTAGTCAGTGGAATTAATAATATACACGGTGACTCACATTTACGTACATTAAAAAATGTAAAAACTTCACTTTAATGTTAAAATAATTTTATTGAAAGTGTCACAATATAACAAAGTTATTCAGTAAATCTACCAATAAAGAGGAATATTCCAGTTTTTGTGTCTCTGATATAGAAGATAAATGGATGATCAGCTGTAAAACTGATTGTTGGCGGTTCAATAAAAGCGGAGGTTAGTGAAATCCCAGCTGAAAAATAATAATTAACTTTTGAGATTTAACATATCGATGATATACATTAATCGAGACTATTGAAATAATTATAGTACATGAATTTAATGTAGAATACCTTTTCGAGATACTGTCACTTCATTGTTCACGAAATCGTGTTAACAATGAAAGACAGAATCATGAGAAGATATTCAGGACAGAGTGGTATTTTGCAAGACTATTTCACGTTCACGAAGCATGAAAAGCATTCATTATAAAATGAGTGATCAATTCTGACAAGTACAGCCATAATTATTGTATGCCAAACTGACAGACGACTTTGCTTCGCTACCATGGATATCTCGTTGAAAACATCAACGCTGATAGACCAATCAGATTTTCAATCTCTTAATATGTGATTAAATTATTTTTGATTAATGTAAAAATTATGTAATAACCGTCTTTTGTCTTTTACAAGAACTTTAAATGTTTCGTGACAACTGTGACAGAAATGTTACATATCGACTTTCAAATTCTCTCAACACCATAGTAATCATCCTCAAATAGTGTAGGTACCATTTGAACATTCCTTAATATTATTGTCATTGTACACATATCACATATCAATTCTATTTGTAGTCTCCCTGGAGATGGAAATATAGATTTCCGAAAGCTCGTACAAACTGTAATGAGTTCACCTTTACTTAGCTGCAATCCTCACTAGCAAGCTAGTTGTATCTCTAAGCTCACAAGAAACTTTGATACACCAATCAGTCTAAGGGATATAGGAACCCACCCCTAGTTACGCCAATAAAAACATTTGATTGTTGTTTTCCTTTTCTTCGTACATTATTTTATTTCTATCCACAGTGTATTCTCATTGTAAACTGTATAGCAATCGGATAGAGTTCACAGAAAACAATATTCTGTTGGTACTTTCGATGCTAGACAAAATGATGTATGTAAGTTCATCAGACGTTTACTTACTAATTCAAAGTTAGCAGAATATATTTTGTTTATTGGTCATGAAAAATTACCTGCAGTAGCTGCTGCAGCTTCCACTCCAGTTTCAGTTACATTGATCCAAGCTTTCTGAACCACAAAGTCTACATACAACCCTTCACTGCTTGAAATTCCAGTCAAATTTGCTTGGGACGGATCAAAAACCCTCCTTATTCCATTCTGATAAAACAGTAAAAACCAATGTATTGTTCCAAAAATGTCCATCAACAATGGAAGTAGAAATGTTATTACAATAAATAAAAGGTAAAAAACCTGAACTTAAACAAAAGAATTAAAAATATTTCTAGTGAGACATTCTCGAGAATTCTGATAGAAAACAATTAGGAAGCACTTACCTGTTGTAATATTGGCTTCAAATCCATAGAAGATTGAATACTGAACCTTGGCAGAGTTACAGAAACTCTCTGATTGTCAGTCACGTTCACAGCTAGAACATCTTCCAATCTATTCTCCAAAGCCCCAAGACCATCTTTAGCATCAGGCAAAACGAAAGTCATACTGATTCTTCGATCTTCGAAATCCATCTTCAAAAACTTAGCTTTCAGACTGTTACAGTGCTTATACCTAAAATAGTACATATAGGTATGTATGTTCATACATGAGTAGCGATGTATACAGGTTGTGCATGAATAAATGCGAGAAAATTCTTGATATAAGACCAAGACAAGACCAAGCCACTCCACAGACACTTTTTGTGTCACTCTGTTTAATTTGGATATATGCTTCATTTCTTGAAATATCAACCTCTTGTGAGATTCCTTATGAATTCATCAACGAAATAAAACGAACGTCAAACAAATCAGACTTGAATTACCAAAGTTATTGTTGATGAAATTTTATCATATTTTGGGTGGATCGAATATTTTGCCGGCGAGTGTACAGTGTGTCCCACTTACCATGCTCACCATGGGTATCTTTTTAACGGTGAGAGATACGAGGTCGGTTAAATGACACCAAATGTGGGGTTTGTCAAGGCCAACTATAATGTGAAAAAATATTTTGATAAAATCTATTCGTTTTTGTTTTATACGCAAAAAACAGATTTTGATCATTTTCTTGTCTCCTCCCTAACTTCTTTATTTATGAAAATATTCAAATAGGAATTTCACATTCTCATGGCAGTTTTTCAAAGTGATTTCGAAAACAATATGAAATTTATACCAACTCTTCTAGAATTTGAGATATCAGCACCAACTTTAATTTTTCAAATGTATGTCATAGCTCACTATGACTTAGTTACAAAAACATTTTTTTTCTCTTACAGATGATATAACGCAGTAATAGCTTTGTGTTGATAACAACGTAGTTGTCGTCATTTATACAAAAACAAAGAATTATTTGGAAGCCGCCATCTTGAATTTATGAATTTAAACAGAAAAACCATGATCTCCGACCTCAAAAACCCCCACTCACCAATTTTGAATGGAATCGGACCAAATCTTGTCCGCCATCTTGGAGCAGCCTTTTTTTTTAATTTCAACAAAAATTCCATAATGTATTGTCACCGAAATTATGAACACCTGCCAAATGTTAAGTTAATCGGGGTTATGGAATTTTTGTTGAAATTAAAAAAAAAATGGCTGCTCCAAGATGGCGGACAAGATTTGGTCCGATTCCATTCAAAATTGGTAAGTGGGGGTTTTTGAGGTCAGAGATCATAATTTTTTTGTTAAAATTCATGAATTCAAGATGGCGGCTTCCAAATAATTTTTTGTTTTTGTATAAATGACGATAACTTCGTTGTTATCAACACAAAACTATTTCTGCGACATATCATCTGTAAGAGCAAAAAAAAATATTTGTAACTAAGTCATAGTGAGCTATGACCTACATTTGAAAAACTAAAGTTGGTGCTGATATCTCAAATTCTAGAAGAGTTGGTATAAATTTCATATTTTTTTCAAAATCGCTCTGAAAAACTGCCATGAGAATGTGAAATTCCTATTCGAATATTTTCCTAAATAAAGAAGTTACGGAGGAGACAAGGAAATGATCAAAATCTGTTTTTTTCTTATAAAACAAAAACGAATAGATTTTATCAAAATATTTTTTCACATTATAGTTGGCCTTGACAAACTCCACATTTGGTGTTAAAAAGATACCCATGGTGAGCATGGTAAGTGGGACACACTGTATATCAGATTGGTCACTATGGTTCCTACCTGTAAGTCTCCTGAGCATGCATCATATCAACTGACGTACTATTCTCCGCAGAGGTAAAAAATGGACCTGGTTGAGTCAAGTAAGCCTTGAACTGCCTCGCCCAGTTGCCCTTCAGGTACAGGGTGTTCACTAAAATCATCCTGGTAGCACCGCTCAAAGAGTCTGGGCTTATCAAGTTCTGGATCCTGTTATTCGTGTGGTCTTCGACCCATTGGTTGATGGTATGGGCAGCAGCTGAAGAATCAGCAAAGTTTATGTTCTCAATACCGGCTCGATAGTCACTAACAGCGATGTCTTCGAAGCTGCGCTCAATCTGAAAGGCAGGGGCGATGAAAATCCTGTTGGCTGAGAGCAATTTGGAAGAGCTGTTCTGGTTGAGTTCGGCAGTGAGTTCAGAGAAGGCTGATCTTCTGTCTGCGTCGTTTGGTGGAAGGCTTAGGCCTTCGATCAGTTCGGTTTTTGTAGGACCAGCAGCTCCTTCCGTTAACAGCGATAGCACGATCTCGGCAGACACTGGGCAGAATATCAGGTTGCCTGTCGAAGCTCTTGCTACCCCCTGTCGATGAGATTGAACAAAGAGGTGAAGTAATGTTAGCGTTGGATGTTTTGGGGGTGTTTACCCTGTACAAATTGGCTGAGTCACGTTGGTTTCCACTGGCTAGTTGCTGGAGTGGAGTTCCAGCGAAGACGCAAGCGATAGTAGCTAGAAGAATCGGTAGTTGATGCATGTTGAACCTAGAACAGAAACATGGGATATGGCAGTTGAATACTATAAGAAGATTTGAACCATATCTTCGTATGATTACCAATCATTATTGGCTGTAACTATATCAGCAATCAAATTTATTTATCTGCGAATGTATCTGTTATCTGCTGAGGTTGGCAGCAAAAGTAAGTTGTAGTATTGTTAATAATATGACAAATAATAGGTACTTACCTATATTGCTTCGTATTGAGGTAGAGATTTACTTTTTGTGACATGTTAAAACTTTGACATTCATCAAGTTCCAAAATGTATTAACTCAACTAGATTAAGAATTAGCAATGATTAAATCGAGAATCTGAGAAGTTGATTGGTTGAATTTTTCGAATGGACTGATCAGCTTCCAAATATTCTCAATTAAAAATTGTCAATTCTTAATTCGGTTGAGGGTTGGGTTCATAAATACACCATCACTTCAATGTTGTTTACATGAGAAGATGAATAAATCGGATGGATGGAAAGTTATTCAAATACATACGTTACGTGGTACGTGCAGTTTCAGTTTTACAGAACTAAATTATGTTGAATTCCATAAATAAATTAAATATGACGATGTGATTCACCACTGTTATTTGTTCCGAAGGAAAAACTTATTTTTGTCCACAACGATTGAATAATTTCATTATTCATGCATGTTTTTCCCAAGGATAATGTTATTCACTTATGTAGCTTATTTTTCATACGGAATATGGAGTTGAAGTGTTCTATAACTCAAATACGAATAAGATTGTATTTTTTATCCATAAAAGAGATTTTCTGAAAATTGGGATGCTTTATTGATAATTGAACATTCTCTATCCGTCTAAAATATATTCATCGATACAGTGTTGCCACTTCTATCAGAAACAAATAGCAACTTTGTTATTTCAAATGGAACACCCTGTATTTTATTGCTTTTATAGATTCTCCTTGAAGATCTGATTTCATCAATGCATCACACTTGAGGTCTAGCAGGAATGATTACAGAGATATAGGGTGTTCAAAATCGAGATTTTTAAATTTTAGGAATTTTTCGTGTCGAAACTATTCATTATCGATCAAAACGACTAACATGTCCCTATCTCAACTTTTGATTCACAATCTACTGGAATTTAATTGGAAAAAATACAGGGTGCTTCAAGATTCAGAATTCTGATCACCCTGTCCTTCTATACCCCAAGTGTAATTGATGAAATCAGCTCTTCAGGAAGAATCTAAGAATGCAATGAAATACAGGGTGCTCCATTTAAAATAATGAAGTTGCTAGTTGTTTCTGATAGAATAAGTGGCAACACTGTATCGATGAAAATATTTTAGACGGATATGTTCTGTCTTTTCGTTCTCCAGATATTTATAATAGGCCATCCATTATTCAATCTATTTTCTTTACAACCACATTATGAATTTCTCCGAAATCTCGTCGTGTTACTTGTGAACATCAATAGATTTCTACCATGTTCAGTGACATACAATTGCCAAAAGACAAGAGATTGAACCCATCTGAGTTTATCATTTGGTTTAACTAATAGGGATATTTTTTTTCAAACAAATTACAGAATTTGGTGGATATACTCGTGGATATACCAAAAAATTAAGTTTCACAAATATACGAATCATTGTTCACTCGATTTTCAACAGTTAATATAGGTATCAGTCAATCAGTCATCGCTGTTGTGAGTTCATTAATAATAATGTATCAAACCTTGTTCAAGCAGGATTAACTGCGTCTACTTAAAAAATTGACGACTTCTAGATTTCCTTCTTTTTATCATCCAATTTCAACATCATGAATTGAGGAACGATATTGCAACATTTTATGATGTATACTAAAGTGTAACTTACCTCTCCAATAAACTATTAAGATTGTTTAGTTTTGTGGCTAAATTCTTTATTGCAATAGTTCTAAACTTAGCAATGGGTAATGAGTAGTTCTATATATTTATAATATAAGTTACTGTGAAAAACTGCGAAACATTACAGATAACAACTTCAATTTCTACATTTACTTATCGGCATTTTCCATGCTAATTATGTCCGCCTGATGAATATTTAAAAAGTAACACAGCATTAGGTAATAACAGTCAGTTTTGAAAATCATGCTTCCAGTTAAAAGTGAAAAATTCGAAAATGTAATCCTATGACATCATATTTGTCTAGCTCTTTATCACTACTCGAACATAATCCTGATAACATTATAGCTACACCATTTCGAAAACTTTGGTGTTCCCCATTTGATCCTCCTCCAAATCAATACCTATCTTTTTTACTGCAACCCAAAATTGGCAATAATTCAGCCAGTGAAACTGATGATATTTTTCCTGTCGATTTTCTAAGAAACATAGGTCGATCACATTCGAACCACTTTGTATAATACTTGGTTGTATTCAGAATCAAACAAGCTTTCAGAATCTGTGAACTCATAATAAAGCCATTTTCAAAAAAGAATATGATGGATCTACGAATACCAAAAGTCGCATAAAAAATGTTGAATTGATCACTTTGTATACTATCACAAATCCAACAAGTCGTGCTTGTAGTTGTTAGTAAAGAATATTGATATTAATTCAGTTGTTTATAATATATAAAAAAATTTCCAGTATAAATCTGTATTAAATATCAAGAAATCATCGTTGAACCTCATCAGAAGTATGGAAAAGTATTCTTAGTTCTCCAATATTCCCAATAATAACGTAGAAAACGAAAAAATTAAGAAACATTTTCTAAAAATTCACTTTTTTCGATATAACTGAAAAACTATAGACAATTCTGAAAATTTTCAAATGATCTTGGAATGATACTTTGAATGCGCATTTTATTTCTCGTTTAACCAAATTTGTATTTCCTACCATTTTCGATAACCCATGCTATGCAATCTCATCCTGATCATGCTGTATATAAATATGGGGATCACATATCTTTACTAAAGTAGAAAAATGTGACGAATGGAAGCATCAATTCAATGTAATTTTTGTACAATACTCGCAGTTCACATGTAATCATAGCTTTATTATTTAGAAATTCTCAAATGCAACATTTTTGATTTCACCTTTATGATTAGGTATATGTACCTCAACATGGTTATTCGAAATCCTTGCATTATGTATATATTCTTCGTGAATATCACATTTTAATGACATAAAACTAAATACAATGCGTTTTTTAATGAATATAATGGCCAAATAATTATCATCAAATTAATTTTGCATGCATTTGATTTGGAAGATGATATATTTATGTACAGGCTGTTTCATTATAGTGCTGTAAGAAACTTTGAGGTCAGATTCTTCGAGTCAAAATGAGAAGAAAGTTCATATATAAACATGAAGTAAAAAACTAGTGGACTTGTCCCTTGGGCATATGTGTTGTGAGAAGCGTAACTGCTTTACAACACGCATTACGTTCTATACTTTGCCTACTGCCATATAGTACATCAAAAAAGTTTGGACGAACAGTCTGAATTAAAATTTTTGACAGTTAGGTAACCTGCTGTTGACGGCAATTGACCTATCCAAGATGCTGTCAAACCATCAAAATCAATATGGCCGACTGTTTGTAGGCACCATGTAGGCACACATACTTTCGTGTCGCAATATCTTTGTTATAGCGGTCCAGGGATAATAAATATCCACTTTTATTCAAAACAGCCATCATTATTATTTGATGTATCTACCTAAGATTATACTGCTGCTACGTAAATCAACAAAAAATACTTGTGTGCCTACAGGCGGCCATTAGAAATATGTCAAAAGTCACGTGTTCTGGAATGCCTAATGATAGAGACAGGTTTCCATAACCTAATATTACTTTTGATAGTAACGAACCAAGCAGTCCATGATAGTTACGCTTCTGGAGAGGTAGGAGCCACTACAATTATTATCATCACAAACACATGCATTTCATAACAAAATTTCGAACACTAGATAGGTAGATTGATACTTACTCAATACATATTATCATCATTGAAGAATCCATCTTCTATATTATCATTTGAGAATACTCCTGCCACCATAAACTGCCATTATAACGACCAGGGAAAGTGATGAGCACAATGATATGACAACAAACCAGAGAAAAACGAAACATACGCTATCACTAGAGTGACATATAATAATTATCCAAATGATCAGCTGATTGTTGATGTAGACGTACCCAGAAAATCCACCAGTGGGACGAGTAGTGAACAGGATATTTGCCAGCAAGAGGCCACAAATCGTTAGTGCTCAACTCATTCTATACATCATGCCATCACAAGGCCATCATCGTATTTTCAACTGATGGTTACTTAGCATAGAGAAATCATCGGCCATTACCAATACACCGGCATCGACACTTTCTCACACTTGCCTGGCCTGCACTAGGCCGGAATTCTCCCGGTAGTTCAATGTTTGCTGAGTAAATATATCCTAATCGTAATTTTGAAAATTGCAGAAATAGCAAAAATCGCAAAAAATTCTGAAAATTGAGAAAATTTCTGAAAATTGCAAAAATTTCCGCAAAACTCAAGGCTACCACTCTCTCACTCTATCTCTCTGAGTAGCTAACAACATGATTGACGTAATCCCCACACATCGAGGTCGTCCATATTCCTTCAAGGCCAATCTCTTGAGAATTCTCCTCGCAAGACCATCCCGCCCAACTACAATACTTAGAGGTTACTAGATCTGGTAACATATCTTAGGTTAGGTTACTAGATCTAGTAACATATCTTAGGTTAGGTTACTAGATCTGGTAACATATCTTAGGTTAGGTTACTAGATCTGGTAACATATCTTTGGTTAGGTTACTAGATCTGGTAACATATCTTTGGTTAGGTTACTAGATCTGGTAACATATCTTAGGTTAGGTTACTAGATCTGGTAACATATCTTAGGTTGGGTTACCAGATCTGGTAACATATCTTAGGTTGGGTTACCAGATCTGGTAACATATCTTAGGTTAGGTTACTAGATCTGGTAACATATCTTAGGTTAGGTTACCTGATCTGGTAACATATCTTAGGTTAGGTTACTAGATCTGGTAACATATCTTAGGTTGGTTACTAGATCTGGTAACATATCTTAGGTTAGGTTACTAGATCTGGTAACATATCTTAGGTTGGGTTACCAGATCTGGTAACATATCTTAGGTTAGGTTACTAGATCTGGTAACATATCTTAGGTTAGGTTACTAGATCTGGTAACATCTCAATCAATTTTTTTAATTGGAATGCCCAGTATATTTGCATATAGAGATTTATTCGTTCCATGAACAGTTGTAGACATTGGTGTTACATCGAATGCTCTGTTCTATGCGTATCATTTTCCCATAATCGTTATCTCATTCTTCTTTCACGTCATCAATAAAATCCATACACTAATTTGTTAACAGAAGTACTGTTAATAAAATATTTTAAAAACTCTCCAAGTCGTCTCCACAACGTACAATTTCAAATTCAAGAAGGAGGGGACATGATTCGGACCCAAAAGGTATCCATCATCCATTCTTCACAATAACTCCTTTCTGACTGATGATGCATCCCTTTTGGGTCCGCAACATGATTCCCCCTTCTTGAATTTGGAATTGAACGTTGTAGAGACGACTTGGAGAGTTTATATTTGAACTACTTCACTTCACTTTGAGATAACATGGACTCCTACAATAGAGCACTGTTAATTATGCAAGAGAAACGAAGAAAATAGTCCAAATCCTCTGCCCAATAACTTTCCTTCCAGGTATTATCTTTGACGCTTCCTCTTCCTACCCTGGGAAGCCCCAGCTGAATATCCAATTGGCCCACAAGCAACAACGATGGTCAAATTGGTCCTGGTGCTTATCACCTCGCACCCCTCCTTCTTGTTCACCTTCTGGCACACAATTTCCTCCCTCTTGTCCCTGTTGATGATCTTGTAGCACCCTGGTCTCCTTCTGTTAGCCACCCCTTTGCAGTGCAGCACCAGGATCTCGCTGTTCTGGGTACGCAGCCCCAAGCAGTTCCTGTCCTTTTCCAGCCATTCTGTGCACGACTGGAATAGGGTGGGGTACTGGGATTTGCGCGGGTTCGGGTACAGTCGGGGTTGGTCGGGGGTGTGGATCTTGAAGCAGAGGCCTGGTTTTGGTTCGATCAGGTGTAGATCTGGAAATATTTGGTTGAATTTGTTTTTGTATTCTAGAATTTGACGACTTATTTGTTTCTTGATTCGGTTATTAATGATATTCATTTAAATCACCAAATTATTGAAAACAGTGTGTGCTCTAAATTCCTAGAACTATATACATTGACAACGGTCTTAAATTCAATGAACATGTGAGAAACTTGAATAAAAAATTGTCTTCTGGATAACAACCAATTTTCATGATAGGCTGATATTGTATTTCCAATATCGAATCAATCTTGGAGAAAAATATTTCATCAATATCGGATTTATGATGGTTGGAATATTGCATTTCATTGTCCAGCAATATTACACTGATATTGGCTCTTCAATATCAATTTAATATAATCATATATCATCTACATCATTTTAGAATTGATTTCAATATCGAATCAACATTATAAAAATCATATTTCTTCTATATTATGTTTGAGATGATTATTGGCTATTCCATGATATTTGATACGAACATTATTTCCATATTTGTATTTTTTATTTCCAATATCAGTTCATCATTATGAGACATATTTCAGATAGATATAACTAATGAGCTACACTGTTTGACTACTAACCAAACCGATTTTTCAAAAGCCTCGACACATGCATGTTTCGCTAACTATATTAGCATCTCCAGGAGAAGATTAACAGTTTTAATCTTCTCCTGAAGATGCTAACATAGTTAGCGAAACACGTGTTAAGGCGTTTAAAAAATTGGTTTGGTTAGTGGTGAAATAGTGTTGTGTATTATCGTGCCAAAGGTTCCACTGTGCGATATATAACTAATGAGATATATCAGTACCAAATTGCGCTGACATCTTCTTTCTTTATAATAATGATATTTCTCTTTCTCATGCAGTGTCAATTTTCAGTGAGGATATGTTCAGCTAAATTAAATTTGTCGGTATGTATTCTTTTCTCATATGCATGTTCTTTTATCCTCACAGTTTTTACTTGAAACTTATCTCCAATACGTTTCATTTTTTTTTTCATATTATACTTGCTTTCGAAATGGAATATATATTAGCCATACCTTGACAATGAACAAGAACAAAAAATGCTGAGATATACACAAAAATTGAGACACCCGTATCCATATCGATTATTCAACCACAACAATTTCTTGAGAACTGAAGAGTGGTACGGAATACGGATTAACGTTTATGGCCTAATGAGAAAAATAACTGTTTCTAGATCATACGCGGGAGGAATTCAACTCAACTGCATGAATCTATGGATTTGCATAGCATTATTTCTTCTTGAAAAGGAATATTCTTAGATGAATTATGAACATGCAAAGATGGAGATATATAAATAAAGAAATACATTGAGAAATCGCATTCTCCATGTGATGAAAATATCAATTCTTTCTCGGTTTTTTCAACAGAAAACAACTAACTACTTTCCTGAAAATTTGCATTCTCCTTCAGATAAAAATATGTTTATGCACATATTATCATTCTGAATATTCAACAGAAAACAACTACTTCCCTGGCTATATGCCACGTCGAACATTGAATTATATCTGTTGAACAACCAAAAGGAAAGCATGAAAAAAAAATTGATATATAGGCATAGGAGAAGTGTACTTGATGTATGATGAATATCAATTTGCCATACATCCAAAAACATTATTTCGTCTATTCTTTCAACTGGTATTTACGTCAACCAGAGCCACGATCGATTCTCATAAATCATCTGTTATACAAGACAAATCTTCGGCATCCAATTTCTAGCCTTCTCCTCAGATGATAAACTCTCAATAATTCTTGATTACCCTATATACATACATACACCCTACTATTTGACCTTCAATTTCCTCTAATACTTCCCATATGGTATGGACAATTATTATACAGTATGATTCATGAGAAGACTCACGTAGCGCCAAATGGTGAATAGGGAAAATCAAGACGAGTTAATATGTGTATATGAAAAATTTTTTAGGCCATCCATAACGAAGATACATGGTATTATGTGGAATTGCCATATAACTTTGATTGGCGATATTTCGGAAATGATTCATCGTAATTGGCTGAAATTTGACAGCAACGTTTCTCTATTGACACTTTTCAAGATTGCATATTATGAGAGAAAAATACAGATCCGGACTTGGGAAAAATAGTTTTTTTCTGCAACCGACACAAAAGTCGTCCATTTTGATACCAAAATTAGCTCTTAAATTGACGTTTCTATTACTGACACAAAAATAGGTATGTTGCTAGGCAATTTCAGCAGATTTGGCATTTCATACCCATGCTGGAGATATAAATACACTATAGTTAAGTATTGGAATTATAAACATCTCAGTTGAGTATTTTCGTTTTGATCATGGAAGCCTTCAAGATTCAAATACTTGCTTGATCTGTATTTCATTCGTTATTCTCGGGATGGATAACTTGTTTTTGAATAATCACGGCAAGCAATAGTTTTTTTGTCTCAAACAATGATATTGTTTAGCTTCATTTGATTATCAAGTCAAACACAGTGTAGTATGGAGAGGAATAAATAATCACTATTATCATTGTTGATATGCTCACTAACCTAACATTTTCCACGTCTAGTTCCTATAGCTGGCACTGGCGCGGTATTTGCCATTAGAGCACCTGGTCCATACACAAATATGTCACTCTGTGGTTGTATTTATATTGAAACTACAATTCGAACATCCTAGAAAACCTAACCTGCTGTTAATGCAGGTAGAATATTCTCACCACATGAATTATTTGTCAATATTTGTTGCATTGCATACATATGGCACGGCATTGGTGGTTACTTCACACGTTTATTTGAGTTAATTGTTTCGGTTGCTAAACGCTCCGCCTCGCAAATGCAAAATTCGCTTGTCAAACAAAGTGTCACTTTTGATCCTAATAAAACAGTCTACTATTTATTGTAATGTCAAAAAAGGTCACTTTGTGATCACTTAACTCTGAAATTGTATCAGATTCAGAGAAATCAGACAAAATGCTATAAGAACCGCTCTTCAATTTGCACGGCACACTTTGACCTATTCAATGAAAAAAGATGGAACAAAAACGTTCGAACTCGCGTTCGAATAATGAATTTTCAATTTCGACCTGACTGATAACTCTTAACATTCAACTGGATTCATGTAAATCAATTTGCTGTATATTTGTATAAAAAAAATTATATCTGTCTAGAATTTCGATAAAAACCCAGTTGAAAGTTGAGAGTCATCAGCCACGTCGAAATTGAAAATTCATCGGAACGATTTTGTTTCATATTTTTTAATTAACTGGTCAAAGTGTGCCGTGAAAATTGAAGAGCAGTTTTCATGGCAATTTGTCTGATCTGTCTGAATTTGATAGATTTTTTAGGAAAGTGATCACAAATTGAACATATTTCACCTATATAACAATGAAAAATGAATTTTTCACAAGGCCAAATCTGATGATGCCATCTTTAATAGTTTCAATAGAGAGACGTCGCTGCTGAACTTCAGCAAATTGAGATCAGGTTATCATTTCTGAAATATCTGCCATCAAATTTATATGGCAATTTTACATAATATGGAGGTTCATGTATCACTCTGTATAAATAAGGTATGTTTTGTTCTTGAACGGCTGTAATTTATTATCATTTCATTGATGTGGTAATAGTTGATTTTGCGACTAAATATAGAAGCTTTGCCCTCCAGAGCGGATATTTTCATATATAGATAGCACAGTAATTAGAAACTTATAGATAGTTATATCTCACTTCTTCTGAATTGTAGATCTATCTGAGTTTTGAAGTTGGAACTTTGTACTAAGAGTATATATAATTAATTTTGTATTGACTGAAAACGGCATCACCCTGTATTTCAGAATTCATGAAGAAATTTTAAATTTGTGTCGAATGATGAACATCAATAATGATTCGATTAATTTCCTGAGCAAATCAGATCAGTTTGAAAATTACATATTATACCTACCTATCACATATTACCTATCTAAACTCCATATACAGTATGACCCATTTTTGATGGAAACACCCCCCTAAAATTTGAAGTTGTGAACCGATTTTAATATATTTTTTTTGAAAAGTACAAAAATTTACGCTATCAATTTTTTTCCATCTCGTGGCACTTCATTGTTGAAATCATAAAAAAAATATTCTCATGGCTATATCTTTTGAAATAGGGTGTTTTTTGTGACTGTTAGCTGTTCGAGTTTTCGAATTTTTGAATTGGCATAACTTTGTTAATAATGAATATTTTCCCATGAAATTTTGGTCACACCTGTTTAGAGGCACTCTGAATCCAGTAGCAAGGTGAATTTTTCAATAAAAATTCCGATAAAGAAAAAATATCGTATGTCTGGAAATTGGAATAAACATTTCAAATTTTGTCCCAAGGTAGACCTTTTAGTAGTTGACATTTCGAAGAAAAATTGAAATCGGTTCACAACTTCAAATTTTAAGGGGGTGTTTCCATTAAAAATGGGTCACACTGTATGTCATAAACAAGTCGTACAAGGTTTATATGGTGTAAACCTGCCTATGATGTTCCAGATTTCATCAAAAAGTAGTACACGTACACATTTGCGCTTTACTGACAAAAATAGTCTGAATTTTGACACTACTTGACAAAGGCGATAAGAATATCAATCAAGATTCTTTCAAATCAACTTTGATCGAACTTCTCAATATCGTAACTAAATCTGTTCTAGGAAATCAACAGACGAATTTAAATAATCGTAATAACATTAATTGGGAAAACAATCGAACAGCGTATCACTGATCGATCATAATATGTAAACGAGATTGAAACAATTGAAGATGAAGGTCATGTATCGTCATGAAAAAAACAAGAATGGGTGTAGTATTATGTAGGTACTGTGTTTTATAAAATATCCTATTAATAAGCATTGAAGATTGGTAATCGATTCCACAAGTGTCAAGAGTGATAGTGATCAGTAAAGAGGAGATGAGTAATTCTTTGAGAGGAGTACTTTTATTTGGTGTGTTCAATGTTTTTGCAGGATGCGTATTTTGTAGAGGTAGGTAGGTAATAAGTTATTATAAGTTATTCATAAAAATAATGCTTGAAAGTGTTTGAGAATCAAAGCAATCAAAAATTATAATAATATATGTGTATAGACTCGAAAATTTCGTGGAGTAATACGTTGATCTAGATGGATTTCCACCGGGAATTCACGATATTCCAATTTTTACGGAGAAAAATAGCTACTTAACTTTTTCATCCTTCAGTTCTAAGACACAAATGGGTACCTATAGAGTCGGAATCATCGTGAAATATGTTGATCTAGGAGCTATTTCACTTCCAGTCAGCTGCTTATGATCTATAAGGCACAGATCCGACCTGTCCTGGAATACTGTTCCCATATTTGGAGTTCAGCACCCAAACTTACCCTGAAACTGTTGGATTCTGTCCAAAAGAGGGCAATTCGTCTCGTGGTTGATGCCACGCTCACAAACTCACTCACTTCTCTGGAACACCGTAGACAAGTTGGCGATCTGGCCCTATTTTATAGATATTTTCATGGAAGATGCTCTTCTGAAATATCAACATTTATTCCTCCATTGCAGTCCCCGCGAGATTCACCCGTCGAGCTGAGGTTTCGCACCCCTTCGTGGTCACTTTGGAGATCTGCAGAGCATCTCTTTCCAAAGACTCGTTCATCCAACTAACGGCGAGGCTCTGGAACACATTGCCAAGGGAGGTGTTCCCCAAGGCATATAACCTCCAGAAATTTAAGAACATGTACTAACTACAAGTGACGATGCTGAATATCATTAAAATTATGGAGATGGCCAACAGTTTTCTAACTTCAGCAATGAAAATTTCTGTTTCAGACTTGCACCCGATTAAACCAGAACCAGGTACATGTTTTGACAGCTATCTAGATGTCCAACCGATCAGCCTGAGCAATTTGGCGAAAGCATGCGTAGAAAGACTGCCCACGAAAAAAGTTTGCCATGGCATAAAACTTATTACAAATGAAATCATCTTGGTTGATTGTGTTCCAGAAGGCCAACAATTAGAAAAAGGCTGTTACAGGTAATTTATATTTTCAGTCCGAATAAACTAGAGTAGGTAGCTCTGCTAGTAAGAGACTTACTGTCTTTTGTTATTTTCATGATCATTTTTTCAGTTTTTCCACTCTTAAAGTGCATATATATGAACCAAGAGACTAAAGTTATTTTGTACAAACTTTTGCAACAAGGTTAACAGTGCCTCTTTTAGTCCATGGATTCATAATCTACCATGGTGATGAAACAAATAATAACAATTTATAAAGTTCAATATATTTTGAAAATAGTCAGTAATACAGGGTGAGTCATGAGGAACTGTACATACTCCTGCCACGAATAGAGGCTCCTGAGGAAAATACCTAGTGTCCATCAGAAAGTTTCTTCTTCACTTCTTTTCCAATATATAGGGTGAATCTCATAATTCACCCTATGTATCAGTAAAGAAGAGAAAAATACACTTTCTGATGGTCATTAGACATTCTCCTCAAGGGCCTCTATTCATGATAGGAGTATGTTCAGTTCCTCATGACTCACCCTGTATATCAACCCACTTAGAGTATGTATTTCAATACATTATATCAATTATTCAATCTGCGAAAACTTATATTGCATTTTGAATGTCATGAAATCATGTCTGAGTTGACATAGATATTTCAATAATTATTCATTCCTATGTCTTCTGTTTATCAATGATGCATTTTTTACAGGTTTTTCAATGTCGATTTGACACAAACAGTAATCTGTCAGAAGTTCCTCAGAAGAAATAAATGTGAGATCATCAAAACACCAGAAAATTTGGCGATTGAAGTGTATTGTGACCAAAGTCAATCTGGAATTGTTATGGTCAAGAATTTGAAGATCACATAATTTTTTCCCTTAGTAAACTCTTATCTTATAATGGATATACCTATTATGAATGTCTTTTTTATGTCGTAGTAGTGCTTTATAATGAAAGGAAGATTTATCATTCATATTCATTATTTCCGAAGAATTTTTGATATAGCTATTTTCTATATCATCACTAGGTCATAGCATGTCATATCACTGATGAAAATATCTGTCATGAAAAAATAGGCATACACTTCTAAATTGTTTAAATTATCAATTTTTGTTTTCAATTAAAAATATAGGGTTTCATCCGATTTTCTTGTAAAATAATAAAAATCTATTAAGTCCAGTACACATAATTGCATTTTTTATTTCTATAATGAGAAATGCTTTTTTGTCTTCTGAATAATTTGTACACAGGGTGACATTTCAAAAACTTCTCACCCTCAATATCTTCCTTCCAGACAATAATATGAAAAATCGAAAAAATAGTTCAACTTTATTTTCAAGGGGGACACTTAAAATGATTAATCTTAGTACTCTTGATTCAACCCCCTAGGAGGGGTAGATTGGGTGCCTAGAATTTCTATAGAAATTTATAAGTATCTCTCTTTGAAACTTATTCAGTTCTCTTGATAGGTGTGAAAACCTATAAAATTAGATTGACAGATTATAACTAAAACACCCTATGTTTTTATAGATATTTTATTTCCTTTTTAACCTCATGAAAATAATTCCCAAATGTTTTTCATAATGAAAGTCATTCGAAACATGAATTCATTCAATTGATCTTTATATTGATTAGATAAGTGTTTTACTACATTTCAAAAATAAATAGGATCATTTATATAGAGCAATGAAAATGAAAATAATAATAATGATACACCAATTTACTGAACTACAGGCACTATAATATTAATCATTCTCAACTTGATAGTACCAAAAAACTACAAATAATCAACAAAATACTATATACAAACATTATCACAGGTCACAAAAATTCCTAAACTCTAGATCAGAAAACAATTCCAAGTTCACGTGTTCACCAAGGCCTCCAGATTTTCTCTTTATCTCCATACTTCTGCTGAGAATAGCTCTGCTGAGAATAGCTTTTCTGAGAATAGCTAGTCGAAGCACCTCCATAGTACACATGTCCACCGTTGCCATTTTTTGACGAAAAACTCTGAGCACAGTACCTGTTTTGTGCTGGATAGTACCCATACGTAGTGGCTGGCTGGTAATAGGACTGCTGCACTGGTGGCTTCTTCAAGTTCTGAAGATAACTCACTGTCATCTCCAGGATGTCAGCTTTTTCCAGTTTGGCACTTTTCTTGCTCACACTGTGAGGATCACACTCCAACAAGATCTGCTTCAAGCTGTCCAAACTCTCGTTGATTCTAGCACGACGTTTCTTCTCCATCAAAGGTTTACGATATTTCCTATCGTCAGACATCGCAAAATTTTTGAGGATTTTACACTCTTAAGAAATTCTCGACACCACAAGAAAGATTGAGTGCAAGACTCGAAATAATGATTTTTACTCAAAATTTCGTATAAATACATTCTCATCCCCTCTCTGGGGGTGTAGTACCTAGAGGTAATTGGATTTGGTCTGTGGATGCAATAAAGTTATATTGAGGGTTTATGCTTTACGGTCTAAATACAAAATGCAATGATGATGACCTTGGTAGTTATGAGGGTTTATTCTAAATGGCGATACGGTTTTCAAAGTGTAATTTTTTTCGGGAAGAGTTTGTCCACAACTTGCTTTGTGTTTGGGTTGTAGATTGTTTTCGGATACTTTCCGGTTGAAACGCGATTTTTTCGGAAACCGACTGCCACTATAGTGCCACTGAACTGAAATGGTTTGACGGTTATTATAGGACGAAATTGTGGTGTTACGCTGTCTCACATGATCCAAAATATTTACCATAAATTGATTATGTTAGATTAGGTTTAGGGACCAAAACTGTTTGATGACATTCTTGAAGTAATCTTTAGAATATTCATTTGAATATAACATCTCGATATCTTGAGCGAGATATAATATTCTTATAATTGCTCTTTTCGCCACAGCCTGACTATTGTCTGAGAATCTTCTCCTCATTATTTCAATGCAATTCAACACACTAGTGCAAAAAGAACTAATTCTCGTACTTACTTTTCGCACAGATAAAACAGTCATAACTTGACTGTTTTTCGACGACCTGTATTTTTTTTTTAAATTAACAGATTTTCAAGTGGTTCTCGATATCAGATGTGATATTTCATCGACTTCAAAAATAGCTAGAACATTGTGGAAAAGTTCTCAGAACGAAACTTACACAGGGTGTAAAGAGGAACCATTACACTGTGGTCTACATTTGCGATGATGCCAGAACTCAAGGAATTATTTTCTGATTGAAAGTCATCAGTCTTATGTTACATTGGGACTTTATCTCGGGTTTTTTGCGTCATCTCTCCTAAATTCGCCATTGGTACAAAAATCATGAGAAAAAGTCTTGTATTTCTTGACATTTATCTCCAGAACTCCACTCGAACTGAATATTGGGAAGAATTATTTCCATGTTTTCTGGAGGTGGATAGGAGACGAATAAAGCAACATAGTAAAATATACAGAGTAAAACGATAGAAGGGAAAAAATATTTCAGTAAGAACAAACAAAAACGCCGGCTGAAAAGAATAATTATTTTCAAAAATTTCACAAAAAAATACAACGTGAAAAGGACACCCTCTGTTTTGGCTCAAACAAGTTTCCGATAAAAACTAAGAACATTATTCGAAAAAATTATAAGCTAACATGTGCTCTTACAATTTTAGCTGAAGAACAATCGGCTTATATCACAGAAAATTTTTATTTCATAATTTTATAGAACTCACCCAAACTAGCTCACCACCGCAAACCGTTTCTTGCTGTGAGCTTCCTACGTTTTATAAAAAATTATTGAAATCCCCGATTTTTCGGACCTCTCAAAACGAGGCGATGATGTGACGTCAAAACCCTAATACTGAAACAAGACTATTCCAGACAGAGATGAATGATACATGATTTCTGACAGATTGAATTAGCGCGAGATCTCAGTTGAAAGAATTAATATATCAGTTGCCTCAGTCTCCGTCGGGAGTTTGGTATTTTCTTTTAACTATGGCGAGATGATGTTTCTACGTCAGAAGAGGGTCCGTTTCCAGAAGGTACTATTATTTATGTCCAAAAATAAAACATTCCAGTTAATTTTTCGATCGAATTATGTCGTCAATGATTATTTATGTATAAAAGGATCATTATAAACATGGTTTGAGTTGAAAGTTCTACTAAGGTGTACACGCCCATTGTCATCAAATGTAATAGCACATGCTATAGCTTATAATGTTTCTCAAAATGTTCTTTTGTTGTGAACATTTTGACAAAAAATACTCCTGATGATAGCTTGTACCCAAAAACGTTTGAGAATTTGCTTGTAATAGATTTCGTTTTTCTCAATATTCTGAAAAACAAACTCAAATTTATTCGATAACAATACAGGGTGGCATTAAAATAAGTGCAAATATTTCAAACCCTTAGGAAGCTCGACGTATACTATCGAATGGCACCAATACAGAAAATAGGGATCAAACTGGAATTTGGGGCTAGACCCCTTCTCCAGCCAAAGTTCTACACTGTAGCAATTCTGACGTCACCTCTGTTCAAATTTGCGTGCAGAAGGCACAATGTGGCACAATCATTTGAATTGATTTAAAGTAGAGTGCTTGCTTTTTTTCGTTTTCAGTTCAATTTTCGGGTAGAAATATTTCGTTGCTTAGGAGAATTAGAAGAAATCTGATATCATGGAAATATTCGTTAGACTGTACCATATCAATGTGCTGAATATGTGCACTTATTTCAAAAACTCCTCGTACACAGGGTGTTCCTTGAAAACTGCATATGAATGTATGTCCTAAAAGTCTTAACTTTTGAGATAAAGGGTGATGAAGTTTTGAAAAATATTCAATTTTTTCTTAATAACTGAGACAATATTGTATACATCTTCATGAAATTTGGTACACGTCTTTTATGCATCAAGGTGCAATTTCTGATGTACTGAAATTTTCATTTTCTCTACCAGTGGCACCGTTACGGGAATATTATTGTTTATATTTTACTTAGAAGTGAGTATAACCACGGGAAATTTTCTAATTCCGTACAATGCTAGGAAAGGCTATTTATAATAATAATAGATAGGCATAGATTAACGACTCTCCTTCAGGATAACCACAATATGCATGTAACATTTTGAAGTTTCCATACCGATTCAGTCACAAAGCACACTGAATTTCGCCATCACGAAAAGATACTGGGTGGGCAGAAAGAGAGTCTATGCATATTTTCAACATTGACACCCTGTATTCCAAAAATGGGTCGAATAATCGGCTCCTTGAAAATTAGCATATCATTGAGGAACACGCTGTATATTAAGAGATCCCAAAAGATCTGAAAGATATATGTATCAGTTCTGAAATATAAAGTTTTCAGTAGATAGGCACATTTTGAATCCTTCGGTTTCTAGGATTGAAAGCATCCAATAACAAACACAACAAATGGTTTGTCAAACTTCGAGTATTGAATCTAAAATAGCTGAACATATCCTTACTGAAGACGGACAACATATGGCAGAGTGGAATAATATTAAAATCATTGGAAAAGGAGATAACAACTAGAAGAGAAAAATCAAGGAATCTGCTTGCATTCTTCTGAACGGAGACAATAGCATTGCTTCTTGTTCAGTTGATATAGACAGAACATGGTATTCACTACTAAAATCTGAACATGAAAATGGTAAATTCAAGATTAATTAATGAAAACATCCTGTATCATTTGATTGCCAACGTCACCAATTGTCAATGAAAACTGAAAAGCTTCAAGACAGATACGACTTTGCTATTAAAATAATCATTTCTTATGTTGAAAACGGGAGCAGCATCGGTCCCGAATCGTCCAAATATAAGTGAACATTTGATATTTTTATATACTTCTTCCCCAAACTTTTTTCAATACAAATTGTCACTAGTGAATTCTCCTTTTATAGGCTCTCTGATAGGAAATTTCTTTAAACGCACTGACATTTTGGGGCAAATCATCTGATTTGTCCTTACTACACGTATATTGAAATAATATTCATATTTTTATTCTATATAGAAACGAGGAGAGAAAATCCAAAAAATTTGGAATAATTAAATTTGGGGCTTTTACATTTTCTTACTAATGAAACTTGTCATATTTATTCACATTCTTGATCAGGTTTTCAGTACCTGTGCATATTTTGTAGGAGTTGTAAAAATAAATAGAAGGATGGAAGAATAGGTACGAATTTTAAAAAATAAATTGAAGAATCAATGTGTCGATGTGTCTCAACTATTTCCTGTGTTATTTCACAGTTAACAGAACGACTAATAACAACGTTTTCAACAGTAATCACACAAGTGGTGGTTATCTTTTTGATAATTTTAACTAAATAGATGCGCGACTCTTTGGTGCTATAGATTTCTCAAAGAAGAGTGCTAACCTATAGTAAAAATTATAAAACAAACAACCATCTCAAATTTAATTCGATGTGATTTTTTTTTCATCAATTTCGCAAAATGTACAGAGACAACAAACACTTTACAGTCTATGGGCCCCTTTCTATGAACGGAGATTCAAACGTGAAAAGATTATCGCTGTGATTCGTAACGATTGGCTAGAATTGAGCATTGCTATTGGTTCAAACAACGAGAACATCACATTCTGATTTCTGAAAAAAATAATCAAGAAAAATCAAATGTCTATTTCTAGTCCCACTTTGTTGGTACTTATTGTTTGAATAAAAGTCAAGTAGTGAAATCACAAATCAGAATTGAATCAATTAATATGAGACACGCTTTATAATAGGTATCAGTATAGGTACAAAATATAAAAGAAAGTAAAAGCACAATCGCATCATCAATCTTCGTGAAAACTCGAAAGTTGTCGAAAGCTTGCAAAAATAACTGAGTATTATACCCGATGAGTCCAAAATTAATAGGTGTTATAAACAGATTAAAAATCTTGTAAATAAGGCAGTCGGCATCGAGTCGGCACGTTTGACGATCGTTTTACAACATGGGATTTCATTGTGCTCTCAAAAGGGCCCTAATGGTTTCTAAATTTCCCGATTCAGGTCAAAAATACTTGCTATTTGATTGAGCTCAGGCACAGTCATCTCATGATATGTATGAGTATAGATTATTTTATACAGGGTGGTCCATTTAATAGTAGTAAAATCAGCAACTCATAAAAGACTATATTCATTTTTTGATGTTCATAATTTATCTGAGAAATGAGAATATTCATGTTCAATCGCTATTTCCATTACACAATTTCAAATTGACTGCGTTTTGATGCCATCCTCATGGGAAATAACTTCTCGCCATTTTGATGTCCATATCATCTATAGGCAG